GTGTTTAGACATTTCAATTAGTGGAAAAAATTGCAGGAGGGAATATAAATAGTCTAATCAATCAAACTTTCGCATTTTTAATAATTTTTCAGATCAGTATAAGGTACATGCTGGATGTCATGACCCACAGCGCTGCTGTATGTCTGTGTGAACTCCCCTTAATAACGAGAGCTAACTAAGCTACATGTTGTTGGGGCATATACAGTTTTGTTTTTTAAGATGGGATTGAATATAGAAAAAATATATATTTTACAGTTGTATGTCGTATCAACAAACACACTTCTCCTAACTGAAAAATTAATTTAAGATTTTTTTTCCTTTAAATGAAACGCTATAAAGTTAAAAAGGAACAGTGGAAGCAATTATAATGTGTTGATCTTACAGATGATAGATTTGTAGTAGGTATGTGTCCTGGCATTCAGTCTCTGTGCAGTGCAGCGGTTTAAGTCATGTGGGAGACTTGGGATTAAAACAAGAAACATCATGACGAGCTTTTGACATGAAAAAAGTCTAGCAGCACATGTGATTTATCGTTTTATTTTTGTTCCAAATCCAGTAAATCTTCCTACAGATCTAATATAACTGGACCAAAGAGGCCTGCAGCAGGTCAAAATGAAATATAATTTCTGTTACTTTTATTTAATTAGTCTAAAGTACGGCAAACTTAATGAAACATACATGATATTATCGTAAACTAACTTCTTTTTTTTTTACATTAGCACTGCTGCTTACCTTTATTACGGCTGCACTTTATAAAATTAAAATATATTGAGAGTTGTAGTGAACGGAATTTCTTTTTGTATACAGTATGTGTATAAAGTCTTAAGTCTAGAGGGGTGAATATGAAAGCCTAGTATCTAAATCAGGCATCCCCAAAGTCGGTCTTCGAGGGCCGCTGTCCTGCAGGTTTTAGAGGTTCCCCTGCTCCAGCACAGCTGATCTACATTGATAGTTGATTAACAGGTTTTTGCTGAACTGCAATCATCAGCATCAGCTGTGCTAAAGCAGAGAAACCTCTTAAACCTGCAGGACTGCGGCCCTCGAAGACCGACTTTGGGGATGCCTTATCTAAACCTAGAGGTTACAGGTCTTGTGCTCCTATTGCCCATTTATAGATTGTTGATTTAAATCAAATACATTTTGAGCTGTAAATGCTTCTCATAGAGGGGAGATTCAACTTTAGTGAAGACTTTCGGCCACAGTTGTGGATGAGATCATCTGGTTTGTAGTTTTTGCCTTGGAACAGTAGTTTTCATGCCATAGGGAAACACTTTGTGTTGGATTAAAATTTCAGGGGTTAGGCTCCCCACTCTTTGATTGGGTGTATTTCTTTTTTTTATTTATTTCCCCTCTGGCAACCGTTTCCATGACTCTTTATGCACTTAGTTTGTTCAAACTAATGTAAAGATGTCTAAAGGCTGATTTATACTTCGAAACTAGGTCGTTTGAGTAGGTATCGCAGTGAACAGACGTCCGCGCCTCCTCGGCAGACACTCTGCTGCACCTCACCCAAATAATAGGTGACCGCAGACAGTGCCAGGAGGCCGTCTTGTTTTGTTTTTAAGCAATTGCGGAATACAACTCGTGAAGTTGAACCAGCTATAAGAGCGAGGACGCTGGGACCCTTTTTTCCACCTGGATCTCTTATTTTTCGCCGTCATGTTCCTCCGTTGTCGGACAAACTCGCCCCCACTTCCTCACCTCCTCGGCCGTATGTAGACCCACAGCGTATAGAGTAGACCACACTTCAAAATTTAGCATAAATCAAAAATGTCTGCATCAAGCTCACTGCGACACACTGCTGTGGGGAGTATAACCAGCCCTTAAGCAACCATGCTTTAGTATCTGCGTTTACATGCGCAAATTTCCCTGACCGGATCAAAACCTTGGTGGATCAGAATCTGTTTGCATGGAAACTAGATATTTTTTTTACAAATCTTATGATGAGTGTGTGTGTGTAGATATACAAAGCTTTCATCATATATCATCATATTCATATTATAGCATATGACAAATTATCTAATTTTCTGAAAAGTGGCTGTAAAAAAAAAAAAAAAAAAAAATTCAGGTTTTGTTAAAGAACCCCATACTTTTTTTTGGAGGTCATTATGCTAACGCTTCTTCACTACAGGGTAGAGGGCAGGATGGATGAAATTCAGGAGTGAATAAAAAAACGTGAAGCTGAAGTTGCTATAGCGCAGTGGGTTTGAAGTTTGTACACTGATAATCAGAATGGCGATTTGGGGAAAGAAAATAATTTTTCTAATTGAATTGGACTCAATCGCGTCAGAATCTTAATTCCAAGATGTTTACTTTTTGATTCGAACAGGCCTTTGATCCAGTAATTTTTGTCCTTGTATAAGTAGCTAATATACTGTGGCACTTCACTGCCATCATAAATACTTTAATAATCCCAGAGGGAAATTACTTTTGTTACACGCTCCAGTTACTGTTTTATATAACTGGAGTGTGTAACAAAAGTAATTTCCCTCTGATGCATGGTCTCACACTCATATGTTAAACATTTAGCTTCAATTGATGAATCAGCTATATATTTACATATATATGATGATGGATGCGTTTGATTGTACTGGTTAATTTACCACCCAGTAAATCATCTGTAAATTCAATTAATACAATTCTGAGCAGTGGCTAAATTCAGTTTTAGTTTATAATTTGCTGCTGCGACTGTCTGCAGGTGGGGGAGAGCGTCTTCCACACAGATCGCTGGGTCACCCCTATGACTGAGGAGCTGTTCAACCTGCGACCACGTGAGGAGCTTTTGCACAAGCGTTTTGGCTTCCTGTGGTACGTGTGATCCTGGCTGTGGATGTCCCAAGATCCAGCACCCATGTGGACCTGAGCCCTTGCTCACTTCTGCTTGTAAATGTTCAATAAAGTATCTTTTTCTGTACCTAATCTAATTGTTTTGTCATTTTGGTTCTCACAAGTTTACAAGTTTTAGTCTTATTCCTGACCTTTTAAATACAACTTTCAGATGTTTGGATGGGGAATGAAATAGTCTGACAAATTTAATGGTACAGTAGTTCCAGTGCTGTAATGATCCATCTAGCAAACGGTAAATTAATATGGTCTTGAGTTGCTAAGGTTCCCCAATGGGGGCTGACCAGTGTTTCTTACTACCTTAAGCTAAACAACTGAGCTGTGACTTCAGTACGATCAGATACTTTGATCGTAATTGGACATTTAATTTAACCTCTAAAGGGGATGGACAGCCTTAACAGTTAATGATTTTAGTGTTTAGGTCTTGTGATGCCGTACTGTTGTCGTGGGCAATCCTGAGCCAGATTTTATACCAGTAGTTATTTGAAAGAAACTGAGCAGTGAATGCTTTGTAATTTTTTTTAGAAAGCAATATATAAATTGTCTTCTATACTAGGTGTATTGCGTTTAATGCCTCCCTGTACTCATAGCCTGATAAGCTTTATTTCAATGTCTAATCCTTGTTCGATAAAATTTTAAAGATTCCAGATTTAGTCACTGTTTGGTCAGGTTCCACTAAAATTCAATCCCCTCTTCACTAATCTTCAGTTCTAAAACAAAATGGCTGATGCCCTTACAGCTCAGTTGAGGGAGAGAAGCAAACTTCATTTATTGGTCACTTCCCTTAGTAATAGATGACGTTATTAGATATCATCTGTTGCCATGGGCAGTTTTCTAAACAACCAATAAGGAGGCTCCAGAGAACACCCCACTATTATTCTATTTTAAGATCTGATAGGCTAGATCTTAAGTCACTTCAAAAAGATGACCATGTTTATGTATTTAATAAAAATTAAGCAAATCAGGATTTGTTCATCTTTATTGAAAGAGCACAGTTCAACTCCAAAGCATTAGCCACAAGGCTCAGCCATCTCCACTTCGACAACCCATCCACAGGGACCTCATCCCTTTCCATGTCATGAACACATTCATGAAGGACCTGGAGAATAAAAATATAAAATTCACTCAAAATGTAAAATTAGCTTCACATCACCAAACCATTGTAGCGTCACTTACCAGATATAAGAATCTGCATAGTGATCATCATCATCTATAGCCATCAGACCAGGAAGCAAGGAGATCCATTCAAGTCTCAACTGGTCAGTTCACCCTAGAGAAAAACACCAGTTAGGCCTGAAAACTAACAAGGAGCACAATGTTCTGCATGCAACAAGCTTTAAGTTGTCAGGAGTAAATTCAGAAGTGAGCTTGAAGTGATTACAAATAGGGGTGATCTGTAGGCATAACTGGACGGAATTTGAGCAGCAATGAGGTGAACAGAAGTTGACCGAGCACAATTCTATCCGTGACTTTGAGGATAATGCTCGTGGGCTTTTAGAGCGCTACAATCCAGGAGCTTCCTTAAAACATTTCCTCATAATGGCATTATCTGAATCAAGAAGGAGGCCATGGCATGTTTGCAGGAGACATCTGAAGCACAGGACTTTACACAACTGTAGGTATTCATGGAAACAATGAGAACTGCTTTTCAAGGATGTGAGCAAAGCAAAAGGAGATTTTTACCTCACGTGCATTGGCCTACTTTCTTCATATTTGATATAGGCAAGAGCAGCTTTTCATCTTTGAGCACTTGTTGGCAGGCGCAACACTTCTCTCCAAGGACTTGTAGGTTTTTGAAGGAGCTGAGGTCTTGGAACATACTGAAGCATTGACAGGACACCAGCTGACGGCTTGAAAACTTTTATCACTTTCAATCCAAACTTCACTAGAAGTTTGGACTCAAAAGTTAGGATTTCAATTCCTCTTTAACATGTACAGGAGGCACTGGACCAAAGAAAATTTGCCTAATAACTTTATGGAAATTAAGTAGCTGTATGAAGTTAACCATTAAAAGAGAAAGCCAATTCATGTGCCCTTTAGCAACTGGTCTATGAGTGATGTTAGAGAAAAAGAATAAACAGTTTCCACGCAGCATTGAGTTAGCCACCACCTTAACATTCCCATGTGATCATTTTGAAGAGGCAACGGAATCAGGATCATTTCACATTTTGTTTTAATAGGCTCCATGAAGCCAAACTGACAAAGGAAAAAAAATTCTTGGATCATACAAAGAACATAAAGTACAAAAAACTGTTCCCGTTCGGTTACTCTGGTAACGAAGTTACATTTTCTGATCACTTTAAACAAGAGAGTCCATTTACAGCACATTAAGATGCAGATGTTGAGCAGAGCACAGAAGATACCTGGGGCAGACTGTAGCATGCTGCATTTTGCAACTTCATGAACAGCTGGCCACTTCGGATGTGTAGTTCACCAGGAATTCACTCTTTTGGGAGATTGAACACAAAATGAGCCTTGGGTAAGCTAGGTTCTCAATAGTTTAAGAAATTTAACAATAAAATCCCCCAAAGGTTAATCTGAGTATGCCATTTATTCCTCAGTTTTAAGATTTGGTAGGAGGTAGGTCAGTTTATCAACAAGGAAAACAAAAAGCCCCATTAAGATTTTATAAAAACAAAAACACTTTAAAGTGCTGGACGAAAAAAAAAATAGCTGATTAACTGATCGACAAAAAAAGCAATGTGGATAGCTGCTTTATCCCCATTTTAAAGGGGGCTGTACAGTAGATTTTATACAAAAAGCCTTGAACGTTAGGAGTAGCCAATTGAGCAAGAGTACTGAATTTCAATCTGTAACATGGTTGAGCATTGACCAAAACTCGTGGCTACATTTACTTCAGATGCCAAGCTACTACAACAGAACTACATATTACACGTGGACATGTTTTTCCTTGAGGAGCACAGCTTTCAAATACGGCCAGCCAAGTGATGATCTTGAATCAGGGAGCTTTACTCGTGTGTTGCTGGAGGATAAGAAGTGGGCACAGGTAAAGACACTGAATGTTGACACTGCTTTTTTCACAATATCCATTCCCCCTTAGATCTAGTCTCATCACCCTCCCTCTTTTTTTGCTCAAAGGGCTCCATCAGTTGAGAAGTGAGCAGCATTTGAAGGTAGCATTTCTCATTTGCGTTAAGAGCTCAAACGTCTCCACCAGTCTCCTTCAGTGTGGAACGGGCCAGCAAAGACAGGCAACTGTATGCAATGAGGCTTGAACTTGGGCTCAGGTACAGAACTGAGGGGCACACATGAGCCTTTAACATTCGGGCCAGGAAGGCATCCTTAACATTACTGAGTGAAACTTGAAATTTTTGCAATTCCTCCAAATTAAGTGTTCACCATCATTAAACTACAGCCTACAGTATCACTTAATTTTTTAACGGCCTAAAATGGCTACAATTAAACGCTAAAAAAGATTCTTACCGTAGCTGTCATAGCTATCCCGATAGGATCCAGAGCGGTCACCATATCCACCCTGCCCCCTGAGGGAGAAAAATAGGCAGATTAATTTACATATTAAAAAATATGCATCTATAAAAAAAATAAATTAAAAAAAAAACGACTCAAAACTTACCTTTCCCTGCTGTATCCACCACCATATCCTCCTCCTCCTCCACCTCCAGTTCTGTATCCACCACCAAAGCTTCTGTCACTGCCGCCAAAGCTTCTGTCGCCGTAGCTTCTGTCACCGTAGCTTCTGTCGCTGTTGTAGCCACCTAAACATGCAAATTTATGTTAGAAAAAAACTGAACATAAAGCTAGAGAAGAGTAACTTCTCATGTTTCAAGTCTCACCCCTTGAGAAGCCACGTCCTCCCCTCCCCCGGGAACCACCGCTGAACCTACCCCCGCGTGGACCGGAGCTGAACCCTCCTCTGGAGCGGCCACCCTTTCCTGCCTCATCAACTCGAATTGCCCGACCATCAAGTGTCTGCAACAAAAAGGAAAATTAGATTTCAAGTCTCAAATGCCTCAAACTACATCAACACAACGTGAACAAAGATTACCTTTCCGTTCATGGCATCCAGAGCATCCTTGGCATCATCGACATTGTCGTACTTGACAAAGCCGAAACCACGAGATCTGCCGGTCTCTTTGTCTCTGATAACATCGACTAGTTGGAGAAAAAAAAAGATTAAATGACCTATCCTTAACCAAAAAGCAGAGTACATATTCAATTAAAAATAACCTTACCTTTCTCAATTGTGCCATATTTGCCAAAAGCTGCAGCCAGAGAATCTTCATTGGTCTCGAAGCTCAGACCTCCGATGAAAAGCTTTCCCTCATCCGACATATTTAACTAAAAAAAAAGAGAAATATATACATTTACTTAAAATAGTTGAAAAACGATAATTAGAAATAATATAACATAGCGTGAAATGCGAAAGAAAAAAATAAATAAAAGCGCCCCGCCCTGGCTAAGCAGTAGGCAGGATGACGCAGTTCCATTGGAAAGTAGGTCATGGTGGCAGTTACAAAATGGCGCCCGGTTATTGCGCACTTTCGGGCGGAGACAAAGCACGCATTTTGTAAAGAATAAAAAAGGTGAATTTTCAAAACCTAAATTAAAATAAGTTTATTTGAATACCACCGTCGAGTATTATCCATTTCCAAATCAAAAATGATGACCATCAATTTGATGGAAAGCCCCCCCCCTTTCCCCGTCGCCATTTTGTAACATCGGGCACGTTTTCTTTTGTCTCGGTGACCTACTTAACTGCAACACGATGCCCTACTTTCCAAGTTACATAAGTGACCCAATTAAAAAAAGCAGGTTAATAGTGGCGTGACCCACTTTTAAAGGATCGCTTCAGGAAAGCTTAAAAAATAATTTAACTTGTTAATTTAATTTTAGCAATTCGTTTAGAGAAAAATCAGAGCAAACTATTTTAAAATGTGCAAAACAAAATGAAAAAAGAGGAGGGAATGCTGCATTTGTCACAACAGTAAATTTATAAGATAAAATAAAAATTACCTTTTTCTCTTTCGAGGATAACTGGGAAACAGCTGGTCGTGCTGATGAAAGTCGAATGAGAACGAGTAAGAAGGGGCGCTCCTTTTTATACCCTCCGCTCAGAGCGCTTCTTCTCCTATTCGTCAGAACTCTGACTCTACAGCCACCTCCTGTTCTGCGCAACGAACAACTATCAATAAAGGCTGAAAAACAAGCATATGTTCACGGAAACACTCAGTTTCGATTACGAAACAAGATCTCTCTACACATTTAAGTGAGAAATAAAACAGCAACTTTAACACCGAATCTATTTCCTCTCGATATGCACAAAGAATAACCCGTTTAATGCCATTATTACTGTCATTTAATCATTTTAACCTATTTTCAGGGGACGGGGTTGGCCGCCATTACTGCTTGCTCCTTCTGCACGTTCCCTCCATTTTTTAGACCTTACATTGATAGTTTTTTTAATCGTTTATAGCAGATATAAGTCCTTTGCCTTTATATGTTGGATATCCATTAGGAAATATGTAGTGGGGTGCATCACGACTCATGTATGCGTATGATATATATTTTTAGCATATCGTTTCACATATAATTTGCGCGCTTTCTTCTTTTTACAGTATGAGAAATGTCGATTCCTCTTCATGACAGACTGTAGTATCGAATTCTTTCTGCTTTTCTCCTTTGTACTATTTCTCTTGGGTTCTCCTTCGGTAATTAGTCATGGAGTTCCTTGTGTTTTATACCCGATCTATGAATCCTGAGTAGAAGTATTATCTTTCAGTACCACACGTGGCATGATATAGAAATGCTTAAAGTAGAACTCTATCATACTCTCTAAAGCTAAAAGTGTTTATCCAAATATCTCCATGACAAAGTATTTTTTATTTTTTGTTTAAACCTTATTAAAACAAGCCCTTATACTGTTTAATCACTGTTGTTGTTTAATCTTCTAGTTTTCAGAGATAAAATGTATCATACAAGCTGTAGCCTATGTGAATAACCTGCATAGACACAAGAGGAGCAGTAAACAAAAAACAGCATGGTGATGGTTTGTGAGGAGGACCTCAGCTGCCTCAGATTGAGTGCCAGAGCCTTACAAATACACTAATATCTCACAGTGTGAATAGTTTTCAAAATGTTGGACACTGGAATTGTATAAATCTAAAGACAAACAGAAAATAAATGTAAAAGGTGGTACTGATACTGATAAAACTAAATCACACGCAGATGGATTCTGTTTACTAAAGAAAAAGAAAGAGTCTGCACCTAGATTAAATCAGGCTTAACACAAGCAATTAGAAACCAGGGTTTATTCTCTGAACTCTAACAATTGTGCATAAATCCTTTAAAATGTTTGGATGAAAAAAGAGCTGTAGTTTTTCAGAATAATATGTGAATATTTCTTTAAGGTACTGTATAGGATAATGAAATGATCTGCAGATCACATGCAGGTGACTTTTTTCCTCTATCGTTAGTAAATTTCTTATCTGTCTGCAGTTTCAGGGTTTTCATTGTTTCAATATGTAAAGGAGTCCCCAGGAGGTTCAGCTCTGCCTTTCAGCAGTGGTAGAAAAGACAAGTCATGGGGGGAGGTTGAACAATAAAACAGATGGGGGGTCATCAGCCACATGTTGGTATTCAACAGACGTGCAGTTGCTTTCTAAAACACCTTTGAGGAAATTGAACTTTCAAATAGAGCCGTTGGTTTGTAACAAAGCTGTTTCGGCTTTCTGATTGAATCCAGTTCTTTCTTATCACTGCAGCCTTTCAAATGCAGTACATTTGCTCTCATTTGGATTACTCCTTTCAGCTTTTAATCTCTTTACCTGAAACCAGGTCTTTCTCAGGTTTAACAAATGCAGCCATCATGTGAGGATCTATCATTGGGGTTTGTTTGGATTTTTAAGAGCATGAAGTCACCTCTGATTCTCTTAATACCAAATAAATCCCAGACCGACATTTTAACCATAACTATGTGCTTTATTATTAGGAGCATGTTGCAGCTCTTCTCACTGCTGCCAGTCTGCTCCATCGACGCCATCAGCATTCTCACTGCAGCTCTGAACTGGTGCTGTTCATTGCCTTGAGGCAACCTCAGAGGAAAAAACTGGGCGGTTTCACGAACAACCCTGAATAGCAGGAATTCAGTCGTTTCTCTTCTCTGTTAAAAGCAGAGGTGGTGCTTTTGCTTCCGCTCCACTGCAGAGAGCTGAGAATGAAACCGATGTTTAGATATGGGAGCTTCATTACAAAAGAATTTGGAGACAAAATTGATTGTATTAACATCTGCAGAGGGGAGATGCTTTGAATTATTATGAAGGCTCAGACTCTGTTTGCATGTCACAAAAGAAGATTTGTGTTTTCACCAAAAGGAGGGGGATGGGACAAATGGTGCGGGGGATGGGAGCCTCTCTCTGCAGCACAGAGGAGGAGGAGGAGCATGGCGGAGAATGCAGGAGGAAATGGATGTTGTTTTTCTTTCCAACACAAAGAGAAGAGCTGAAAAGGCTCACAAATGCCCCATATTTATGAATGCTTAGCCATACTAAGAAACTAAGCATTATAATAAGAAAACATACCAACCCACTTTTTTCTTTGCTCTTATATTATCACAAATTTAGTAGAAAAACATACCAGTCAATTATACCTGTCTTAACATGCATTATTGAAGCCCTGTATAGCAAATAATCTATAAACAAATGAAGGTTTCAAACTGCTTATATTTCTTCACATTCTTTTTTTTTTTTTTTTGGTAATGGAGATCAACTTTCAAGGGACCATTCTCTGCAGAGAATTCACATTTCTACAATCATGAAAAGGCAATACATTGCTTATAGATGTTGGTTTTAAGAGGCACACGCTCAAACGGACATGAATGAGGTATATTACAGACAAATATCATATTTTTTAAGGTTACCTCCTCAGAACCTAACAATTAGCTAAATATTGACATTGCATAAAAAAAAAAAAACAGTGACAAAGGAGACAAATCAGGGTTCAGACTCTGCCGATCACATTAAAAAATGTAACAGAAATCTCAGCATTGAGGCACAGATACAAACAGAAATTTACCTAGATTGAGGAATATTTCAGGATCTTAAAGTTGAGGTTTCATTTGAAGATTAAACTGTTTAAATATAATACATAATGTTGCCTTCCTTGTGTGCAGTGTCCAGGTTTCCTGGAGTCTGTGGCTGGAGCTAAGGTTAGTTTAAGAGAAACCAAGTAAAGTTGACTTATATCTTCTAGAAAATACATCTATTCTCAAAGATATGCCAAAGGTTTTTGCAAACACTGTTTTATGAAACTTCAACTTACCAAGCTTTTGGTAAGTGTAAGTGTCTAATGTGAAGAGAAAAGAATACATTGATCAACAGCTTCTGCAAATTAAATCCTCATTTCATGTCTTCTTTGAGACAGTATAACTTTAAAAGCAGCCTTCACCTTCCACCTTCAGGACCAGATAATCCAGCTGTAGATTAGATTATTATCTCTGAGCAACCCAGTTTTGATATCTGATATCATTTGATTGGTAATTACATTTAAAAAATACAATACATATTTTTTTTTTAATAAAAAGCAGCATCCAAGCTGCCATCCACATTCTTTTTTTTAGTTTTTCTGCAATGGGCTATTGTCTTTTTATCTGGAAAAAAAAATATTTGGTTTGAGTGTGCGTTTTCAATAATTTCACAGTTGTTTCTTTATGAGACATGGGTTTTCCTTTATCATACAGCCCATTCTGATTTTAGTTTAGTTATTTTTTTATTTCTTGTGTGAACCTCTATGCTTTTATCGTCCTATTTGCTTTAAAACTGACACATCTAAAGCTCCTTTATACTTGTCAAATAATAAAGAACATCTCTATCCAACTCTTATTAGTGGGTTTTAACTGTACACTATATGTAAATAATGCAAAAAAGATCAAGACCAAGATCATAACATTTATGCTTTTTCATGGTTTTTAGCTTACTTGTGATTTAATTGGCTAAAAAGAGAGATAGGAATAGAACCATTGAAATCAAACAAACAGCTTATTTTCAAGGAGGTTGATACCTAATCTCAAGTTATTTGAAACAGAAGGGCGCACCAAATTATCTCATGCATAGTCCTGATTCTATACAACTTTTGGAGATAATACAAGTTGAAGGTTTTGTTGTTACAAGGCAAAATACTAAAATATTGACATTTACCGCAAGGACAATTATACGTCAATGATTCTTATTTGAAGTGCTGAAAAACAGCAAGGTTGTTTAGGTGGATATTTATTTGGAAGATCTAAAAACATTTTCAAATGTCTTTATCCCTCTGGGTCACTTTCACCATAAACAGACTGAATTTATGAAGCACTCTTCTAGTCATGCTGACAGCTCAGAGCATTTTACACCACAGCCATATTGACCTAATCACACTGAAACATTCAAACACCAATATGCAGATCAGCATGGGGCTTGGAGTTAAGTTCCTTGCATCCTGGGCACGGAACAGGAGGAATCTGGAGTCAAAGTGTACATTGGAAGATGTCTACTCTTCCAATTAGGCTCTAAAACACTGTAATTGGTTTTAACTCTAACCTGCACACATGAGCTTGGTATTAAACATTTTATTACAAAGCTATTGGCCACATTCTTATTTATAAGATTGTTATCGACAGTAGGTCAGATAGTAACTACCTGTGACGTTTTAAAGAACTTCAATTTTAAAAATCCTAAACTGTCCCTTTAAGGACGAGAAAGGGAGCATGTGCATATTTTATGAGCTTAGGATACTGTTACTGGTGATGGAGGAATTGAAATACTGCATGTTGTTGTAAGGCACAACTCATGACTCAACAGATTTAGTCCTGAAACATTTCCATCGCTGATTTGCTGCCTCTTACATGTTGGTAATAAGAGTTAATAACAAGCCCCAAAGGCCCATACAGCTTAAACAAATAATCTGAGTGCAGAAACCCTCTTCAACAGCAGCCCTCAGAGAAAAACAATCAGCCTTTTGTCATGTTATATGCTACAATAAGAGCCATCAACATTCATGCTAAGTAAAAAAAAAAAAAAAAAAAACTGGTTTCAACCCCTTTTGTTTATGTGAAGTAGCTCAACAGATGCCTCAATGTAAACACAGACCCCTGTGTGGTTTAATGTACAGTACTGCATAAAATGGAATGCTCTCTGCCACTCTATGAGACACAACAAGAAGTCACAGTGAGTGGATTTCTTTAGTGCAGAACACTAGGAACGGTGGTGCCTATGCTGGTTTTGCCCAGGGGCTCCATGGACCAACAGACGCCTACGTATCTCCCTGCGGCGCCGCCTCTGATGCATCACAAGCTGAAGGCGCTCCATCTTAGAATGCAACGTTTTATTCTCCTCTTCAGAGGTGTGCAGCATATGACTCTCATCCCCTGCTGGAGAGAGAAGAAAAAACATCTTACACAATATGCAGAAGGAAGCTTCTATTTACAGCAGCTAATGTTCAGTGTAGCATTATTTGCACTTTCATAAAGAGGAAACTTGCACAGCCCAAAGATTCTGATCATTTAGAGCATATATCACTCAGATTTAACTGGGAGTTCATTCTGCAAATCCAACTTTGTTATATATGTCTTTATGAAATCTGACAACCTAAATATTTTGTGGTAATAGATCATACTTGATGGTATGCACTTAAATCTGCATTTAGATACGTAATTGGACTGCTTAAAAATTAACTGGAATAAATGCAAACTGGTGGTAGATCTATTGTGGATTTATTTGGTGCACTTTAAATGACTTAGGATAATATGTTTGATTTAGTGCTGCTTAAAAAGGATTGGAATGTTCAATTGAATATAAAAAAAAGATCCTCTTATAGTAATAGTATGTTATTTACCGCTGCGTTCCGTGCTTTGGCTTATAGGAGGTGTGTTTGTTTGCTTGCATGGTTCCTCTGCAGTGAGATGGCTGCCTGGAAGCTTTGAGGCAGTGCAGAGATGACATAAAGGAGGGAGCAGCGCCCCCTGGTGGTGACATGCAGCTCTGAGCAGGTCGTTAAGGATTTGGAGAATGATGGCAATGCCACGACGGGGATGACTGATGCCTCCGTGTCTGCAGGGGCCCAGGGTCCCTGATGGGATTGAACATTTGGAAAATATGAAGCAAAACACCAATAGAGTGAAAAATACAGTAAATCCAACAGAAGAGCTAAATAATAATAATCTTTTGCCTTGATTCTTTGACATTAGGTCACAAATACATTCACCTTATTTTTATAGCAGTGTATGTTTAATTTGATTAGATTTAAAAGAAAATATAAAGTGTTTTTATAAACGATCCAGAATTTTACATATTTCCTCACATTGTAACCTACACATAAATCTAATTAGGTCTAATCTGATAGATCAGATCAAAATAAGTATTGGAACACTGAAAGGAAAAGTAAAGTTGTGTTTCTTCCTAGTGTTTTAATAATTAATTTTTTTTTAAAAAAGCATTAAAAAAGTGCTCCATCACCCTGACCAGCTTTCAGAATCTTATGCAAAGAGGTTAAAATGTGTTTATAGTATGATGCTTCTTCCTGCATAACTATGGGTTATGCCGAGCTATTTTTTGCTTATTTGTATCTTTTAAGTTGAATTTTCAAAACATTCATCTGTATTTCCTGTGTTGGTGTGCCAAACTCTATGAGGAACAAAGGAGACTTAGTAAGAAAACTAAAGAAACAGACTGAAAAGGCATCCCATAATACACCTCTCCTCATGCACAGCTCCAAGGAAGGAAGAGTTTCACTGCTTAAATCAACCCCTCACATCACAGAGCCTCAAACTTTGTTGGACAGCCGCTCTCTTCCTCTTTGATATGAAAATGTTTCAGAACTATGTCATTTTTAATGTATAAGTTGTTTCTTACAAAAATATTAAGTATTTCAATTGGTCTCTCTGGTTTTCCTCTATAACCAGTACCAGGATTCTAAGTTTGCACCCTCTATGAGATTTCCCCTGACTAAAAACTAGCCAAGTCGCTTGAATCTGTCTTTCTGAGCTCCTGAAGAAAAAAAATCTGAATCCCTTAAGCATTTTTTCAATGCCTGAATAAGACACGGCTCAGAAGCTTCAACCCCACTCACTGTCCACGCTATGTCTTCTTTCTTTATCATACCTGACCATCCAACATCCTGCACCATGACATCCTCCACCGTTCATTGGAGTGATAGTAAAATTTTTTGTCTGGGTATTGAGAGAAAGTCTTGACTCTTGAATGTTTCAATTGAAATAACAATAATTTTATTTTTGTTTGCCTCGTTAAACTTTCCACCCTGTGCCCTGGAAGCCGTAATTTTGCAGCTAGTGGTGTCCCGTTTGTTATGGAGAAAATCTTCACTTGCACTTCACTCGTTGAGTGGACTTCACTGTGGAGGGAGCTCACTGGAATGTGAGAGCCAAGTGAGAGGAATAGGACTGAGCCTAATACTCCACATAGTTCCTAAAGATCATGTATGAAATTATGTTCTATTGTCTAAACTGTTTCCGGTGAGGGTTGGATTCCGCCGAGGTTGCCCTTTGTCACCGATTCTGTTCATAACTTTTATGGACAGAATTTCTAGGTGCAGCCAAGGTGTTGAGTGCCTTCTCCGGGTTGGGGAGGATGTACTTCCCCTAGTGGAGGAGTTTAAGTATCTTGGGGTCTTGCTCACGAATGAGGGGAAGATGGAGCGGGAGATCGATAGGCGGATTGGTTTGGCATCTGCTGTGAAGCGTGCGCTGTACCGGTCTGTTGTGGTGAAGAGAGAGCTGAGCCAAAAAGCAAAACTCTCGATTTACCAGTCGATCTACATTCCTACCCTCATCTATGGTCATGAGCTTTGGGTCATAACCGAAAGAATGAGATTCCGGATACAAGCGGCTGAAATGAGTTTTCTCATTAGTGTGTCTGGGCTCTCCCTTAGATATAGGGTGAGGAGCTCAGTCATCCGGGGAGGACTCAGAGTAGAGCCGCTGCTCTTCCACATCGAGAGGAGCCAGTTGAGGTGGCATCTGATTAGGATGCCTCCTGGACGTCTCCCTGGTGAGATGTTCCAGGCACGTCCTACCGGGAGGAGGCCCAGGGGGAGACCCAGGACACGCTGGAGGGACTATGTTTCTCGGCTGGCATGGGAGTGCCGAGGGATTCCCCCGGAGGAGATGGCCCAAGTGGCTGGGCCACCCTACTGAAGTTTCTACCCCCGCGACCCGACCCCAGATGTCTAAACTGTTAATGCTAAAGCTAAAAGCTTTGCTTCGCTAAGGCAGGAGCTACAGTTAGTGCTGCTGTTGTGGGACTGATGGGTTTCTAAATAACAATAAAGCAGCTATTTTCTTTGTCTTTTTTATGAGCTATTAATCTCAAGTTTGACACCATCATGTCTGCCATGGGATGAAAGTAAGACAATCGCCTTAAGCCGCCAGTTTAGTAGTCCATCACTGCTTGTGATGACTAGTTGTCAGAACATTAACACATTTTTATTTTAAAACTTATATTTATTACAACAGTATTCTAATTTCCACGCTACTTTGAATTTTAAACTGGATGTTTGAAACATGCCATGTGCTGTTTGTAATGTGCATTATCACACTGATCAGACACATCTTTTGTTTCCATTTTGTTCATAGTTTCTTAGCTTTTGGTTATTCTTTTGGTTTATTTCCTAGTTTAGTTAAACGTTAGCAAATACTTTGTTGTCTAGAGTATCTGAACTGGGAATGGAAGTATTTGGTTGATCCTTAATATTGGTGTAAGGTTCGCTGTTTGAGATCGACTTTTCTATAATACTGTCAGCAGAGAAAAACTCAAAACAATAACTGACTGAAGGCTTGTTGGGTTTAAACTCCTACTAATCAGGTGGTTCACAGACGAAGTCGTTTTGATCAAAATGAGTAACTTTGAAAACAATACTTTAACAGGTTATTTATAACCAAAAGAAAGCAACTGTTTAACGACACAGACCATCATTAAATCCCAGTTTGCAAAGTGGTCCATCCTGGCCTCTTACCGTACTTTAGTTGGCTGCCATGTCTTGTTAAGCTTTTAGGTATGCATACTCTTTTTATTTTCATTTGAAAGATCGAAAAGCGCTCTTTAAGATGTTTGGCTGATGTCAGGACCTTGACCTGTTCACTGTGTTCCTTGGTCTTAATGATGCGGATTGTTTACTAATGATCCTAAACAGACTTCTGAGGACTTCGCAAATGCAATATAGCAATACTAAAATACAATTTTTTTTTGATTATTAATAAAATGAAAATAAATAAATAAAACGGTCCAAGTGGCGAATAACTTATGGTTTCCGTGCCAGTGCATATCATAATATCGCATTAATTTAGTATTGTCTTTAGTACAAGTCCCATAACAGTGGCCAGGACCCTTTCCACAGGGGCACTGGCCCCTCTTGCCCATGTCTAGAATCGCCCATGTTACACAGTAAAATAGGCTGAACACGGAATGCAACTTTAATGTCCGTACACTTCACAGATGCTACTTTGTGTTTGTGTATCGAATTTTTAACCTGAACTGAGAAAAAGTTTAAGGGGTGCAAATACTTTTGAACTGTTTGTTCAAAGACCACATCTCAATAAAAACTTACCAGAGAAAGTTCCAGAGAAGACACCTGGAGAATGACTCGTAACACTGTCAATAACTGCTCCTGGAGACTTTAACTGTCCAGGAACATCGCCCTGTAAAGAAAAAATATAAAGATCTGAATAAAAAATATTTCTGTTAACTAAATAAATCATAAGAAGAATAAAATAATCATCAGCGACCTCTACAAAGGTTGAAGCTGGTGCTGGACTCAGACGTCCTGGTTCAGACCCCGATGGTCTGGATGAACAGACTGGTGTAGCTGCATGAGGTAGACTGTGGGAAGGTGTAGGATTCAAAAGGGGACAAGGTGTGCAGGCAGATGAGCAGCTGCCAGGTGCTGCATTGGTGGATGATATGAAGTCAGTTCTGGGTCTGTGTGTGCTGCGTTGGAGCAGGGATGTAGAATGAGCTGAAACTAAAGGTGGAGAGGACGTCTTTGAGCAGCTGAATCCCATGGAGGATCCATCAGAGGAAGATTCATGCAAGTCCACATTGTTCATCTCTGCAGGTTGACGCGTGCATCTGGGCTGAACTATTGAGTCCATATTCCCCTGGAGCTCCCTCACTTTCTGCGTCATTTGGAGCTGGACATACATTGTATGGGCACCGGCTCCCAGGCTGAGGGTTAGAGGCAGGCGTCCAGAAAGAAAGTCGTTTATCTACAAGAAGTGCAGATTAATTAAAAATGTATCCTTCACTTTGTCTTCCAAATGTTAAAACATTATTTAGTTGAAGATGAATGTTAACTTGGATACATGCTAAAACTGCTAAATGCTGAAAAATTGAAAAACTTCCTATTTAGAGAGAAAAAACAAACAAAAACAATAAATGCCAAATAGAGGTCTGATATGATAAAAAAAGGGGGAAAAAAGGAAAATCTATCTAGCTTTGGATCCAGAAAAATAACAAATCCAGTTTTTTTTCTTTATTCTTTCTTTGTGGAATTAACTCATCAACACCATGCTGGATACTGCATTTAATTTAGTTCTCTATTCCAACACCATTTACTTTGTAGATGCAATTCACAACAGATCTTACTTTGAAAGCCTGATTATTTCCTTAAAATGGCCCCAATGGCTTGCAGCTTATTCAGTTGATTGTTGATTTGAAGAAACAGAATATTTCAGCAGTTTTCTTATTTGTTTTATTAATAAAGAGTAATGTTTGTAAAACTGTCGTCTATCAGAATGACCTGGAGTCATTTCAATCCCCAACCAGTTAGGGTTGTTTTTGTTATTTTAACTAACATCAGTAGCATGCAGTGATCCTACAGATAGTAAATTAAGATTATTTACAACTGATAGAAAGGAGTTTCATCCTACCTACTTTAAATTTTAGGTGGGAGCCTTGAGGATATACTTTGTAGGACAAAAGTAAGGTCCCTAACAGTGGACAGAGGATTGCCAGTATTAGGTCTATATACATAAAAATATAAAATGATGCAGGTATAGTTTTCCAATTCAAACATATATTAAACTGATAATTGATCATGAATTCACTTAAATGCTAAACTTTAAGCCAGACTGACTGCAGAGAGTCACTGTTTTTGCATCACTTCCTCATCCAGTGGTAGCATGTTGTAGCAGTGGGAAGAAAACTCCAATTTAAGGGAACTATCCTCCAGCAGGAGGATAGTTCACATTTCCTTTTACTTTAGTGCAAGAAATCAAATTAAAATCACCAAGACTAAATGATTGTTTAAACTGTTCAGATAACCCCATTGAAAGTTTAAAAAAACTGAAAATCAAAGTCCCCATGGTCTTATTCAAGGACAAACTTCTAATCTAAATAACCAATTACATATTCATTATTTATGCATAATATAACTTCACCAGATCAGAGCATTAAATCAATCTAGTAAACTGTGGTGCCTTTGCTGTACCTTTCTCATATCTTACCCAGAATAGCACAGGGTATCCTGAGCTATATTCTATATTTATGCTGCTATAGGCTTAGGCCTATGGAGGACATAGGGAACACTTTTCATCATTCTGCTTTTATCTATCTCTATTCCACCATTATGCAATATTTTTCAGTTCAACTAATAATCTGATTCTCAGTCGTAGCTTCATATGGTCTGTTCCTATTTGGCTGTGACACCATCCTGGTGAGAAATATCAGCTGGGCTGCAGCCATCAACAGCTTTCTTTGTATATGTCGGAGTCAGGCCAGTTTTTTTTTTAGAGTAGTCCTGTTTCTCTCCTCGACTCGTCTTCTACTGTGACTAATTGTATGTGCTCTCTCATCCCTTGACATGTAAACTGACTCAGAACTCAACTTTTCTTTTCTAGGAAGAGCAACCTGTTGAGCTATCGTTTGTGTATTTGCCTCGGTTTTCTGTCTCGTTGAACCCCTGTTGGCCTTGACAGGAGGCCTCTCATGCTGGGCCTGGTTCTGCAGGTTTTTTTTTTTTTTTTAAGGGAGTTTTCTTTTCTCCACTGTTGCTACATGTATGCTTGGTGCAAGGGGTTGCTGTAGAGTCAATGACAAAATGCAAGCAAATATGGCCGCCACAAGCTCCTCCAGGAGGAGTGTGTCCTGCAAGTCAAATGTCGTAATGCATTTAGCTGGTTTTCCTTGATAGAAACCTTCTACCAACCTGACTGTATGATCTGATTGGATAGTCTCTGGAATACCTTGAGATGACATGTGTTTTAAAATGGCTCTATAAATATAGTGAACTGAAAAAAAAAGTATGAATTAAATGAAATGACCCAAGCAACAAGCCTAGAGGTACTTAATTACTAACTTTGGTGCTTTAGGAAACTTCTACAGTTTCTAAAAGACATTACAAACTAGCATTATCTGCAAAGTGCACAGAGTCAGAATCAGATAAAATTTATTTTTTAGCTTTAGCGCTTTGTTTTTACATGAAATAAATAAACCCCTTAGGCAAACTCTTACCTGGGACTCTGTTAAACTCTCCAAGGTGTTCATCACTGTCCTCTCTTTAGTTGAATTCTGCATCAGAACAAAAACCTATGTATTAAACTGTGATTACATTAATTATATTTATGTCAGAGCGTGCAGTGAGGTTCACTTACCGCTGAACCAGTTTCAATGACAGGGACCAGAGTCAATCTGCTGCCATCTGTCACTCCCTGCTCCACCAGTGCCCCCGCAGTCAGGTGCCTAATGGTATAAACATGTGATGCAGGTTATGCATTATGTGCAGGTTATGCAAGTTTAAGTGTAACGTCCCCTTAACATGGAAATCCACCACACATCCTGTACCCTACCTGTCTTTATGAACCACTATGATCCTGTCTGTTTGCAGCCTCAGTTTTTGGGAGATCAGCCTCCTCAGACCCTCGGCAGTCTCTCCCCGGTGGACACTGAGCTCCACCGGGAAGCCGGTTGTTGAAGTGACGGTCAAACGCATCGGTGTCCACCTGCTGGACACCCAAACACCGCCTAGAGGCTCAGGAGTAGTGAAGCTACAGGAGCTCCGCTGCTGCTGCAGACGGTCTTTAAAATTAAACCTTGATTAAAATAACTAAAACAAAACAACAAACGATATCTGTTTACTTCTCATCCCAATTGCTTCATCCGACGCAACAAATGTTATAAAACTCAGGAAAATGACGATGTAATTACAGTGCACTGTGTGACAGCTTCCTGAGTGTGACCTAAACAACGCTTAGCTAAGAGTAAAACGTACGTATCCCTGTTAGGAATACGCCCCGCCCCTCGAAACTCACAGCCAATCAGTGAAAGCTGACACAATTTTAAGGCAACATCTTATCCAATCAGGTAGCTTTGTCTCTGTGAGGCTCCACCAATGTTTGTTTTTTACTCCCCATTCATAAATGATGCAATATAACCACGTTAGAAACAGGATGTCAAATGTCTTTGCTGAAATTACAAACTTTGAGATATTCCGGGATTATCCGGATTAATCAAAGTGTACGCATGAAAAAAAAGTATATATTTTTTTTCTCCACAAAAATTATATACTGTCTCTGAAGTTATCTATGTCACTTTTATTATATTTCAGTTTTAGATTAGGTCTCAATATTTTCTCTTCTTTACATATTACAGGTGATGTGCTGGTACTGCAACTTTCCAATTTTTACCTCTTAAACAGTTGTAAACCTTTGAGATGACCTTTGAGAACTGTACCTTTAGCTTTTTACTATTAAACCTTGCAAAAGTACTAAAAAAGTAATACATTGCAATGCATTTGTTTGGATTTTTTTTTGTTTTATACAAAACAATACATTTTTTTAATATTGACATTTTCTTGCAAAAACAAGAAGCTAAATCCTGTTTTTATTGTACAACACTGATTAAATTTCATTTAAAGCTATGTCATTCAATTAGTGTGCAGCTTGCATAAAATAATTATTAACTGTCTGGTCGAAATAGCTAATATTCACTGTCTAAACAACTGGTAGTAAAAGTGAGTATATAAAGGTGAAAAATGTTCAACTTTTGCCCAAGGTGAAAAGATTTTGAGTAGCACCGTTCCTTCTGCATTAACGCTCAGAAAGGGAGTTTACTAGCGCTTTTAATCTTCCACTGGAATCTTCTTCCATGATGACGTTCATCGTGGAAAGATGTTAGTCATTTTCTAACATATTGGTGTCTGTTCAACATGCAAGACTATATTGATGTTAAAGCCTAAACCATGAAATTACTGTCAGAAAATGCAATTTTTAAACTAGAGTTGTCATTCAACCTGACAAATAAATAAAAAAAATTAATAAGTTAAATTAGATAAGTTGTTTTTATAATTTGTGATACAATAGTCATTTATGTGCAATTTATTCATGATTTTCTGTTCCCTAGTGTCTGATTGTCTCTTTAAGAGCAAAAATGTCACAGTATATTGTGATTGTTTTTTTCATGGAGTCCAAGATTTAAGGACATATGATATTGGTAAATCATCAACATTAAAAGATATATCAATATCAAAAATGCATGTCAGCCCAAATTTTCATATCCGTGCATTTTTATGTTTGATATGATTTTAATTTATGTATAAAAAAAGAAGCACCATGTGCGACTGATTTATTGAAAAATATGTCATTTTACATCAACCCAGCTGTTATTATTTGCATATTGCAGCTGTTAAATACAGACTTATTGGCCCATCCTTCTCTTTTTTTGTTCAGTACATGCTCCTGTTGACATTACATTTCTTTTGCTCACTTTTATACAATGAATTTCATGTCTTTTGTCCTTTTGCATTTTCACTTCATGTTTTACCCTTTGACTTAGTCCAAGCTTTTGTATGCACCGTATCAAACAATTTTTTGGGCCACACTGCAGTATTTTGAGGGGTTTTTATTGTTCAGTTAAACACTGTTTTTTTATTTTTAATGTTTAAGTCTTGCATAATTTCAAGTTAAGTTGTTGGCTGTGGAGGTACACAATAAGCACTTTGTATTTTGCAGAATCTGGTATTATCAGCAGTGAGGTCACTTGATGCAGAGCAGAGAGAAGAGCTCAAAGTAAAACATGACGTAGGAAGCGAGGGAGGGCAGAGAGATGGAGCTAATGTATGCCTTGCTGTGGCCAAAAATAGCTGCAGCAGTAGCATCACTCTGTCTTTATAGCCTGCGTCACTTCTCTCCCATACCTTACCCTACATGTTTGTTTGCCAGCGTAGAATGTTTTTTTTTTCCCTTTAAAGATCAACAAGGAACGAATGATAAGATATCGTTCAACACAAGATCTTATCTTCAATGTAAATGTCAGGTAAATATTTGAGGTACCTCTAAGGATTCCCTTCCTGGTGTTGCTTTTCTCTTTCATGGCCTCAGCGATGATATTTAACCTGAATCATGCATTTTGTTTTCCTCTGAAATGGGACAGGGAGCTGCTTTAAAGGTTCTGAGCCTCGGCGAGACCAGTTACACAGGATGTCCTGCTAGACAGACGCAGTTCTGACGTCAAGCAGCAAACACACAGCATTCATCATCTCCTTCACATTTCACATTCCTTCTTTCCTATGACCTTTACTTATGATATCTATTCTAAATATATTACTCATGTGGAATTTCATGCCTTACTATTATATGATTTTAGAAATATTACAAGTCATCAGAGTCACCGAAATTCTGGTAAACAGTTTTAAAAAATGTGTCCACTTCCTGATCTTACAAACATAGGCGGTTTTTATTAGAGATAGGACACCACATGTAACTGCTCTATTTAAATAAACCCTAATTAACCTCAGCAAAAATCAGCTGCCTGTGCATGACTTCATGCACATTTTAAATGAAAACAGCAAAGCAATAAGATCAGGAAGCAATGGGAGCAATGGGGAGATTTTAAGCTATATGTTAGCTTTTGCTATCTACACAAAATCCTAAAGCTTTTGGAGGAAGCATTACAGAACAATGAAAACCGGTAAACTTTAAAGATAGCTGGTTATTGGGAAACTATGAGGAGATGCTGCGTTGAGGCTATTTTTCTTTGTTTTCTGCTGTTATTCTGGTATAAGGTTAACATTTTGTTCACTGTTGAGATACAACAATCTCTCATGAGTTTAAGTGAGCTCTATCCATCTTTCTATCCAGGTTACATGTTACAGGGCAATCAAACATTTATTTAAAAAAAAATGGAAAGAAGCTGGAGTACCCTGACAGAACCCATACATGTGCAAAGAGAATATTTGGTCTCCACATACAGAACCTGGCTGGGATTTAAACCCAGAACTTAAAATCCATCCATCTATCCATTTATTTTCCTTCACGCGTATCCCTGCTGGGGTTGCTAGGGATGCTGGTGCCTTTCTCCAGCTGTCAACGGGCGAGAGACGGGGTACAGTCTGAACAGGTCACCAGTTCAGTTCATTTTAAGGTTTATATAATGACATTTTTTTTAAATAATAGCCTGTATTCTCTCTGTTTTGGTATTAAAATTCTGGTGTTTACAGCAGCAAAAAGATTATAGAAAAAAATTGCCACAAATGTGCATCTTATAAGAACATAATAGTGAAGAGTTAAATGATAAATAAACAATAAAATCCAATACTGTTAAGTGTTTTAACAATATAAAAAAAACGTGAACCTGGAGAATAAATAACCAATATACAGCTATGGACATTTTTACAGTAATGGATATTTGAAAATAGCCGAGATGTGCAAAAATGACAGCAGCATGTTATTTAACTGACTAAGATAGAAACTGTGCAAATTAGATTTGAATTATTTGAATTGAACATGAAGTGAACATGAATTAAAGTTCAAAGAGACAAACAAGACAAACAAATATTCACACACACTAAACTATTCACACACACATTAAAAACTACGGAGAATTTAGAGAACCCAATTAACCTAACAGTCATGTTTTTGGACTGTTGGAGGAAGCGGGAGTACCCAGAGAGAACCCATGCATGCTCAGGAAGAACATGCCAGCTCCATGTTGAAAATCCCCTTCTTGTAAAATGTTTTATTTAGTTCTTGTTCTGGTAAAGCTGGTATGTAAACTGATAAGAGATTTCATATCAACTCAAAACAGGAACATGTTTTTCCTTTAATAATATATATGAAAATATAACAAAATATTTTAAATGAATTCTCTTTTGATCTCTTTAAATTACTGAATTAATAAGTTACACACACAAACACAAGAGTCAATTTATGGTTAAAACATCTTAAAAGTGCTGTAGGGGATTTTCAATCAGGAGGTTTTCCTATGAGTGCTGCTAAATATAATTTCATTCAATTTCACTGAGCTACAAAGGTTGCTCAAAAACCTTCTTTAGAATAATTCATTTAACCTAGCTGCCATTGGGGTGATGACAGGATATAAATACAGGGGGGAAAAAAACTTACAGCTCTGCATATTTTCTCAATTTTTAGTCTGGCTATCAGCTTTCCATCAGAGAGTGACTGACTAGGAAGAATATGTGAAACACAACAAAAATTTAACTGAGTAAAATGAACTTAAATTATTTTTTATGCATTAAAAGGTATTCTTTTCATAAGCTTTTTTAAAGGGCTTTGATCATGTGACTTCATACCGAAAACCAGACTAATACCAATCAAGAATTCACTTGATCAGAAGCTACTTGGAAACACGAAGTAGACTAAAAGATCTTAAATCTAGAATTGATTTACTAAAAATAAAGTTATTTTTTGTGCTTTAGATCCAGGACGAGTTCACAAGGTAAAAGAATGATTCCAACTTATATTCTCCAATTCTGTTCACAGTCAGAATGACCCTAAATAGCAGATATAATTAGATCCGAAGTTTAGTTCGGGGTTTCTTTTAGATAAAGACTAACACATCGAATACCATAAACAATTCCTTTATTGTAATGTTGCAGTATTTGATTTTTTATCTGGGTTAGAAAACTGATCAAAGAAGACTCTGATATGAATCGCAACACACAGGAGAAGCTCAGTATAAAAATAATATATATGCAGCTATAATAAAATTTTTTTTACAAAACCTTCCCTCAAGCTTCTTGAATCTGTTATCAGGGTTTTGCAGGCCAGTAGAGAAAAAGAATTCAAACAAACATTTGACAACACTTTGATTTCCATAGTTTAATAGAAAATTTGTTCTTCAGATGTGATATCTTTCCTTTTGGTTATATCACAAAGGCCCTGGATTAAGAATAGGCAGGCACTGGGATCATTTCGGATATATATATATATATATATATATATATATATATATATATATATATATATATATATATATATATATATATATATATATATATATATATATATATATATATATATATATATATATATATATATATATATATATATATATATATATATATATATATATATATATATATATATATATATATATAAATCCTATTCCTGTATTGGATAGAGTGAAAACACTTGAATATTCCAACTTTTAGCTTCCTTTCAACCGCAGAAACAAAAGTGCTATGCTGCCACCAAGTGGCCAACTGCAGAATTACACAAATGGTTACCGCATCTGTTTGAGCATCTTTTCTCACAACAAGGATTCAGCTGCTGCGTCAAAGACATCAAAGTAAAACCCCTGCAGATAGGAGGCTTTATTTGACGCTCTGAGCTTCAGAGGCGAAGCGTCCCGTCAGCAGGGGCCAATCACCAGCCTGCTGAATGGAAACGACTCTTCTCCTCCATCTCACATCATGACCGCCACCACCACCATCATCATCATCGTCAGTGCTGGTCACGTGGTGCTTCGGGAGCTGGCAGTGGGTGTGTCCAATCGCGTGTGGTTTCATTCATAACTACAGTCGTTATTTGAAGCCCAGGATAAAGTATGCAGACGGTGCAGACTGGCTGCGGCCCGCTTCACACCGACTCTACGACCAGGTGAGTCCCTGTTTATCATCTCAGACTCCAGCCGTCCATCCTACATCCAGGTGCTGTTTTAATTATATAAGACAGAGGCTATTTTAGCGGTGTCAGATGTCGGAGTTCCCTCATCAGCGGGGTCCATGTCGTGATTTATCCCCCCCTCCTCCTCCTGGCGGCGCGTTGACATGATGGGACAGCCCTGCTGCTGATCGGGGGGATTTTTGCCTCTGCTGCCGATGGTGCTGATGCTGAGCGCATCTCTGTGGTCCCCCTGCGAAAGGAGGAGGGACTCCACCAACAGCTTCCCTTATCGACCGATTCAGCACATCTGGAGCCCATGATCACAAAAAACATCTGCTTGGATGATAAAGCCTGGATAATATAATATGCTGTGTTTTTATCATTTTGGTATTGAGGTTTTTTTTTTGTTTTTTTGTTTACTGAATAATAGGAAAACGAATCGTATTTTTATTTATTTATATTTTTGAATGGGATTAAAGTTGTCGACAAGGGCTCTGCATTCTATATGATAAACTATTTTAATTCCTAATGCAACTGATAACTGTTGTGTATGTTTTGATGCATCTGCACAGAATATGAACAAAAACAGGGCACCACTGGTGCAAGGCTTTTTAAGGGGAGCTTTCTGTTGTTGTTTTTTTATTCTATTACTAATAGATCACTCAGATTCACTCGTTCCACAAAATAAATGTGTGTTTTTATTTGTTTCGACAAAATGGCAATAATTCTTTTAAATTCATGAACCAGTAAATCTTGGTTTAGGCTTTTATTATTGTTAAAGATAGGCTCTGTGTATGCACCCTGATGCTCTATCTTTCCGGTTCTTTTCCCTGGAAAGAGATCACTCGGGACAAACTCTTTAAATAACATTTCATAACTTATATCTATTAAATAACCAGGAGACATGACAACAGATTTTGATAGAAATTTTAATCTTACTCAGATCAGAGAAGTTGCTTAGAGTTTACAGAAGGCAGTTTCTCACCTCTGGGCTCACCTCTCAGGAAGTGGCCCCGATTAGCGGTTAAAAAGGCATTTTATACATCTCCAGCCTGCCACATCATCATATTTTACATCATACACATTAGAAGATGATTAGACATCCATGGCTCCAGACTTATCAAAATAGGTCACCGCTTTCATTCCATTTCCAAATCTTTGCCACAAACAGAATGAAAATTATAACTGTAAATCCAGACAGAGGAAATGTCCTAATTAGATTAAAACATCAGTTCTGACGCGCAACAGACAGCCCATAGGGTGTGATAAACTCACACATCTTCAATGATAATTATCCTAACATCATCTTTAAAAACTTAATTTCAGCTCTTGACAAATTTGATCTGTAGAAGCAGTGGCCAAAGTGGCTCTTTGAATTGAAAGATTGCAGAACCCACTTAAAGATGAAAGTGAACGAAGCTAAATTGAGCAAAACAGTTTTTTTGTGTGTGTTTTATTAAGTGCCACAAATATCACTTGTGAGGCAAATGTTTAGGTTTGGAGCTTTATATTTAATTTATGAATTAATATTTACACCTTTACCCTGAAAGCTAAAAGGGAATTTATTTAGACAGGACTGTGCGATTACAATACGCTGCAGAGGGGAGTCTGTATCCAGATTAGGGAGGGAATTAGTTAAATAATTAATAAACCATTTAGGGAAATAATGGGTGGGGGGGGGCTGTATTTTGTGGCCATGCAATGTATTTTCATGCTACACAAAGTGGTGTAACATTGTGGACAGTATAAATGGAATATTAAATCTGAAAAGTGTGGCATGCATTTGTGGAATTTTGGTCAAGATAAGATGGAGACCTGGAAAAATCAATCTCTACATATTCTAATTGGATGTATACTTACAGAAGATAGTCATTAGACCTTTTGAATACACAAATAAACATTGGTGTAAACTTTACATACTGCAAAAAAATAAATAAATAAAAAAAAAAAATAAAAATCAGCATTGTAATGTTTATATGTGATTTAATAAATCTTTGAAGGAACATAATCATAAATTGTTGTATTTCAAGAGAAAAAAATTCATGTTTTGCATTAATATTTGATTCAGCCTACTGGATAGAAAGAATTTGAAATTATTGCATTGACACAGAGCTTCAAGGGACATCTGGATAATTTTCACCAGATTTATTGTCACTGAGGAAGAAAAGCAATACCAGATGATGATGATGCAACTGCCACTTTTTATTATAAAGTGTAGCTTTAAAAGTCAAATATTGTTTTACATGAAAAGTAATAATTTAGTTTCATTCATCCTACACTTCATGGCTTCTGCAGATTGCAATAGAAGCTCCTTATTTCGAACTGAATAGAATACAATACAAAATCCCCATTATTGTACCACAATGGGGAAATTCTGGAAAATGTGTCTGTTTCTATGGTAGCTTTCTTCTTGCCACATTACAACCATAGCCTAATTATGCAGCAAGTTAGAGGTATAGTGGAGGATGTCCTTTTTCCAGGTGGATCATCAAAATAAATGGTCCTCCTAATTGTCAATCATACTGGTGATATGTTTACATAAGCTTGTCCTACGTGCTCTTGCCCATTATCACTTATCGGTGGAGAGTCTGACAAAGTGAAACAATTGAAATCATCTTTTGGAACGTAAGCTTGTATGAGCGATGCAAACGGCAACCTTTAATCAGTGCATGCACGAGGAGAAATGGGCTTGTTTTTTAAGTGGTAAGGGCGGGTCTTTTCAGTAATTCCCGAAAATCCTCCACTATACCTTTAAGTAGTGCAACATGTTGAAGATAAGCTTTACTGTCTATCAAGGTTAGCAGGGAATAAAACGCCAAATTTTATAAATTCATTCACTGACCTTTAAGATACATCATCTGTTGATCAGTTAATCCGTTTCATCTATTTTAAATCCCCTTCACGCTCCTATACCAACTGATTTGTTCATGTGATAATGAATTCAATCCGGACTGATATCCACTTTGGATTTCAAACATTTAATCGACAAAAGCTTCAGATAGCACGCTGCTCTATTTCAGTAACGTGTGAATGAGAGAAAACTCTCATAAGACACTCACAAATGTCAGGACAGAAATAACGCATGGACTGTGACTATGAGTGAAGCATCGAGGTTGATTATTTTTCAGAACAAGGATTCACAGCCATGTACAGTGTGAACACTGTTATGTGCTTTAGAGCTGCGGACTCATCATAGTTACCTTGAGCTGAGATATTACATAAAATATGAGTCTCCCTCACAGCGAGGGAATGTGCAGCAGGATTATCAGCAGGTGTTAGGTATGCATTGGAGGACTGATGTTACACAAGCTGCACAGACTTGTTGGAGAATAGTTCTTCTCACCTTAGAGATGGAGCCAGAACGTCACTGGGCTGATGAGACAAAATGGAGGCATTCTTTATAGCTTCCTCCTCCACCAAGAATTTAGTAAATCTGAACAATTAATTGGTCTGTTCTCGAGTTCTTCTATGAGGATCTTCTGTTTTGACAGCAACACCAGATACTTTAGACACCTGAACAAGCATTTTTGAGTCCATCTCCATAGTAATTGAATAGAATAGTCAGACACTAAGAAGCACATTCTGAGTTCTACAGTTTGAGAGATGCTGCAAAAAGAAGGATGAGGCTCTAAGCCATGAAGTTAAAGGCAATAATGACGATTATAAAAAAAATGAACAAAGTAAACGCAATTAAAATAATGAAAATAAATATAGTTGAATGTAAAAATAATATACTAAATGAAAAACATAATTTCCCCCATTTCCCCAAAAAGAAGAAACCACAGTCAGATTTACAGCAGATTATGCTCTAAACAGCTGGATGTATCTCTGTCATCTTCTTTCAGCATCTGCTTCACTTAAGGTTGTCAGCCATTGCTTAAAAAGGCATTGTCCCATATGGATAGACAAAAATACAACTTTTGCTCTGTCTAACTTTAGGGCAGTGGTGTCAAAAGTACACACATTTGTTACTTAAGTAGAAGTATAGATACTGCAGTTTAAAAACACTCTGGTAAAGTTGAAGTATCAAATTGACCTCATTACTCAATTAAAAGTGAAAAAGTATGTGCTCCAAAAACTACTTAAAGTATAAAGTAACCTTTAAAAACCCAGCCAGACGCTCTTGCCTGTGTCCGACCTTTCAGACATTTCAACATCTTTTTCTGAATCCAACATTGTGGCATGGCATAGACAATTCATGTTTTCAGTCTGAAGAACTCCTGCTTGCTTCTGATGATTTCCTTTAGCTAACCAATAAGTTTTTGTGTTATATGACTCATCTAATTACACTAGTGTTCACTAGATGTGGATGGCGCCAATGATCTTTATTGGATGGTGCACATGACGTGAAATACATTTCTTTCAAACATTAAACTAGAGCCAAGAGTAATGGGTAACGTTTTTTTTTTTTTTTAATGTAAGGAATAGAAAGTACAAATACTTGTGTGAACAAAGTATTTGTACTTTGTTACTTGACACCTCTGCTTTAGGGTGACCAGTTTAAATAACAAATTTGGGACAAGTAGGGGGGCAATGGGGGAACAGACGCGATTTCGCAGCTCTAGGTTTCATTTACTGTGTTGCTCTATAGTAAGTAAAGAGACTTCAAATTACAAATCACATTTATCCATTAAGTTATTTCAGGAGGCAATCAGTTGCACAGTCTTTTGTTTTGGGGGAATTACAGGTACAAAATAGGCTGAAAACACATGATTTTAATTTCATTTGAAAATATTTAAGAAACATGCATTATTTTCCTTCCAATTCATTGCAAAGAAAATCCCCCAAACACTGAAGTTCATGACAAAATATGAACAGGATAAAAAGCTTTGCATCGAGCATTATGAGCAAATTTTACCTTACAATACAAATTCTCTGGACACAAATTGCATAGAAGCCCAATCGAAGTGAATCAGCTGATATCTCTGAGGTGGAGAAACACTTATATACTGCAAGGGGAAAAGATGTTAAATACTTTCTGTAACTTTCGTAGAGAATCTATTGCAGATTGACAAGACAGCAATTAAACACTCAGATCTATTTGGTATTTCATTGATGCAGTTTTTTTTATTGTCTAATTCATCTTTGTTTTTGTTCCGGTTGATGTTTTTTTTTTCTTCACCTCCAGCCTTTCAAACATAAGTAAATGCTTCAAAGATACAAGACTGAATCTATGTGGACTTGAATTAAGCAGCAAGGATCATGCATTCAAAACTCCAGCTAAAAGGTGTAAAAGATGGAACCAGTAACATCCAATCCTTATAGTTCCTGTATGCACGCCTCTATCACTTCATAGTGTTGTTTTAATGACATTGATAATAACCTGTTTAATCCTTTACCACCATGAATAGCAGACTGCTCATGGTGGGGACAGCTAGCCTTTAATCCTTACATTTTTTTAAAATATGGAATACTTTCTTGGTGCATGTCAAAGTCTCGATCACTACTAGGGGAAGTGATTCTCTCCCACAGGAGTCAGAACTTTGCGAAGCCAGCTCATGCAAACCGAAAGGCTCGTGTGATTTAGTGAGGGTAACTATGCTCATCATAGGCATGACTGTCAGATTCCTTTTGTGCTTCAAATGATTCACTGGAGCTGTTCTGTTTTCAGGGTAGTTTAGTCATGCAAAAATCAACTGCAATGAATTTCGACAAAAACTAACGGTGACAGTATAGTAGGCAGGTAAAAAATTTATTGTGGTTTTTATCAAGATCAAAGGTTTTTTAATATGTGCATAAATTCCTACAAAATATCTGTTTCTATATTTCTCTTTTCGATTATTAACAGGCTTTAGGTATAATTGTGGACAGATGACTGCTACTTTTTGCGGAATTTGTGCAAATATGATAAAATGGAAGGTTTCTGTTATCAGTTTAGGCTAAAATCTACCAGTTTAACCAGGATTGATTTGGGGAGTTTAAAAATGTAGTCCAGCTGTTTAATGATGTGTTTGATGTGTTTTGTAGTTTCATTGTTCAATTGGAAAAACTCATTCTAAGAATAAACAGTTTAGCTGGTAAATTGAAGTTTAATGTTTTCCTCCTTCATCAATGTCGCTCCCACTGGGAGCAATACCTCAGACATGAAGCTGACTCAAAGGAGATAATAACACAGAAGAAACATAATAGAAAGGCCTATTTAAGGACATGAATATTTAAAGAGTACAGATATGGTTCTCGCATGCTGTGTAGCTCCTTCATTCTACTACGTTTCAGTTAAAACAATTATTGGTTCAACAAAAAGGTAGTATTGCAGACTAAACAAATGCCTTCCAAGGAGTCAGCAGCTGTCTTTTACAGTATATTGTGTTTTCCAACACAGGGTTTACCGACCTCTCTGTGCTGCGGCCCATCCAGACAGCATTAGTTTCTAGCCAGGGACATAACACCTTCTTCACTAGTTTCTCCAAGAGAGTAAGCTAGAAAGCCTGCCAGGCCAGTTGAGAGATATTGTCCCTCCAACGTGTCCTGGATCGTCTTCTAGGCCTGCTCCCGATGGGACATGCCTGGACTATTCCTGAGAGAGAGAGAGGATCCAAAAAAGATGTCCGAACCACCTCTGCGGACTATTTTTGATGTGAAGCAGAAGAGGCTCTACTCCAAGCCTGTCTTGAAGGCTGAGCTCCTCACCCTATCTCTATGGGAGAGCTCAGCCACCCTGTAGAGAAAGCTCTTTTCATTGCTTGCATCCATGATTCATTCTTTCCGTCATGATCCAGATTTCATAACCATAGTTTAGGGTAGGAATGTAGACATACCAGTAAATCGAGAGCTTTTCCTTTTTGCTCAGATCTCTCTTTACCACAGCAGACCAGTGTATTATTTGCATTATAGCAGCAGTCACACCAATCCATCTAGAATAGAGCTCCCGCTCTATTCTAATTTAACCTGTGACCAGGACCCCAAGATACTTAAACTCCTCCACTTGAGGCAGGACCTCTCCTCCAACTTGAAGGGGACAAGCTACCCTTTTCCTGTCGAGAACCATGGCCCAATGAACCGTCCCAATGCATGCGGTGGGTCTTAGTGGGAGGGAACCAGCAGAACCACGTCATCTACAAAATGCAGGGATCCGCTGGTCTCAGAACCAGAACCCCTCCTGACTCTTGGCTGCGCCTAGAAGTTCTAGCTCAGCATCATTAGGCTTTATTGGAAAACACAAATTTTATTAACTTTATGCTGGTTTGAAGAGAATAATGTCATCTAGAAGGTGTTTTAAAAATGCATCAACTCTCCAGCATGGATTTAACAACATCATGCTGGTGGTTTGTTTTGCTGACAGCTGCATTGATGCATTGAACAAACTGAATAGATCATATATTTGCTAGATTACATCCAAATGTAAATGAAACACAGCTGGGCTTCACAATATGATTACAAATAAAACAAAAGTAGGGAAACAGATTCTATGACTCAGTTCTTAGTCCTGTTTGAGATCTATGGACAATGTTTAAAAGCCAAGTGTATGACATGATGCTAACCTTTTTAAATTAGCTCATTTATTTCAGAGGCTACTTGATGGCTAGTTTAAATCCCATTTAAATGTGAGAGAAGGTATATTTATCTAATCGGAAATGGATGTTTAAAATTTGATCTGCATCTCTGTCCTACTGTCTCTTCTTCCTCCACAGGGCTCACTCACTCTGACCTGGACCATGAGCAATGATCTGCCTGTTCTGACGAGTCTGACCGAGAACTCTACTGTGAGTATACTGCTCCAGCAACACATGCTGTCCACACCTTCAGATGGTGCTGGATCATCACGGTTTGCGTGAAGAAGATGTCTCAATGCTTTCTGAATCCTGCTGGGTTTCCGCCACAAAGAAAGACATGTTGGAAAAACTGTGTTCCAGGTGTTAGCTTTAATCTGCAGGTGATGGGCAAAGAGAAACGATAGTAAAACAGAACAGGATGGATGAGAGAGAGAGAGACAGTGAATCCGGGCTGGTTGTTATGATTATTGTCAGTTAAAGTTCTCAGTGGAGACATAGAATTGACTGCCTTGTTGGTCTGCACAGTGAGTCAGAAAGATGACCTGAAGAGCGGTGAGAGGCCTCGCTGCTCCGGCTGATTGATGGAGCTGTTCTAACCGTTTGGCTGGGTTTGTAAAAACAGCAGGTTTCATTAAGTCCCGGCCACGCCGATGCACTCACACACACACGCACACACACATCGCTTCTTATCTTGTTATATGTAGTGAGGACAGTGTGTAGACTCCTATTGGCTTCCATTAATTGTCAGTCATTTTCAACCTTTTTTTATGCAATAACCCTGGCATACCTAATCCCAGTCTTAACCTAAATTTAATTTACAACTAAGCCCTAAACCTCATAGAAAGTGAGGACCACCATCATGTGCTCACTTTGGCAGAAACGCTCCTCGATTTGATGCTGAAATCACAAAAAATTTTCCTCATTCTGATGCTAAAACAGGAACTCCCCCTTTACACGCCTACATCCAGCTGTTTCAGACACACATAAAGATACTCTCCCTACTTCTCAACACTTTTCATCAAAAGAGTGAGACCTTCTTGTGCTTTTAACCTAAATTACCAAGGACATATTTCCTCCAGTCTCTTCAGCTGACAATTTCCTAAGCAATGTTTTTTTAATGCTTTAAAAAAACACAACAAAAAAAACTATCTGACAGAGACATGTCAGTAAGTTAAGCTTAAGGTTTAGAAAATTGAGAAAATGTGACACAGTGAAAATGTCAGAGATGTCTGCTGTTGTTCAGCTGGTGTGCCAAGAATGTCAAGAATGCTCAGTTATGTAGACAAAGAACCAGGCTAAAGATTACTTGTCAGGGAACGAAAGATCAATGCTTCAGTATTTGATTTAACAGGTACAGCAGTAAATGTTTTACATTCATCTATGGATTCTGTTCCTTTTCAATGCAACTCAAACTGTATTTCTAAAGATCTCGTCAAAACAAGAAAAGTTATACACTATATTGCCAAAAGTATTTGCTCACCCATCCAAATTATTGGAATCAGGTGTTCCAATCACTTCCATGGCCACAGGTGTATAAATTCAAGCACCTAGGCATGCAGACTGTTTTTACAAACATTTGTGAAAGAATGGGTCGCTCTCAGGAGCTCAGTGAATTCCAGCGTGGAACTGTGATAGGATGCCACCTGTGCAACAAATCCAGTCGTGAAATTTCCTCGCTCCTAAATATTCCACAGTCAACTGTCAGCTGTATTATAAGAAAATGGAAGTGTTTGGGAACGACAGCAACTCAGCCACGAAGTGGTAGGCCACGTAAACTGACGGAGCGGGGTCAGCGGATGCTGACGCGCATAGTGCGAAGAGGTCGCCAACTTTCTGCAGAGTCAATCACTACAGACCTCCAAACTTCATGTGGCCTTCAGATTAGCTCAAGAACAGTGCGCAGAGAGCTTCATGGAATGGGTTTCCATGGTCGAGCAGCTGCATCCAAGCCATACATCACCAAGTGCAATGCAAAGCGTCGGATGCGGTGGTGTAAAGCACGCCGCCACTGGACTCTAGAGCAGTGGAGACGCGTTCTCTGGAGTGATGAATCGCGCTTCTCCATCTGGCAATCTGATGGACGGGTCTGGGTTTGGCGGTTGCCAGGAGAACGGTACTTGTCTGACTGCATTGTGCCAAGTGTAAAGTTTGGTGGAGGGGGGATTATGGTGTGGGGTTGTTTTTCAGGAGCTGGGCTTGGCCCCTTAGTTCCAGTGAAAGGAACTCTGAATGCTTCAGCATACCAAGACATTTTGGACAATTCCATGCTCCCAACTTTGTGGGAACAGTTTGGAGCTGGCCCCTTCCTCTTCCAACATGACTGTGCACCAGTGCACAAAGCAAGGTCCATAAAGACATGGATGACAGAGTCTGGTGTGGATGAACTTGACTGGCCTGCACAGAGTCCTGACCTCAACCCGATAGAACACCTTTGGGATGAATTAGAGCGGAGACTGAGAGCCAGGCCTTCTCGTCCAACATCAGTGTGCGACCTCACAAATGCGCTTCTGGAAGAATGGTCAAAAATTCCCATAAACACACTCCTAAACCTTGTGGACAGCCTTCCCAGAAGAGTTGAAGCTGTTCTAGCTGCAAAGGGTGGACCGACGTCATATTGAACCCTATGGATTAGGAACGGGATGTCACTTAAGCTCATATGTGAGTCAAGGCAGGTGAGCAAATACTTTTGGCAATATAGTGTATGTTGTGACACAGAGGCTCATTTCTTCTGCATCTCTTCAAAATAGCAAAGAAAAGCAAACATACCATCAAAGTTGTGTGTTGATCTTCATAAGTACAGTATATGCAAATCTACAGTCACTCTGGGTTTGAATCAAAGCAAAGGATTAAGCCTTCACACCCATTGTTAAGTATGTTGAAGGATTTGTGATGCTATGGGTGTTTTTTCCTCCGAATGCCCTATAAACATTATTAAAGTAAACAAAATAATGTACTCTTAAATAAGGCGAAAAAAAAAAGAAAAAGGATGGACTCTGCCAACAAATTGAAAATGAGTCATCACAGTATGATAATGATCCAAAACATTTGGCTGCATCTATGCAGAAATACTGTAGTTTATCAGACCATTTCAAGGCTGTTTTTATCCATAGTGCTAAATCTTGTGGAAAACCTGTGGAGTTAGATGAAGAAAAGAGAGGGAAAAAAGGGATTGGAGACTCAGGATGATACAAAGAGAATGTTATAGGAGTGATAGCTATAGATCCTCCTCTCTGTTTGCTCCAGCAATGAAAAATGTTGGTCCACTGCTATTAGAAGAGGAATTAAAAAATTCCAGACAATAGATAATGCCCTTGAATTAGATGTAAGCTTGTTTTCTACAGCAGTAAAACATTCATTTAGTTTAAGGGTTTTCATTTAATTTAAGTTTTTAGCAGGGTGCCTATAAGTATAACAACTACTGTATATCAGTCAACGATATAGAGTTTACTTTAGTTTTTGTGTAAAGAGTTAAAAACTGAGTTCAGATTAATACGTTCTGAGGCTTTTTTAGGCCATCTTGAACACACATTAAAAAGGTGTTTATGGGTGTGATGGCACCTCTTGTCCGGCCTGAGCAAAAAAGTCTTTTTTCACTTCACAGTCCTACATCCAGGGACTTACTGCTGTCAGATGGGTTTTGTTTTTTGATGGCTCTACCTCCCTTATGGAGATACGGGAGGTTGAATTTTATGGAGAAAATCAGTCTTTATGACTTAAAGCAGAGTCACTGTCCCTCCCACCTTTTACACCCTGAGGTTAACCTTGGCTAAAATCAGCTGGATCGAACAGGACTGGTGCAGCTTTCTGTTCTAATAATATATAGCTGGAACCAGACGTATGCATTGCATAAGGACACACATAACCTTTTTTATAATGTCGGAATTAAGTCTGCTTTAGGTTTTTTACTTTTACCAGGAGCATTTCCAAGTGTTGAATGATAAGGAAACATTTTGATATTTTCGATTTGTTATAATATTGAGTCTTAATATTATTTTTATTATTGGAATGATTCGATTTGAGACACAGCTGTGGCTATATTTCAGGGGAACACTTCTACCACAGTGCTTCCTTTGATGTCATCATGGAAAAATTGTATTTTTTGAGGAAAATTGGAAATAAACTGGAACAAATTTCTTGAAGATGCCTCAGTCATGTGTTTTTGGGTTTATATGAACCCCATGGGGATGTAAAGTAATTATTTCCTCCAGGAATAAACAGGTTCTGTCTCCGAGAGTTGAAGGCGTTCTTTGATGCAAAATGTGTGTATCATCCAGTGAAGCCAGTCCTATTCATACGTGGGATAAACAGACATTATTGCAGTCAGAGGGAAAAGCCATTGGCTCCATCATTCTGGAATCATTTGCTGGACAGGAGGACATTTTATTTCCTTTCCCTAGAGAGCCTCTCCGGGTGACACACACCTGTGTTACATCTTCATGCATTTCCTAAGATTAAATAAAGAACACTGTTGAACATTTAGGGGTAATATTTGGAAAAGATTTTACATCAAACTAGCTCTGAGGTATGTCTTCATCTGAGATGAGTGGAGCCTAAATCATCTTCAGCTTTTCCAGAACAAAGACATCCATCTTTTATCTACCCCCTCAGCCTGTGCCCAGCTTATTTTTTAAGCTTCTCATTGGCTTCTTTTTCATTTTAGAAATGACTTCAATTTTTACTTTTCATTTTTAAATCTCTTAACAAAATCCCCTTTTTTTTATTTCTGTTTGCAAAGGCTGGTTATTTTCCTCAGCTTTATCCCTTTTATTATTTAAGTCTTTTTGGGTGGTTTTAAGATTATGTGTTCTGGTCTCATAATTTGGATATTATAAAGGCCTTAGTAAATAAATATCTAAATATGTGAAATGAAACATTGAAATTGATTAATATTCTGGCATTGCTGGCAAAAGGAGTCAATTTATTGTCCTCTCTATTCTGAATCTGACACTCGGAGAAGAGCCAGGAAAGTCTTCAGTGGGGATTGCTCATCTGCGTCGGCATCCTCCTCCTCTTCCTCCTCCGATTTCCATTTTTAGCCTGCAAAGGCCTCATTTCCCCTCTCATTGAGAAGAGTTGGGAAATTGAATTAAGGGTCTTGCTGACGTTTCGATTAGCATCCCCAGCTCCGCTCAGCCGAGACTGAGTGTATTAATCAAAAGAGAGCAGGCGGTTGTCTACGTGAGTGCGTGAGCGAGCAGGCGGTGTGTATCTGGGTTAGCATTTGCAACGAGGATGCAAGGACTTAAGAGTCTTTCAGTGTTAATTCCACTCATTAAATATTAAGGTGCTTACAGCTGACTGCGTAATGGCACAAAAGAGTCTTGACTGATGCATGGCCCTATGGAAAAAAAAAAAAGATCAGTTATAGACCCAGCAGAATGAATTGTGCCATCCCGTTCCCTCCAACAAAAGACAACAGTGGAGAAATGTATGCCCCTGAGTGGCTTTGCTATTAAATCAATGAGTTAGGAGTTTTAGAGATGACAGACAAATGTTAGGAGCTGAAATTAAATGAACCCAGGTAATATCAGTACAGAGAAGATCAAAGTTTAAGTGATTAGTGTACCGAGTGATATTTATAGATGAAGGATCTGATTTCTAAATGCCATCAAGGAGCTTTGATGTGCTGTTCTATTTCAGGGTATTTTCTTAACTTTCATCCGTCCCATAATGCATAGCTAGATGTATCAGTGTGGATGCTGCTAGTTTGGAGTCTTTCACAGAACATTTAATTTGAATGCACAGAAACGGAAAGTGTCCAGAAAAGGAAAAAGTGAAGCAGGGATGTGTCCCAACCCACGCACAGCTGTTAACAGGATTACACTGTGTCATTTGGTAAAATCTCTGCCCTGATGAAAACAAATGTATCTGACTATGTCTCTCGTGGGAGGCCAGTGACTCCACTGTTCTTTGCAGCTCACATTTAAACGATTTAATTATGTGCCTGTCATTTTAAAGCTCAGATTTTCTGAATTTTATTTATTCAGGATATTGCTAAAACAATTACCTTGCAGTTCATAAATAGAGTTCATAGGTGATTTTAAAAGCATTCGCACCCTTTTTACCTTCACACCGTCATCTGGTCAGGTTAAAAAGAAAAATCTGTTTTTTTTAAGACCAACACAAAGTTGCGCATGTTCACAAAGTTAAAAGCCTTTAAAGAAATGTTTTAAATACAAATCTAAAAATGCTTGCATGTATTGTTATTGTTTGCATTCAACCCCATTTACTGTGGTTGCCCCAAAACAAAATCCACTGCAACCAGCTGCCTTCAGGAGTCATGTAATCTAATCTCACTATAAATAGAGATGTTTTGTGGAGGCATCAGACTTTTTTTATTTATTGTTTGGGGAGAACCTTAGGGAACAAACAGCATCATGAAGATCAGGGTACATAGCAGGAAGGTCGAGGAGAATGTTGTAGGGAAGTTACATAATATCTCAACCTTTTAACATCTCATGGAGCATTGTTCAATCCAATTTCTGAAAATGACTTTGGGATTGGGGTGTCGTTATAAAACATTGGGTGGGATCCACCCTAAAAGTAAACACCAAATATAAAAAATAAAAAAAAACAATGCTAATTCTTATCCATCCCAGTCATTCAGGTTCATAAAGTGATGTGCACATGCAAAATCAAGCAATGTCCCTTTATAGAGCATAACTGTACCTCAAAGTTTGCAGAAAAAGCTCCACTTCCGGTTAAGCCTTCAGCCCCCACATTCCACCTTAAATGATCCACACAAAACACCCCATTAAGTTATTGTTTATCTACCTTAACCAACTGATTAATGTTACTTCATTGGTTACCAATGACAACCAAGGACAAGAGAGCAAATAGTTTAACTGAGGCAGAAAAAGATGTGCTATTTTCACGTTTAGTTTTTTTAGAGCCCAACATTTGCCTGGAAAGAGGCATGCACAGGTTTACAGCCCTGCTCTATATGGAACAGTGGAAAAAAAACATAAAAAGATCTTGTTTGATTTTTAAAACAATAAATGAATAAAAAGATTAGACCAAAATGTTGTGTGTTTAACCAACTTTCAAAAGCTTGTTAAAAATCTGTAAAAATCCAACATTGCTAATCACGTTAACATACCATCTCCAATGACATACGTGATGGAGCCTGCATGTTTTAGGATCCGTTTCTCCAGCGGGAACATGGAAACTGGTCAGAGCTGAAGCAAAGATTAATGGAGGGAAATCCTTGAAAATCACTTTTTGTTTTTTCTCAGCAACGGGATGCGCCCGTGTCGGCCGGCCAGGTGGAGAACTATGTGTTGCTGTTGGTGCTGCTGAGCGTCTTTGCTGGGGGGACGCTGGTCCTGCTTTCCCTGCTGCTGCTCTTCTGTCACCACTGCTGCTTGGGGGGAAGACGGTACTCCAGGTAGGACCTTTATGTCTGGTTTATCTGGGGAGGGGCCTCATGATTAAAATATGAGTGGCAACATAGCACGGAGTAAAATTCATCTTCTTTCAGAGCAAGCGATGACCCTGAGAAGACAAACACAACTTATGCTGAGGACTCTCAGCCCACACAAGGTCAGAGCTGTGCATTTTTTATTTTTTGTAGTTTCACACATATCCTTTCTGGGTAAATGTTGTCACAGGCTCCTCTTTTCATCTTCACTGGTGCGTCCTTGTTACTCAGAGATCACCATCCGTCTGGATGAGTCCGATGCTCTCTCAGCATCCAGCTGTCACGATGCAGAGCCGGATCGATTCGTTTCCACCGGCGCCACTGGCCGCAGAGTCTCATTCAATGAGTCTGCACTGTATGAACAGGATAAAAACCCTCAGGAAAAAGGACGCAGGTAACGTCCATGTGACCAGACAGCAATTTTGTTATCATTCCTCATTTTTGATGGACAGAGATTAGATCTTTGTGCCTCAACCTCAGGTACACTCTCACCGAAGGAGACTTCCATCACCTAAAAAAGGCCCGGCTAACCAACCTCCACCTGCCTCCAGCTCCATGTGACCTGAAGATACTCACCATCATGGAGTGTGACTCTACAGAGAGCAGCACCATCAACATCAGCGAGACTGCAGCCCCCAAGCTGCCCCTTTGCATCTACCAGGTAGCACATCAGGAACAACATCAGATAGGTATCACACATCTGTTGCTTATCAGCCTGTGATGCTGTTATACATTTTTCTCCTCCAGCCCTCTGAGAGAAGAGTCCCTGACTGGTTGGGACAGAGTCTGAGTGGGGGTCTGCCTGGAGATCCACATCACTCCACCGTCCTGGACCCGGGAGCCAGACGTTCCTCATCAGTCCTGAGAACCCAGCGGTCCCAGACGGTAAGTCTTTGGTCCACGCTGGTTTAAATGTAACGATACAAACCAGACCATCTAAAGCACAGCGTTCAGAGGAACATTTTATTCTTCATGTCAACAAAATGTAGGACAGTTTTAGACAGCTCAAGATTTCCCAAGATAGATTCTGACTTCAATTAATGTATTTTTTTTTTTTTGCGTCTCATTTTTTTTAAGTTTTTGGAGAAGAATTTAAAACACTGCAGATTTTTTAAAAAAAGGACATTTTGTCTCCAGTCAGGGCCTAAACAAGAAATCTAAAGACCCCCGAAAACCATTAGAAATATGAAGTTGCTTGTATATTTTACTCCTCTACCATTTCTATGTAGTTGTTACTTTTTCATCCAGAAATTATGCCTATATGTACCAATAATATAACAAGGATACAGGTACCAGTACATGTAATGTAACTGAAACGAAACATTTAACCTAAAGGAGAATATTTTGGTTGCATAATCAAACACAGAGCTCAGCTGCATTTAACAAAAAACAAATGTGTGTTTTTTTCCCACTCTTGCTTTATTTAATTGATCATCAGTTTGCATGTCATCTCAGCAGAGGTGGACAATTCAGGTCCTGGAAGTGAAGAGCCTGTCCAGAAATCTGTTCTAAACATTTGCTTTTTCAACTCCATAATGTGCTGCTATGCTAACATGTTAACCAAAACCAAAATTCATCAGTATTTACCATGATAAGTGCTGGCAGAGGAAGGAGGCAGGAAAAAGGAGCCTATCCTCCCTATCCTTTAGCATAGGGAGTTCCCGAGTTCCTTTACTGGTGTTAAGGAGCTATGAGAAATCCCATAATCCTTTCCATGACATATAGGCACGGATGCCCTCAGTGAAATTAACATAAATGTACTTTGTGTGATGCATGCAAATGATTGTCCCTTCATATTTCTGGGTTTTATAATGCTTCTGCTGTTACATTTGTGTAACTTGGTGTGTTTTGTAGAAATGTTTTTTGTAAGGCTGTAGGTCCGTATTTGATTACCCGTGATCATTTGTGTGCATTTATTGACGTCAGGGGGGATAAAGGCTGTAAAAGAGTTCTTAATGTTGACCCCACAAAAGCTGAATGAACAGAGGCTAGGGGCTACAGTTAGATTATTTTGGACCATGCCAGGGACTAATCAACTGGTTAAGTTATGAAGGATAACTACATGCAGGGTGTTTCTGCACCTGGCAGTTAACTCCTGCATTTCAATTCATCCATTCATCTGTAAATTCAATGAATAAATAAAGTTTGCTCTTAAATTGAAAACTGAATTGTTCTGTATTCTAATAGTTTTCTTTTCTTCAGTGCAAACAAATCTACTGCTTTCCAAAATAAACAATGAAAATGAATCATCTGCTGCAGGCTCATAGCTGCGGCTGCACAATGACATCAGTTATAACTGCTGTGAAGTGACAGAAAGCTGTCCCCTGAGGACTTCTGCCTCCCACTATCTCCCTCAGCAACATCTCTTCCTAATGTGTCTCTACCTCTCCTCAATCGTCCTCTGCCTTTATCCTTTCTGTCAGATGGAGACCATTGGGGATAGGGGCGAGGACGACAGCGAACGAGGCCCGAGGGGTGAGCCCACGGAAGCTCCGGGGCCGACTTCTGTTCTGCACTTCTTCTCTAAACTACGGCGACATGCCAGTCTGGAGGGGGCGGGGCCTTACTTTAGAAGGTGGAAGTTTGACACCAGTCATCGAGCTGCCAGTCTGGATGCTAAAGGTTTGTGCAGATTATTGGAAAAATGTTCAGTTTACAAAAAAATTAATTCACCGAATGGTTAAATGTTAAAACAGTATATAACTGTAACATTATTGATCGGTTTAATGGTTCCTGTGTTAACTGCACCATGAAATTATCTATCCAATGTTTAACTGGCTTATTTGTCGGATAAAAAGTCCCTCTGGAAAATTGCAACCTATAAGAAGGTATTACACATTTATTTAAGCTAATTTTTGTGTATAGAAGCATTTTCTGATTCATCTAAAGCAATATTGTAATGTTAAACATCATTTACTCATTAGCTTTGTGCAGAAAACAAGAAAAACATTAATCTGTAGATAATCAGTCGATATGTGGTGTTTTCTTTGGGGAAATTTTCAGTTGTATTTTAATTTACGGACCAAATGAATCAATATGGTATATAATGAAAATGTATGATTTGTTAGTTTTAAAAATAATTTAAATATTTGGAGCTTTATCTTATATTCAACTCTTTACTTTAGTAGCTCATACCAAAGTTAAATATATATATATATATTTAGGAAACTGTTTTATTTCTTCTTTTGTTAATCTATTAAACAAATTAATGTATTTAAAATAATGTTTTAATCATTTTTTCCCTTCATTTCCAAATATATTTACATAATGACCAGTGTAGGTAACTTTAACTTCTGCAGCACAATGTGACACTTTTGGCATTTGATACAAATGGGAAGATGTGTCTGAATTTCTACCAGGATCCCCAAAGAGAAAGCCTTTCCATAGACAGAGAGCAGCGAGTGAAACCACCGACCACACCGAAGAGGACTCCTCTCCTTTCCAAGATGACACATTTGAATCTTTCCCACACATGCCCACCCAGACCAGCGGCCTCCAGTCTCTCTCTGCTGAGTCTCTACGCCATCCTGAAGATACTTCTACATCCTCAGTCTTCCTCAGAAGGTATTTCTCTTCTTTTAACACCATAAAATGAGCAAGTGCCTAGCGGAGTCAGGTACTGACTGTGTGTTCTTCACTTGTGCAGGCTAAAACTGGATGCCCCGGTGGAGGTAGGTGTTAGCATCAGCACCAGGAGGGCAGAAATTAATCTCCCATCTGATCCTGCTCTGGGTAAGGGTGAACCTACAGTCAATGGAACCGGAGGAGAGCAAGAAATGACTTTTCGAGCAGCGATAGTAGCCAAAGCAACAAGAAGTGTGTTGCAGTCTGCGGAAGATGATGACCTGTTTGGGACAGAAGAAGAACTGACCATGCAGGACAGGTTTGAAGACTTGCTGAGAAAAACCGAGGAAGCAAAAACAGACTCAGTCACGTCTGATGTGAGGAAAAAGAATGATGAGGAGACAGATGAGGGGGACGAGGGGGTGTTAGGAGCCGTAGCCAGAGGAAGGACAGACTCAGGCTCGTCTTTTATGAGCCGCCACGAGAGCTCAGAGGCACCCCCGTCCCTCTATAGAGACATTTGGAGCTTGAGAGCCTCTCTGGAGCAATATGCCTCTTCAGATCAGAGCAGCACGGATCGGGAGTCAGTCCGCAGTGATGCCGACAGTGTCTCATCCTTCAGTGGTGCAGGAGCTCGCTCAGGCCTGGACACTTGTCTGTCACAAGACCTGGACGATGAGCCTGAAGGAGAGGGGGAGGTGGAGGTGGGGGCCAGAGGGCCATCAGGAGGAAACAGTGATACGGGGAGTGGAGCTGGAGGAGAGGGGGAGGGGGGAAACAGGAAGCTTCTTCAAATGGACAGTGGCTATGCCTCCATAGAAGCACCATCCAGGGCCCCTGAGGATATGAGGTTGTTTGGAACTCCGGGGGCCCCTCGGGGGAAGACTGCATCTGAGAGGAGACTGTTTTTCACCAGCTCTGGTAGAAAAGGCTCGGTGTGTGAGAGCATGGAGACAAAGTTGTTTCAGGAGGAGCTGGAGGACCAGATGGCTCTTGGCACAGCGACAGAGGAAAAACTGAAGAAGAACTCTCAGGGTGGCGGTCTCTCTCATACCCTTCAAGATCCATATCAAGTCCTGAAATCCGTCCATCCTCAGAAACCTCCAGAGACACAAACTCAGCTCATCTCTCCACTGGCAAGCCCAGCCCCTCAGCCGCTGAGTCAACACCGATCCCGTCTCCGCCGCCGTGACTATAGCATAGATGAAAAGACAGACGCTCTCTTCAATGAGTTCCTTCGACACGATCCACGCTTTGATCAGCAAGACTCTCCTTTACGCTCCAGACATAGATCCAGAGTTCACCTCCGGAAGCAGTGGCAGAGACACAAGCAATACAGCGACCCCGGTTCAGCCTCTGGGGGAAGGTACTCCCCGTCTTTGGAGAGGCAGAGGTTTACCCCACTTAGGAGGGGTGACAGTGCAGGTTACCCGCTGGACACCAGGTACCACAGCACCCTGTCACGAATAGCAAGCGCAGCAGATGAAGAAGCCAGTGAGGTTGCAGCTTCTGAAGAGGTGGCTAAGGAAAGAGCAGAAGATCAAGTGGGGGAAGGAGCTACAGGGAATGCAGGCAACTTAAGGGCTGAAGGAGCAGACCCAACAAGAAACGCCTCTGCAGAGTTGACTGGTGAGACTGAGGGCTGCCAAGTGTTCTCAGACAAGGAGGCGGGAGGTATCAGCAGCCAGCCTGTGAGCACTGCAATGCCACAAATGAGCCACATGGACCCACGAGTGGTCAACAGGAACAACAACAGCAGCCAGGCTATGCTATCAGATGTTTCCCTGCAGGCACAAAGCAGCCTAACAGACAAATTGGTGGATTCAGTGGACGAGAGACTTTATGGGGTTCTGCGTAGCACAGGGAGAGACCAAAACGTGCGATCAGAGGTCATCATGACAAACACTGCCTCACCTGGGTCCAACCCCACATAATCCTCTGCCCTGGTATCAAGCATCCTCTTATGAGAGACACAATATCCAACATCTTTAGCAGCATTACCTTCAGACATACCTGAACTGCAAATTTGATGTCTGTCTTTCAGTAAACCAGAAAACTCGAACACATTATGGACTTTCATAGATGTAGATGCACCTTTAGGAAACATAATTGCTGTCTGACTTACCTGTGACTTTTCAGCATGCTACTACGATTCCAAAATATGTGTCTGTGAATAATGTAAAGTTTTAACCTCAATGAGCACTTTGAATGAATGGAAGCTACTGCTGGTGTTCGTCGGCCATTTTTCCTCATTTCCCTTTCCTCCTCAAGTGTCCTTGTTCGTCTCAGCCATCATGGAGGTGTATGGTTGCGTGAGAGCGGTCTTTACTACATGAAGTGACTCAGCGACCTGCAAATGTTTTCACACCCTCTAAACATTTAACCTTACAACCAGAGGATAATATGTATTGGGAATGTTGTATGTGATCGACAAACACACAATGGTCCAAAAATGATAAAATTAGTCAAACAAATGCCTACTTTTAAAGGACTTTTTAAATTAAAAAAATCTGACTATTTATGCACTCACTTTTGTTCGACCCACAGTTGTAGAACCATGGAGAGCAAAAAATATTTGCAAAAAATGCTTTGGGTGTAAGTTTAGGATCATCGCCACCCAGCTTCTGACACTATTTTTCTAAATTCAGCTCCATCCATTCTCCTTTTAGATTTGATCAGCTTCCCTGTCTCTGCTGAAGATAATCATTATCACATCATGATAATGTTACTTTTTTCAAGATGAAGCTTGAAAGTGTTAGTTTCCTGTGGAATGAGTAGTTTTGCATTTATTCATATAAAAAATATAAATTAAAATAGAAATATACAAATAACCTTTATCATAATCTAAAAAATACCATTACAATGATGCACAATTTTCCTTACACTTTACAGTTAGGCAACATTTTTGTGTTTGTCTATCACATAGAATCTCATATTAATAAAAAGTAAATTTCTACTTGCAAATTAGAGAAAATGGGGAAAAGTTGAAGCGGTATGAATGCATTTGCAGGTCACTGTGCAAAGAGTGATACCAATGTTTACAGCTGCCCTGTATTTGATGAACACTGTATCAGCCGGTCTGAAGATACCGCTCTAAAACCAGATGAAAAGCAGAAGATGCAGTCAATAAAAGAAAAAAAAAAACAAAACTAAGGATTTTTGCACTTGCTGCATCTATTTAATTTGCTTTTATTTGTGTTAGTCACCAGTTCTTGCTATGTATCATGAATGAGGGGATGCGATTGAGGTGTGGGCTTTGCTGTGGCTGGAAGTCTTCTAAAGGGAAGACTGATGGATGCTGCTGAAAGCGACACAGGAGCCTTTAAGGCTTTGAAATAGATTGCTAACAGAGGAGTTCAGGCTGTGACATGCTGATAGTAATCAGAGGTGGCAATGCCTGTCCCTGGCAGAAAATAAAATGATTTCCACACTGTGTAATTACAAATAAATAAAAAAATCCACAGTCTTCTCAAAATGAATCCTAATAACTGTTTATTTTGAATTCAATTGTATCCCTGCAAGAAACTCATAAGAAATGCATGAAAATGCAAATGAAATTAGGACATCTAATTCAGCTTTAATACTCAATATATTGATCCGAGCCAGTTTGTTAGAAAAACTGTGTATCTGTGAGGTTAAACAGGGCAAATGTCCATATCTGAACAGTTATTTATACTGAATTGGACAGTCCAGAATGGCTTATCATTAAATAGCAACATGTTGTGCAGGTGAAACCAAAGTACTATAACTGAACTGCGTGTGGACATGGCACCAAAAAAGATGGAGAAAACAAAAAGGTGGGATTTTAGGTGGAAAGAGAAAAAGGATTTTTAATAACCTGTTCTTAAAGGAATATTTACTGTTTGCAGGTTTTGGAGAATTGCAATAAAATGTGTTTAATTCTTAAAAAATATTTAAGAGCTATCATTTTATTTATTGAGAAATATTGCCTGCTACATTATCAAATCTAAACAGTTTCCTTTTTATTTAAATTATTGTGTTTTGCTAATGAATTTATTCTTTTCAAAACTGCATGATACATACATTTCTTACTTGTTCTAAAAAAGGTAAATCCCCTATTTATAATGCAAGATTTTGGTAATGATAAATCTGCTGAAAGCTTAGCATGGACATTGCATTACGGTTAGTGTAATTCCAATTGAATTCGAAAATAAATTAAGAAAAAATACCCCAAAGGTGCAATAAACTCTCTTAAACTGCTTCTTTGTTTAAATAGTCTGGTCAGAAATAGTTTTTCCTATTGAATTAACAACTACACCATGAACAGTGTACCTGAAATGGATGTGCTGTTGTGATATTTCTGAATCATTTATAAATTAGTTATTTTTCAAAGATATCAGACAGGACAAAAGTACAATATAAATATATTATACACATATACACCCAGCTAAATGCTTAGCATTAGCTACTACTGGAGTGAGCAGAAGCAACAGGTGGGGGTGGAGACCTTAACTAATTTCATTCTTTACTTTTTTACAAACATTAAGGCAGCCACACATTCTTACATTCATCTTTTAATGAATGCAAGAGAGGTGGCAACGCTTTTGTTTTTCCAAGTAAAGAAGTTTACTGGTTTCATTTGAATGCAGCTTTGAGAAAATATCCATCCCGTTCTGTACTAAGACTAGAAAAACTATAAAGGAAGAGAGATAAATATGAGGGAAAGTCTTTGAGCTGTAAAGACCAAATTTTATACCAAGATGAATCTGAAGAACTAAAATAATAACAGGTTATTTAACCAATACTGAAAAGACAAGATGGTCAGGGTCAGGGAGGGTACCAAGAGTATAAAAGCAAGAAAGCTGCAGGAGTTTCAGCAAATCTTGTGTTCCTCGGGTTAGCGAAAACCCCTTTGTTCTCAAGGTTAGTGCTGAAATAAAGGTTGCTTTTTAAATCTTCCACACAAGGAAAATACAAGAATAAAAAAATGTCTGTGCTACGAAGACAAGACCAACAACACAGCAGATGCTTTATATTTATCGTGGGGATAGAAGAGCAGTTCCAAAATTCTGTTTGAACCCAAAACGTTTGTTGTTTTTACTAGTAAAGTAAAAATGAAAAAGGATTTTATTTTTCAGTATGGCAAAGGTATGCATGAATCCAAACAAGCAAAATGTAGCTTCATATTGTTATCTTTGCATCATATTACATAAAAGGTTTTACTAAATTCCCCAGCAGAAAATTTTAAATTTCTGGAATCTAGAACTAGTTCCAACAGAAATTATTGGGGGTTTCGAGAAAAGAGCTGCATTCAAGAGATCTAAAGACATCGTTATAAGTTTTGAAGAATAATATCCAGTGGAGTAAACCCATCTCAGAGACTGAATACTAAAACAAAAAAGCTTTTTAAAGCCATTTGAGATTGTGACATGTGACCAACTACTGCAGCTTTCTATATTTACACTTCCCCCCTGATTATACCCTTTATATCAACTTGTTTTTTTTTTATGAATTACAGTTCCTGACACCCAAATCTATGGAGATCCCCCTTTTTGTCCTTTATCTACCCTTTCCCAAATTAAAAACTTTTCAGTTTTTTTTTTTTTTTATGGTGCTGCCTTTGAGGGATGCAGCCCATTCATTAGTGCGCTTTAGAACTGCTATACACATTTGGCGTGCTTTGGTGGTGCAGTGGTAAGTGCACACGACACCTGTATGGAGACCTTAATTGTTGACGCGGCCGACCCAGGTTCAAATCTGACCTGTGGTCCTTTGCCGCATGTCTCTCCCCCTGTCTCGTACCCCCATTCCTGTCAGCCTACTGTCAAAAAAAAAAAGGCACTAGTGCTTTAAAACAAACAAAAAACTGCTATGGACAGGCAGTGGCTGTAAACTCCAGGAAATAACACCTGAACTGAAGCTTGGTTTTAACAATTAGCAGTTTTGTTAGATCGTTGCCCAACATAATGCATAATCTCAGCATAACTCCTCCAAAACAGAGTAGAAAAACCTACATTGCCAAGGAAGGTTTCATCTACAGTGCATAACCTGTAGACAGAAATCTTGGCTTTTCCATCCTCGTTATTTGAAGACTAGTTTAGATTTGCTGCAGTCTTGGCAGAATCCTTTTTATTAGAATAAAAAATCTAGAGAAGTTATTTTCTTTCACGCTAAGCTAGTGTTTGAGAGGTGTGCACCCAGTCATTTCCCTTGAGAGGAGAAATGAAGTGTGTCCTGACGTGCCGAATGCTGAAATGTCCATCATCCTAACAGGAGACCCCTTTCCCTGCACCTCTCCGTCTCTGGTTGGAGCCTCTGTGTTGACCTTGCTGACGTAAAAAGCCTCGCTCTCCCTCCTCCCCTCGCAGTCGTGACTCACCTGCTCTCTGATCTTCTCCCAGTCAGGAGCTCATGATGCATAAGACGAGGGCAAGGCTCCCATGGATGTGATTGGTGCAACAATGCAGGAAAAAAGAAAAAAGGACAACTGCGTAATTTTCAGGGCAGTCTGCCTTCAACTGAGCAGCATGGATGCCTGACATCAAATATTTATCAGGGTGGTAAAGTTTCTGAAGGTACTGTATCGTTTTAGACATTAAACAAAATTTTCCCTAAAAAGTCTGGATTCCCTGTTATTTTATATTGACCGTTAATTGATTTTGATACAGACTTTATTCTCTTCATAGAAATTAATGATGCTGTTCTGTAACAATCTGTTTTTAGGTGATTTTGATTAAAAGCAAATTGATTTTAATTGTCAATCTTTCTCTAGATTGTCTTATTAAATACAACACAAATAAATTAACCCATTATACCTTTCTTTTCCCCCCCGTTTCTTCAGGGTATCAAAATATAGAACAGGGGTTGGCAACCTTTAAGGCCAAATAACCTTTTTTTTATTCTTAGAGCTAAGGAATAACCTAACAACCTTCCAAAGTGGTTTTTCAAATCACCTTGTATTGTAAGGTGATTAGAGTCCTCCAAATAAACAACAAATTAAGGGAAACAAATCTATACCCTCCTTAAAAAAACAAAATTAATATGTATTGACTAAGCTTGTACCATTAATATAATTCTGTTGCAGATATTCTTCAAAAAAATTGGAATAAGATCCTAAAGAAAATCTGCACAAAGCAGTGTTTTATAGGAGGAATTTCTCAGGTTTATATTATTTCTAAACCAAATGTAGTTACAGTCACAGGTTATAGTCCCCCTCCTTCAAGGATATACCCTTTTTAAAATAGGATGTGATTTCTTCCTTTCTGAAGAGCATCTCAAAAAACTGCAATTGTTTGCTGTATTCTTTACAAATGCAAAAAGAAGACAAAAAGGACAGACATAACCATACATGTATTGGACAGAAAATAGCCTAATGGGTGTGTCCCCTTCAAAAGACTTGGTTTCTTAACAGACTTGCTTCTCAAACTACATTTGTTTTCTCAGCATGCTTTGGGTGTTTTCTAATACCGGAAATATTTTCAAAAAGCTAAATTTGTCTTCTTTGTAAGCGAGAAAAAGGATGGATGCCTTCTTCAGCCAGCTGGCTGGCAGTGTGCAATAAAGGATGGGGGAGGAAGAGTATTGTCAGATCAATGCCACTTTCTTTGACAGCTACACATCTTGATAAACTTTGAATCACTAGAATTGTATGCAGAATTTTTTTATGTTTTTCAAAAATAAAAAAATATTGTATTTAAAATCTTCGTATACTTTGGTATCAGGAGGTTGCCCACAGCTACTCATCTATGTGAGCACATGTGGAAGAAATATCCAATTAAAGGTTAAGGACAGGGATCAACAACTGAAGTCTGCTGTGTATTAAAAATGTTAACTAAAATAGAGAAATTGAGCAAAACAGATTGTTTGGGACACATTCTTTATAAATAATGAAAAAAATAAATGTAAACCTAAATTAAGATTTGCCAATGATGGAAGTCAGGCATCTCCACAAACCGATTACCTTCCCTTTCATTCAGCCCTATTGTGCATGCAGTTTGTGTTTGTTCTTGTACTATTATAATTATTACACACAAAAGTAGATTAAATACAGAATTATCCATACATTTGCTTTTTTCCCCACTTTAATATTTTACACATCACAATGTGCATTAAAAACTGCCATCAGGGTTCAGTAAAAACAAAGGTAGCTGGAGAAACAGATTGAGAATGGGGGGTGGGGTTTGGGCTGGATGAAGGGTGATGGTGTCCGAAACGCCCGGTGCAACACTTGGCCATCTGATGAAGATGAAAGAACAGGGAGGGCGGGAAATAACCAGAACCGGATGACACAAGAAAAAAAAAGAAAAGAAAAGAAACATCTTCACAGCAAAGGCCTCAGTCTCAGAGCAAACAGAACTTCTCATGTCGTCCTTCTTAACCCAGACCCCTAAAACAAGACTACGCAAGCCAGGGGTCCGGGGAGGTGTGGGCACGTCAGTGTCAGCAGTTTCATTCCCAGCCGTGAAGACTCCAGATGAAAAAGGGAAGAGGACAGAGGACAGGCTGACCTGAAAGAGAAAGGAACAAATCAGAATCTAACAGATTTTTTTACCCAAGAAACAAAACTAATTCGTAGTGTTAGAACGGAAAGAGTCAACCGACAGCGTGAGAAAAGACACAAACATCCCACAACCCACTTTATCTCACTGGGGATGAGTCATCGCTTGAACAAATTAATACACAGCATCTCTTCTGCACTGCACCTATGACAAACAGCTTCGCTCTGATTGCAAGACAGAGAGCAGCTGTGGGTGGTAACCGGAAAATTGTGTAAAGTGCTTGAAGCTTAGACATGTCCTACTTGGTTTGAAGAACGAGCCCTGACAACCAGTTGAAATATTGACAGACCAGTTGAAAGGTGTTTTTGTGGCATAAGAGAAAAAAAAAAAGGTACAAAAACAGTCTTGCATTTTTCAGGAAAGTGGTGATGAGTCAGAGAGCTGCATGCTGAATACCAACACCGACTGTTTCCCTTCTCCTCTCCACTATTGCACATGTTTCTAACTAGTTTTTATCTGGATCTGCAGCATTAGGGTGCAGCTTTTAAGGCGTTGAAACACTTACCAGATGGGCTGCTGTTGTGGGAAAAACAAGGATCAGAGGGCTGTCATTGCTGTTTGCAGGTGGAGAGCTTGCGGATTTTGCTGGCTGTGGAAACTCCTTTACGTGAGGGGTTCGACGAGGAGGAAGACCTGCGTTCAGCTTTGGACTTGCTGTTTAGAGACCCCCCTTCTGTCCCATTCACACAAACTGGCTTGGCTACTGCTGGGCTATGGTCTGCATTCCCTTGATCCTGGTACTCCTCAACCACTTGCCCTGAAATAACACAAAACAAAACACCCAACCATAATCAGCCGATGCCCCTTAGAATGAAAGAAGCAGTTTTAAACTGATGGTCCAAGAAGAGGTGCTGTTAAAGGGTTGGGACCACTCAATGTCCTACCTGCTGTATAACTCTCTTTGCGTCTTAGTTTAAACCTAGATTATTGTCACTTGGATGGTGAGACCATCAGCTCCTGAAAGTTGCCAGGTGGTATTTCTACATCTTAAAACACCTTCACTCTCATCTAATCTGAATGTTCTTTCAGAGGGAGATGGAGGTAGGAGTCAATGCACCACCAATGATCCCAATTGTGAAACAAGAAGAAAAAAAAACTAAACCTAAAACCTGTTTCCAGGAATTTTATGCTTAGCTTATTCGACCAAATGTAAGTCTGAATGGAAACTTTAAATGTTCTGCATTCAGTAGTTGTTTTACTCAGGAAGATCATCGATGATGCACCACCTCCTACCTTCAGTTATTCCACTGCTGTTCCTTCTGGCAGCTCTTAAAATACACAACCATCACTGCATTCAACAAACAAGACAAAACGTAATGGCTTAAAAGAAGCCACTTTACAGACTTCTGTATTTTTGCAAATTTTAAAGTAATATAAGAAGCACAATCTGATCAGGGGAACTACTACTCAACAGGTTGCTGATTTAGGATTTTAACTTTGTTTACTAATTGCTTAAATTTTTCCATCTTAAATATATTTCAAGAGAGGTTTGTCTACTTTTGTTTATCATGTTTCACTTTAAATGATCAGTTTCCTGTTCCACAAGAAATTTCCAAGCTTAGTAACAAATGTGTTTGCAGTCAGTGTAAATAAAGACAAATCTATTGCAAACAACTTTCCTTTGTAAATGTTTTAAAGTTTCACAGAACAAAGTTTTTTTTGTTTTTAAGATTGGAGTCATTATAAAACAACACTGTATTTTTAGCCACTAGGGAAACCAGACCTGTAACTTTCAGTTTTAAACCCCCTAAAAGAAACCGGCAACACAATATGCACAATATGCTATAAGGTAATATTTAATCTACGAGTGTTGGAGAAACACAAATTTACAAGACAGGAGTTTTAAATCCTATCATTAAAGAATCAGAAAATCAGAAACTTCAATCACTCAGGCTTAAGATGTTTTATCTGCAGCACTGAGAGAGAACTTCAGGTCACAAACCCACACGAGACAAAAAAAAAAAAACCTAACGGATAAAAACAGGAAATCCATCAGGTGAAACCTTGATGTCATTTTTTGTTATGAAGTGTGGATGTCTTAGTTTGTCACCATGAGCAGATGGGGCTCTGAGAAAACTCCCACACACAAAAACTGTAATACTTGCTGAAATTCACTATGAAACAAAGATCGGAAATCTGCTCTTAGAAGAAAAAAAAAAAAGCCAAGAGGTTCTTTAATGCTAAAGCAAAAACACAAATAGAGCTTTATGTTATCATTCGAGCTCACACTCATTCAAATGAAGCTTCCTATGAGGGACAAAGCCCTGTGTATGTGTGTGTGGGAGTAAGCCTTGGAAAAACCATTCATAGTCCCAAACCGAAACCCTTTCAACTGGACTATTTATAGTTTGCTTCATTCACATTCTGCAGCTCCGTTTGGTTTTTATGTGGGGCACCACTTCTAGATGCCCAACACTGACTGCTGCATTTACATTACAGGCTGTTACCTAGCAACAGACTTGAGGATATGAAGTCTTAGGTGGGGGTAGTATGATTAAAAACAGTCAGAAAACAAGTTAAAGCATTCTGTTAATGTCTCTTCTCCCAAACATCTATCAACAGTACAGCTCATATTAACAGCTAATTAATAGAAACCTTTCTGTTTAGAAGATGAGGAAACAGATGCAGCTTGTTCCAGATGATTGGCAAAGCCCACACACTAGCTTGGTTTGGAGAAGGACCTTATGCCCAGTGGACCCTTTCAGTCACTATTCATTTTCAGTAAGAAAGACAGGTTCACTTATTGGCTGCCTGCATTCCACATTAAGGCTGGATAACCTAATCCGTTTAATCATGATTAATTGATCATTAAAATACTCCTCCACTATTTAAGTAATCAAATACTTCCTAACTGAGGTATACAGACTCTAAAACCTGTTATTTGCTGACTCATTCAGAGCCTTAGTAGAGAAAACTGAATAAAAAACCTCAGCAAAAAAGATTAAAGTAGAAAAACTTCATTGTAAAGTTGCTCAATCAGCCTCACCTGCTTCAAAGTTATTTTTATATCTGATTATAAAAAAGGAAATCCAATTAATCCATTAGAAATTGGTTAATTTCCCAATATATTTTCCCTCCCTAAGGAGTTCATCATAAGTTACTTTCTTGGTTTGCGTCTTTGTAGAACAAAATGCTACACACTACCAGGTCGAGTACCACAACTGGCTTTAGCTTGCTACATTTAAAGCATTTTTGCTAAATTCAGAACGGCTCACGTGGATTTACATTTATAAAAAAGAAAAATAAGACCAACCGTAATTATACTATAGCCCTACTAGTTACAAAAAAAAAAAAAAAAACTATCTGGACTGCTTAATTATTGATTGAGGATCAAGAAGCTAACTTTGATTAATCAGCCTGGTGTCATTAATCATCTTAAAAAATCCTCATACATATTAAAGTCCAATAAAAAGCTCATGACTACTTCAACTTTGGTTTAGAGGAGGAGATGTTAGACTTTCAGTGACAGTTGAACCCAACAGAGGCTATGACCAGTCTTACCTGGCACTGTGAAGTCCTGAGTGTAAATGATCTCATCCTCTCCATCATAGAGCTCGTCGTCGTCATCCTCTGTGTAGCCGTGCAAATCCTCTAAGTAGGGAACAACTGTCATACTGCGCCACTGGTCCCTGCTCTCTGCGCAGCCAGGGATGGGTACTGGGCGTTCAGATGGAGGATGTTTCTTCCGTACCCAGCTAGTAAGGAATAAACAGGGAACAAAGTGAATGTAAATACAGGAGCTGGTGTCTGTCCTAAACTATTTTAAGTCAACTTTTGGATATAGCTTCATTCAAATCTGGCACAATTTCCTCCATAATGGCGTAGTCGTTAAAACAAAGTACATCCTCTCAATAGCGCATAAGAACTCCATGAAAAAGCAGAGGCCTTCATTTAAGAAAACCAGAGAGAGGGTCATACCAATTAACAGATGATAAAACAACACAAGACCTTTATTGACAGGATAAATACAGACAGATTGCCTAAATGATCTCCAAAGCAGCCTAAATGCTTTGGAGATCAGAAAATGTCTCTTGGGATATGAGGCTAATGTTGCAGAGTTGCAATGATCAAAGCTTCGTCCTTCAAAAGATAAGATTGAAGATGAGTTGGCCAAGTTTCATAAAACCGCAACATCACAAACCACCCAGCAAAGACAAACAAACAGTATATTAGAATTATATTGACTATTAAGTATCCCATGACCACCTTACAAGTTGACTATAAATTTGTCTTTAACCAAAATATTGAATAGGTGTTAATTAGGCTCTTATTGTGGTAGTTAAAAATTGGTCAGACATAGCAATAAAAAGTAGACCGGTCATGTGGTATTGGTTTGGTCCTGCAACAGTGAATGTGACGCAGCAAAATAAAATAAAAATAAAAAAAAACTAAAGCAGTAGTGCAGAAACAATTAATTGGATTAATCATGAGTAATCGATTATTGAAATGATCATTAACTAATTTAGTAAGCAATTAATCGTTAACTGGAGTTTAGAGTCTCTTAAAAACATGCCTTTAGCTGATAGAGCGACACACTTAGCCAGCAATTGCAAAAATTGTAAAAAAAAAAAAAAAAAAAAAATAAATGTATTTGCATTTTAGATTTAAAAAAATAAATCTTGTCCGTCAATCAATATGCTCTATCCAGAACTCAAGTGGAAACGTTTTAGTTTCATCTGGTTTAATTTTGTAAAAAGTCTCCTTTAAGGAACCTTTGGCTATCCGACTATTAATTTATTCATCGAAAAATAATTGATTAGCAAAATAATTGTTAGCTGCAGCCCTTTGAAGCAGAGAAGCGCTGTCAGCACTGTGGTTGGTCTTTCACGGTGTCCAAAGGAGAAAGAAACGTATATTATTGGTAACTATTACCTTCAGCCCTAACAGCAATATTATTATGGGCTATAGACATCAGTTCATATTTTCATATCAAGGCTTCCCTAATTTCCAAGTTTGTCCTAGTAAATTTAATGATCATGGCTTACAGATTATGAGAAAAAAAACTTAGCGTCTTAGAAATGGAAGAAATAAAATTAGCATCTCCACAATGTTTATAAGCAGAAGGAAGTTGGAAAATTTATAATAACGAGGACAGTTCTGTGTGAAAAAACATGATGGACAAGTGATAGGTCCTACTGGCGAGAATTCCCAAATGGAAACATCTCTGCTATCTCTGCTTCAACATACGAGGTGTTGTAAGCTTACAGTCTGTGCCCTAAACACCCCCCATAGTTGGTCACAATATTGGGTAGAGGGGAGTAACCAGCATTGAGTATAAAAGCGGCAAACACTGCGTTCTATGCCCTTCTTTGCTGTGCAGAACGTGTTAAGTATACCCCAGCCTCTACCCTCGTTGGTGGTGGCTGTCAGTGAGTGTCCTTTTGACATCTGTGAGGTCAGCAGTCTTCCCCGTAATTGTGAGCTCTGCTGACCATTTCAATGCTTAGCAACCATTTGCAGATATCTTTGAGCTCATTAGCCGATAAGAGTGTGACACCGTGGGTTTTGAATATTTCACTATTTCCCTGGTCTAATTTTTTATTGTGTTTTGGTACACAAAGTAGATCCAGTATTTACTGTAAGGAAGAAAAACAGAAACACACTTACTTGTGTTGCCTGATATTTTGTATGGAAAACCTCTTTGCAGGATCATACTCAAGCATTCCTGCAAAACATATTAAAGAGTGGATTTAATCACTTTCATTAAAAAAAAAAACTTTACCTGCTTCTGCTTCCTGAGTGTTGGGAAGATGTTCATAGCACTTAACAAGAGGAGTAAAGCACGAGGTACAAATCATTTGAAAGAATTAGTTATTGCAACCAAAGACCTTATAGTAATTCCCACAACCTGTGTTATGTCAATAGTAAATGAGCGTCGGTAAGTAGCATATCACTCTAATATCATATTGTCTCTTAATTGTTGTAATGCAGACTGGAATTATGTGTACAGCAGAATTTCAGAGTGCTAATCTAGGGGTGACATGGTGCCTTTTTAACTAATGATGTTCCCGTCAGTCACCAAGCAGAAAAGGGCAGAATGCATAGAGCTGATCGTAGTGCTGTGCCTGCTGAAGGACACCTTTTGTGGTACTAGGCTTATTTTAGACCATGTAATTACGGATGGACCGTTCCTCATGTGCTGCGTCATCAAAGACACACGTCATAGCCACAAAGTAAGGAGACGGGGTGTTTTAAAACAGCAATAGATTGCCACTTTCCTCCATCTATTGTTATAGATTTAGGGCTCAATGCCAAGATTGGTAAAAAGGAGAACAGGTGGACTTCAGCTTAAATTTATATATATATGCAAACACATTTTACAATAACCACCAGAAACATGATCCACCCATCATAATTCTTATGTTATAAACCTGCACAGCAAAGCAACTATTTTCTTTTTTAGAGGGGAAAAAAGAATAGAAAAAAGGGGGACTACGGTGGAGTAGAAATATTGCCGTGTTCATTTCTGTAAGAGCAAAGCCCGACTATAGTGTTTATTATTCTACTCCTGGCTTCAGATCAATGGAAAACACGTCAGCAGCTGAAGGGATTTCTACTGTCAGGAGGAAACCAAGCATGTACAGCAGTCATTCTTACTTTCAGTGTTACAGCATCACCTACTGGATAAAAACTAGAAAGACCGCAGGAAAAATAAGAGGCAGAAAGCTCACTAAAACACCTAAAATCCTGGACAAATTGATAGTTCATATGATTATTTTCAACTCATTTATATAAAAAACAAACCAGTTTATAAATCTGCTGAATTTTGGACAAGGCAATCCCTAATAAAGCATCAACAATCATCTCTCTTCCTCACAAAAAAAAATAAGCGCATTGCTGGGGTCGATGAAAGTATTCACACCTCTTGTAACGTTTGGTCACATTGCAGCTGAGATTTTGTTGACAACATGAGTTCTACTGATTATGATGTGAAAGAAAACTATATTTTTTTATGCAACAACTATTCTGAAAAGTGCGGCACACATTTGAGTTCCACTTCCTTTACTTCAATACAAATCGATATAATTTAGTACACTAGTTGCCTTAGAACTACTTGAGCATGTACTAATTTTTAGGTATGAAAAGGAAAAAAAAATCTGCATAATTTCCCTTCGCTGGTATTGTTCTTTGATTTTACCATTATGTATTTTAAAAAAGACATTTAACTTTAGAGTTGAAACAAATACCAGATACAAATCCGTTGTAGCTTATGCAAGGTTATGCTGATAAATATCTTTAATATAGCCATTTTGACCCTTTCAAAAAATAAAAAAATTTGATGAGCAGACTGAGACCTCAGTAGTTAAGCACTGATGTATCCTCGAGGACCAGGACTGAGAACCACTCGCTTAGTCTGACCCTGTAAACCCATAAGTACTGCAGCAAGGTTTGTTTATATTTTTTTTAATTAACAGGATATCTGAAGTAATCCTGATTGTGTGCTTGTGTTAAATTACTTTTGTTAATAGCAAGCTGGTTAATTCCTCACAGCAGATATGCTGTTGCAGCTTAGGCTAAATATGAACTTGTACTTGTTGGTATGTTTATTGAAAAGTTGTTTACAGTCTTGGGTCTCCGGACGTCCCTTGGAAGACGGGGCTCGTTCTGTATTTAGAAGAAATGCTCCATGCTCTTTACTGAGATGACTAGAGTGAGATTTGCCTGCATTTCTGATAGAATAAATACAATTAACGGCCAAGTTGCTCCTGTTTTGTATTGCTGTCCCTTATAATCTACTCAGAGCAGTGTGTAGCAGCCCATCTGTTAAGTCAGGCCTTTTTCTTATGCATTATTCTGCTCTCCTAACCGCAATCATTACAAACTCTTACTGCTTGTCATGATTGCGTGGTGTGGGGGCACTGCCTTTGGCCGCGATGGGGGGTGGAAAGTCAAAACAGCTCCTTTAGAAAATGTCTGAAAGAAGAGATTTTTGATACATGCCTTCTACCTAACCTGAGAGGAATTTTCCTAAACAAATGGCAAAAAAGGGCTCTGGAGGCCTTGTTGTTTTTATTTTCCGATGTATTATAATATGAAACCCTTAAATGTCTCTGTGGGAAGGTGCTGCATCATTAAAAGGTATGATTTCGACCTGGATCTAGTATTTTTCATGTTTATTGAAAACAAGCATTCAACACGACGTTTACCTCTCAGCAGGTCTGACAGGAGGGGTCCACACTCCTCAGGAACAGTGTAGTCTCCTTTACCAATGTTTTCAAATAGCTTATAGATGTTGTCTCCCTCAAACGGATACAGACTTGTCGTAATGTTATATCTAAATGTAAAGAATGACCGGTCAGGAACAGTAGGGGAGGCTAAAATGATCAAACTAAAATGAAAACAGCATGGTAATTGTTACTCACAGTGTTACTCCAGCAGACCAAATGTCCACTTTAAACCCTGAAAAGGTGTCCAGTCCATTGGCGATCTCTGGGGGCTGGAAGGCTGGTGAGCCCTGACTCGTACGACATGTGTCATCTTCTGCAAACGGGTGAAGGGCCTGAAAAAGATGGAAATGAGGAGACTGTGATGAAGAATTTTATTAATATTTCTCTACTAGATGTATATTTGATTAACTACACTATGTTTTTGTCATTTAAATCAAGAACAAATGTATGTTGGAAACTAAACTTTGATTTATATAAAAAACTTTTAAACAAAAAAAACTAAACTTAGTCTGTAGACATTTATTTATTTTTTTTTTAAAAGACGTCTCGCAAATGCATACGTTACAATGTAAACATATCACATTTTAATCACTTTACAATTATAATCCTGAGGGTTTTTACTTTGGATTGTTCGTGACAGAACAACATAAACCCGTGCCTAAATTGAAAAATGAAGGGAGATTTTATTCTGACACGTGTAGGACAGGATAAATGCAGCTCTTATGTGAAAACCACAGAGGTTTGTTAGACAACATAGGAGAACAACCAGAATCAAAGAGGACAGGGATAGGTAGAGGTTTTGATTCTCAAACAACACCCCAGCAGCCTTAGAATTTTCTCTAAGGCTCCTTGTGTGTTGAATTGGCGCCATATAAATAAACTGAACAGAATTAAAATAGAGATGAACAATCCATCTAAATGGAATCACTGCAAACCAACAAAGTCATGGACCCCTAATAACTGACAGGTCAGGTAAGGTGGTCAGCAATCAGAGAAGCAGCTATCAGGGCCTGTATGAGAATTGAAATGTGGTGTTAGCGCTGCAGGTGGTGCTAAAAAACACAGTCCCGTTAGAGAAACATGGAGGCAGAAGGATCGTGCTGTGGAGACCTTTAGGAAAGCTGGTTGGCGAAGATAAATGGAGCTGGAGAAGACTTCAATTTAGGCAGGGGTTCACTTTACAGGAGCTGACTTTGGTTTTAGATTTTGCTTTCGCAAATGGCTGAATCATGTTTTTAGATATAAAAAGGTAGTGGAGTCATATCTCCAATGTTTTCCCAAATATCAGGAGGAAACAATGTTTTGATTCAATGCAAGGGACAGTGTGACTATTGTTACAAACCAATGAACCTGCTGGTGAAGACCGTCAGTCATCCAGGTCATAGTCATTCCAAAAAACTTACTGTTTTTAATTTTCTTTTTTTGGAATACCACTGAACCTGTTCAAAACAACACTGACAATATCACAAATCTTGTAAAACTTTATCCCTTTATGCTTTCAAAAACATAAAGGGCTAAAGAAAAATCCCACGTAGCTAAAAAGCGGAGATGGTTGATTTGCTAAAGACTAATAGTAAATAGACTTTGGCTAACCTCTGCGACTCCAAGGTCAGAGATTTTAAGAGATCCATCCGTAGTCAGCAGCAGATTTCCTGGTTTAATGTCTTTGTGAACGATTCCCTGGCTGTGCAAATATTCAAGTCCGTCTATGAGTTGGCAAAAGTACCTGTAGAGAAAAAAACGACAGAGAAAATTAGGTAATTATGCATGTTGACAAAAGGAAAAAGTCTTATTTTATGGATATCAACAAAAAATATTGGAAGATAAAACTAAATTAGAAGTTCTGTTTTTACTGACAAAGCATATAAGCAAAAAAAGAAAAAAAGCACTATGATTACAACAACCATCAGTCATTAGAAGCATTCTGAAAGTAACTATATATTAAACAGTCGTGCAGAGTTATTTTAACAGTATTGACCCTGCAGACTCGGATCTAAACTTAGGCCAAGAGAAGCAGCAGGAGAAGGGCTCAGACTAAATATAGCTTAGAGGCTCAGAAAAAGAGAGACTTGAGTAGGAATGGGGAGGGCGGGGGGAAATGAGGGGCTTACCCGTGAGCTTGAAATACTGGAAACCTTTTCTCCGGGACGCTGTCCAGCATTTCTTGCATTCCACAAACACAATACTCCATTACCATATACGTAAAATAGGAGTTGAGGATAATTTACTGCAAACACTGATACTTAAAACACAACTAGTTTTAAACCAAACAAAATGTATAGGATTATGGGTAAAAAGAAAAAAAAAAGCCTAATATATAATAATAAATGTAGATAAAACTCGATCACAAGTTGAAGGATATATTTTCTGCTTCTCTTCATTATAGAGTACGTCAACTAACTGGATCACATTCTTGTGTTGGAGTCTTCTTAGCAGCTGAATTTCCCTAGAAATAAAAAAAATAAATAAAGACATAATCAAGCAAAATGTGAATTAGAGCCTTGCCAGGTCATACTGGCAGCACATTTTGCTTAAATTAGGACAAAACTGTATGCATACATCAACAGCCCTGCAAAAAAGCCTCTGATTATAATTCATTCCACCAGTGCTGCCATTAGTTGAAAGTAAACTTTCACTTTTATGTACTAGGACCAAAACAAAAGTCTTTGCTGTATTTATAGTTTGCAATTCCTTCAACTGACTAGTTTATGTATTGTAGCTTTAATTTTATCAGTGTAGTCCATTTAATATGGAAATGGAGTTATTCTTTACAATTTAAGGACTTATTATTCAAAACATTAGATTATGATGGCAACAACACACGTTTTAAAATAGTGAGAACCGATCCCTTGGACTTGATTGCATCTTAACATTGTATTTGTTATTAGTGTTGTATATCAGAAATATAACAAAATCCTTTATTGCTCAAATAGTGTTGACATGGGAACCGGAGGAAAGTTATAAATCGATGTTTCAGGTTTTTAAAAAGCTGTTAGATTGCCTATATATCTTTTTTCTGCTATTTTATCAATTAAAAATATATTCCTGAACAATGTGAGCTTTGTTTATTTACCCTTTTTAATTTGGCTTACTCCACCAGAAAGACGACACAGGCAAAACAACAATCGCATGTGCGTACCCCAAAAATGAGTTTAAACAAAATTTCAAGAGAAAATCTGGTGCAGTGACAGTAAGTTACTAATGACCTCTGCAGGTGAATATGAAAGTATGCTACGTAGATAGCAGCTGCTTACACAATGATCTGATTAATACTAGTTCCAGCACACATCAGCCAGCCAAAATCTTTGGCAGATATCAGCTAATAAGTGCACGTGTTTCATTAGTGCATTCAGCAGCCATGCCCTGAGATCACAATCAGCACATGCATCAAAGCTCCCTCCATTTGTTATCCATTGTTAATGTTTATTTGATGTGTTAATGTCTATTTCTTTGTTTAAATCCAGACTTGTGCAATATTATGTTATTTTTTTCATGTAAATGGAGAAACCCTGCATCTGTTGATTTCTAATAAAAATCACAAGATAAAGGTGCCTCCCGAAGCTTAGAATGCTAATAATATTAATTACAATATGGAGGTTTTCTGATCTGCTAACGATGAGCCTTCACGTTTGCAGGGGGACTTGGACTATATTTTATAGATATCAGTACAACATAGAGACAATACTGTGGTTGAATACTAGGATAATGACATCAATAACCATTAACCCATATTTCCCCGGACATTCTTTTGCTTAAGAGTATCTTTACCACTCAGTGTAAACTGTATACACCAAGCATGATCAATAAAGGCCGTGATAAGGGGAGTGTTGGCCTAGTGGGTTAGAGCAGTGCACGTGTGGTCTGCAAAGGTTGCAAGTACCCGGCTTGATCCACTCAGCCTGCATTCTGGGTTCCTGAGCAAAACCCTTAACCCCCGATTGCTCCCTGGGCTCCACACAATGGCAGCCCACTGCTCCGCAAGGGGATGGGTCAAAAAGCAGAGAACAAATTTCCCAATTGTGGGACAGTAAAAGGGATTTACATTTACGATAAGCGACAATATCCTAAACAGGCCAACTATATATTTCATACAATATATACAAAGGAATGCAATATTGTGAAAATGTACACTTCTTTAAGTAGCCTCTGTGATTTTGTTGAAAAGGCACATTCAGTGGTGAGATTGGAAAAAAAAGAAGCTTTTTAAGTTATGCTGCCTTCAAATATTTGTCATTTTTATCACCATTGTATCAAAAAAGGAAGTGGGTATTGATTATTTTCCTAAGTATTTGATATATAGAATTTGAAATGTTAGTATCCTCACAATCCTGTAATGAAGTGGAGAAGTTACAAAAGTAACATTAAAAGAGTAAACCTCTGCAGCACCAAGCTGCTTGATGAAACCTCTCTTTGTTTAATACAAATAAGAAAGTTGTCTCTTCTCATGTTTTAGATCAGGGGTGTTAAACTGTAGTCCTTGAGAGGCGGTAACCTGCAGCTTTTAGATGCGTCTCTGCTTCCACCTTAATTCTGAGGAGATTCTTGTTCAGGTAAGTTGGACCAGGGACACATCTAAAAGCTGCAGGGCACCGGCCCTCGAGGATCCTAAATAAACCCAGAGTTGAGAGCAGCAGTATAAACAATAGTAGGGCTGAAACAATTAATAGTATTAAACGTGATAATCGATTATTGAAATAAATAATTTTGAAAACAAATAATTTAAATCAAATAATTTAGTAATCGAATAATTGTTAACTGGAGTTTAGAGACTGTAAAAACTTCTTTAAAACTTTCTTCTTATTATAGCAAAATTACAAGAAAAATTATATATAAACATTTTGCGTTTAAGATAAAACAAGCTTTTTCGTGTGTCCATATGCTCTATCCAGAACTCCTGAAGTGGAAATGTTTTAGTTTCACCTGGTTTAATTTCGTTAACAGTCTTCTTTCAGGAACCTTTTGCCATCCGATTATTAATTGAAAAAAATAATCTACAGATCAATATCAAATCAATTTGCAAAATAATATTAGTTGCAGCCCTAACAATAGCTAAGCTTTGAAGGCAGTTGTGCACCCAACCTGTTCTGTTTCTCTTTTTCAGCCGCACTAAATCTGGAAGAAATAAGGATGAAAGGTCAATCTGATGCTCATGTGTTTATAAACTGCAGGTATAAAACCAGCTTAAGGTAGATGTTCACTGCACAGTATATCTGATTTGAATTCTTAAAGACCATTTTCATTTCAAATTTGCAGACAACAGAAATTAACATGCACTATCAACCCATAGCTTGACAGCTGAACTGTTGAAAATACAGACTCTGCATCACACTAAAAACACCAAACCCAAAATACTGCATATTTGCACCATATATATTGAATGCTCTGAACTTCCATTTTTTTTGCATCATGTTTTTTCTCCAACACTGTTTACATTTGATCACTGCTGAACTTTGTGGAATAGAAATGTTAATTTACTGTCTGAAAGCTGTAATAAATGAAATGTTGTTTTATATACGCTGTGTATACAAAATGAAAAATAAAAGTTGTTTAAGTTTAAGCTTTATTAAACAAGCACATCATTATATGAAAAGTGCCTACATGCACAACCCCCATGTTGTGCAAAAAATATTTAAAACATCATAAATAACTTTTCAACCTTCATAAAATATTTTCATAACTTTTGTGATTATACGCCGACTAACTAGTTGAATGACACCGCTGTCATGACCCGAGAGTCCGTGTCGCTTTGCCAGCACTAAACAACTTTGAGGAGGGTGGTAGTAAACCTGCTTTACAAAACAACTACAAATGGGTAGACCTCCACCTTAACCCATTCGTTATAAAGATGGAAGTCTATACGACTACATTTCTCATCAGCACATCAGTCGCTGAAGAGTTGGGTGAGTTAGGGGGACGGTGGTGGCGGAATGCGATACAGAACCAAAGTTAATAGTTTCTTATTTCAACTACAATGGATTTACAGCCTCAATGATATTTGTCTTTAACAGCCACTGGAAACAGAAATGTAGTCCAATCCAACTTCAGGGGACTAGGACATCGGTCTTTATTTCCACAAAAAGCGCCAAAACCGAAAGTTCTTTAGTACTGCCTTAAACTTTGAGAGAACAAATAAGGTTAAAAGGGGTTAAATTGATTGCTGATGTTACAAAACAGGGTCCACAAAACACTATAGTATCCATCCTCACACAAAATGTACCCTGGATCTCTTTTGTGCCTAACTATTAAAAACCTGACAAACTGTGCCCATTCTGTGCCTTTAACACATTATTTGAACATGGTTGTTTTGGGCTTTGTGAGTCTCTTCCTTTTACAGAAACACACAAGCAGTAACAGATGCATCGCTGCGGTTTCTCTGTGCACATTCAAGAAAAGCATAATGAAGTAGCAGTTAATTATCTAGCCCTATTTATAGATGTAAACCGTCTTTGCCTTTCACTTGAACAAGCACATCTCTCATGTACCTCATTTTTGTGTGTTACTGCATCCCAACGGCTACTCCATAACACAAAGTAATATCTCTGCTGACACTGGAGGATCAGTGACTGCTGCAGTCCATCTGCAGCTCAGATTTGTACCGAAAGACCTTGTGTACTACCGGCCCTCAGGCTGCGGTGCTGACAGGACTGCAACACTCAGCGATACTGAAGAGACTATAGCGCAGCAACCACATAAACAGATCATCAGAACTTCAATCCACGCTCTGCTGGGCTCTGGAGGTGTGTTTGTGTTCATTTGCGTTCCTGTCGTTCCAGACACGCATTCACAGACTGTTACCATAGAAACAGAAGGGGCACTGCTTAATCAATACAAGCATGAACACGCCCATCCCAACAGCAACACCCTACAAACAGCAACCATTTCATTAACAAGAATACGGCATGCTGAACATGCACCGTAGTCGGCCTTCACAGGCAGACACTTCCCAGCAATTTACCCGACTATGCCAACTATTTAAGTTAAAAGCCAAACCTGCAATGTTTTAACTGCATTTCACTGTGCAACATAAAGGCATGGGTCAGCAAGTCATAGATACAACAGCATTATGTTTTTAACTATAATCCTGCTAATAATTAAGTCTTTCTGACGAAATATTCAGCAAACTGACAGAAAGCCCTCTTTTTTTTGTAATCCAACATATTCCTGCACACTCCCAGTTAGCTGACTGAAAGAACGCTCCCACACTTTCTCACTTACAGACACATTCAGCTGCCGAAAATATATTCAATTGCCAAGAACAATTTCCAAAAACCACAGTAAAAAAACAACTCTTTGGAGAAGAGGAGCTTACAAATATTGAACTGGAACCTGGGTAGCTACCAGTTATACACCATTAAACCACTGCCTCAAACCATTGGTATTACCCATTAAACAATAAATAAAAAAAAAAACAATGTTTTAGGTTTTTGGTTAAATTGAAAAAAAAAAAGAAAAAGAGAAATTAAATGGACATCATTATAACTTTACTCAAAGATTCACTATATTTTTTAGCAGAATTAGAAATGGGTATTACCTATATGTTTTTAATACACTAGATCAGTATTTCCATAAATACTGTGACTGGTAATACTTTTATCTTTTTTGTTATTATTAGGTGAAAAATATTTATTGCAACTGTGTACTGGTGCGATAAGGATAAGGCCCACAGACGGCCACTCTGGGTCCCTGAGCAAGACCCCTAACCCCAAACAATTTCTCCAATGTGAGATCAATAAAGTTTAATTATTATCAATTATTTTCAGTTAGAATATTTCCAAAACCTCAACTCTGCTGTTATGGCTGTTACCTCCACTGTGTACATTTGTTCAAAACACTTCCCATAAGAGCACAAAGACAGAACACCTACCTAAAGTGCTGGACCTCTTAGACAGGCATATGAATTTAAGTGATATTCCATTCCTGAACCATGGAATTTAATATGACGTCAGCCCACCATTTGCAGCTGTAAAACCTCCAACTCTCCTGGGAAGGCTGTGCACAAGGTTTAGGTGCATGTTTATGGAAGTATGATGCCCATTCTTCAAGAAGCAGATTTGTGAGGCTTTAGACTGAAGCTGGAAGAGAATGTTTGGCTCTTAGTCCCTGCTCCAATTCATTGCGATGGCGTTCTATTTGGCTGAGGTCTCTAACACCAAACTTTCTCAGCTATGTCTTTATGAATCTCGCTTTGTCCAACATTTACATTCATATTGAAAGAGGAAGGGGCCATCTCCAAACTACCCCCACACAGAGGCATGGATTTGTCCATGCAATCAGAATTATTTCACTGGAATAAAGGGACCACGCCCAGCTCCTAAAATATAACACCGCGATATAAAACCACCTTGAATAAACAGAACACAATTTATTCAAACAAGTACAGTTCTCGTGACACCTCCCAAACTCGGCCATTAGATTGCCAGAAGAAATGGGATTCGTCACTCCAAAGAAGGCGTCTTCGCTTGAGTCCAGTGTTGGGGTGCTTTAAACCACGCTTTGCTTGATACCTGACATAGTGCTAATATTTCTGCAATATATTGGGATTTCATCTTAAATCAATCCCTCATACTATCCCATTCCGAACTTGGAAAGTCAGATTGATCATTTGTAGCACCCCAGTTTAATTCTATAGATTATTAATCTGGGACTGTGAATCCATTGTTTGGGGGAAAAGGGGGTCATTTAGCAGAGCTTCCTTAACTGACTTGGCATAGCAACACCTAGTGTCTGCCTACCAAATTTTGGTTTTAGCCAATCACGGTTACAAATAAACTTGCACTTGTACTGAACTGAACTGAACTGAACTGAACTTATGTGATGGCACTAGCTATGCGTACGTCCTCCTGCACTGCCATGTATATTTTGGCTCAGCTGTAGGCTCAGCAACTCTTGCTTTCTTCATGTCGATATGTCCCCACTTAAACCATAATGTTGGTACATGATTGGACAGCTCATTTTGCTCAGTCTCAAATGATTGAAGATGCAGGACAAAATGGACTTGCATCTATTTTTCAATGAATAAATACTGAGAGAACTCAGCTTGTAGAAAATTCCTATTCCCATTCCTATTCCCACTCCGTGCATACAAAATGACAAATAAAGAAGTCTAAGTCTAAGTCTAAGAATGTGTTATAATCATCCTGGGAAGAAAAATCAGCTGGATTGCTGTAATTGACACCTTTATAGGTGGCAGAGTTGGTTTTTTTTTTTGGTGCCTAGTCCTGCTTCTCTTCAAGACATAGATACAGGCTCAGCTTTTCCTGTGACCAGTTGTATGTGCTCTCCACCATCCTTTTCGACATGAAAAGTGGCTCAGAGCTCAGCTGCTTAAAGGCATGCACTGTGCGATTTCTTTTCAATCGTTGCACGCAGCTGCAGCTCACACTGTACGACGAAATCCTGCGGTATTGTTGTACAGTGTGAGTTCACAGCTCACAATGTCTGAAGCACGATGCTCTGATAGGATCTACCTGCTCACACTGTACGTCTAAAAACCACTTCGCACTCAGCTCCGCAGTGAGACGGGGCTGCTCTGACTCGTCTATCAAGAAGCCAAATGAGTAGAAGAGGAATGTCAAGCTCACTAGAGGGAACCGTGCTGCCTTGGCAATTTGTGCAATTTTGTGTGCTGAGAGCCCTAAAATGAAAATGTGCAGATGTATTTGGACAAACACATGGCTGAGCTAACCTGACTACTACAGTCTGTCAATTTTACACAAAATGAACTCCATTTCACTCGCACCCCTGCATGCTTCTGTGTTTTCATCTGAGAGGAAGAAGAAGAATCCTTGTTTGCGCATGCCCAATGCGAATGACGGTCGACTGAAAATCAAATATGTAGGATTTTCTCCAAACCTCACGATTCCAGATCGGGAGGTGGGCGTGAGAGGCTGATCGCCTCTCGTTACCGCCTGTACACTACATGACCAGGCAGAAAGTCTGCCCGATCGGAAAATTCTCGCACGACTGGAAAGTCGCCCCGGAAAGGGCAAAAAATTAAATAAAAATTGCACAGTGTAAGCCTGGCTTAACAGCTTTTCTTTGCTACACAGAGCCACCTATGGAGTCAGTTTATCATTACCTTTTCTGAGATAAAAAGTAATTATGGATCAGCGATACCCCAGTCAGCCTCAGAGGGCAGCTGCTCACACCAAGCCTAATCCTGCTGGAGATAAATGATGAGTAACATCAGCAGAGCTTTCAAAGTGGCTCATATGAATCATCAATGGGATTGATTTCAAGTGTGGTTTCTGTCTGGGATAAATAGTTAAATAAGATTTAGTGAAAAAAGAAAATGGAAGTCAGAAATGAACCCCCTCCACAGAAACCTAGGTTTTTGGTCATTGGCAATGTAGCCACAATAAAATACTAAATAATACTCTGATTTTTAGTTCAAAATAGCATATCAAACAGTGAATCTAACACTTAAACAACCCAAATGTTGGGCTGCATACTGATCAATACAAAACTTCTAGGTAACTTTCCTGCAACTTTCTTTCCATTCAGCATCTGTTTACACTCCAACTGCATGATAAACAGAAAACATTACCAATAGCTAAGGTGCTCCATCTACACTGGGTAGTGGAGTAAAACCGCTGCAGTTTACCCAGTGTAATATTTACTTCATGCCACGCCTCAGATATGATCTGCCCAAATGCTACAAATAAGTATTTTTCTGTTTAGAGAACACATTTTGCAGGCAGCATTTGCCTTCTGAAATGTGACCTGAAGTGTGTGGACAGGCAACTGCTTCCACTTTGTAAAACATGATGTACATAGGTACTTGTCAGCATCTAGAAATTAAAATCATTAACTTCTAGTTCTTTTGGGACAAATGAACTAGATAATAAACCTATATAAAAAGCAAGGCACAGCTCAACGGGGTGTACAGCACTCTATTCTACTCCAAGTAGCCTTTAAAAGCCTTCTGAGCACTATACAGCACTAAAGCAGTACTCAACCAGCATTGATGGGGATTGAGAACTACAACAAATATTATGACAGTTGGTATAAAAATGATAATCAATTAAAGTTAGTGAGGAAATCAGATAAAGCAAGACAGCTATTGAATACAGCCCTGTTCTCTGTATTAAGTAAAGCTTAAGAACAAGCAGAGCTTCTTTGGCTCCGAGTGAAGTCATTCTGACAGTTTTCTAGAGATAAGTCTATTATTAGCACAGCCCCACAGTGAAAGGCTGAAGTGATATTTAATAAGACTAATGTGATTAAAACTTTGGCCACTCATTAGTAAATGGGTAAGGCAGAAAACCCATTGATATGTAGGATAACAGATAAATCTTTAAAAGGCTGTTATAAAATTTTAAAATTAATAACTGTCAATCACAAAAACATTTCTTTTATGAAATTGATAAACTTAAGAGCTCTTCCCAGATAAAGAAAAATAAAACAACAACAATTTCTTCCAGAGAATGTTCAGGAAAGCCACCAGAAATAATCACTTAGGACATAATTAAACTTTTTCTAACTGCATAGTGCAGGAAAAAACAAACAAATCCATAAACAACATGACAATCATTACAGAATAATATGTGAAACAAGCAAGCCCATTCATAGTAAGAGTACTGTGAAACACATTTTGACTCAAAGATTAATTAAAATCCTCACTGCAGTGACCAAAACCAGCTGGAATGATAGTATGATGAGAGTATTAATTCCCTCTAAACATTTTCATGTGACAGCTACAACCTTCAATTAATCTTTTTTTTTTTTTAAATGGGATAGAGCAACAAAGCAACAAAGATGTGTGGGAGCATATGTTGGTGCAAGCTGTAAACTACACAGATTTGGCCTTAATAAATTTATAATTATTTCAAAAAATCATGACAAAAATTCCGATAAAAGGCAGCCAGAGAATGGAGTAAACAAATGCTGCTCTGATTAGATGAGAACAAACATGAGGTCTGCCACACACAAAGGATATGCTGCGTAACACCCAATCCCAGAAAGAATTAGGCCTGAAACAATTAATCGGATTAATTGATTATTGAAATAATCGTCAATTCATTAAGTAATCGATTAATCATTAACTGGAGTATAGAGACTCTAAAACATACCTTTAGCTGACAGAGTAACCAACCATGAGCAGCAATTATACCAAAATTATAAAAAGAAATAGGTAAACATCTTGCAATTAAGAAAAATCTTTTTTGTCTGTCAATATGCTCTATACAGAACTCCTAAGGTGGAAAAGTTCTAGCTTCACCTGGTTTAATGTCGTAAAAAGCCTTCTTTCAGGAACATTTTGCTATCCGATTATTAAAAATAAACGACAGATGAATCAATTTGCAAAATAATTGTTAGTTGCAGCCCTAATAAAGAATCAGAACTTACTTTTTTACGTTGGCTTCTCCATTTGGAATCCTTCTAAGCTTCTTCTTCTTTAGTATCTTGACCGCTCTGCGACAAAGTGTCTCTGAGTCCAACATTTCTTTCACTTTGCCATAAGACCCTTCCCCCAGCAGATCCCCCATCAGATACTTTCCAATCATCTTGGCCCTCTTCCTCCGTGGCTGATAGATCACCTCGGTAGAGTCAATGCGGTGAATGAAAGTATCCATCTCCATGAGTTCATTGTCATTTAGATACTCAAGATGAGGCAGGTCGCAGTCACTCATGATTGCAAGATTTACAACAGCTTAATCACTATGCTCAACAATGGTTAGCAAATGGCTACGATGGGTACGGAAGTGTGGTTTGTTGTTAACCTTTTAGCACTAAATGAAGTAGATCCATTAGACAGGATGAATGAATAACAGGATGAAAAAGACTGAAAATAGATAAAGGGGAAATAGGGCCTGAGGGTCAGGAAACGGGTGGATGAACAATCTGAGATCTGTAAACATTAGGGCTCCTTTTACTCAGGGGCAGGGGGTAAAAAACAAAAAACAAAAAAACAAACAAAAAGGTGCAGAACAAGGTGGGTCCAGTGATGTGCTAGAACTTAATACTGCTCATTATGAACTAGGTTTATTGAGATTAATGCTGAACTGAGACAGTTTTGCTAATTTATTTAGGCTTTTAATACTATTCACCTTCCAGTCAAGGCAACAAGTCTTTCTTTGAAACCTTAGAGCCGTACATTTCTGTCAGAGGTCCTTACAAATGGACATAGTTCCTGCAGTGTGTATATAGCCTGATCCAAATGTAGATCAACAATCAGAGTAGTAGGAGCGTCTGCCACTAGTGCCAATCAAGCTCCCAAAGGTTGACTGGACCATCCAATATGTTGAACCGTTCTTAGGTGTCCTCCATGTCACCACAGTTTCCAGAGCAAGTCACCTGAGGAAAATTTTCATTCAAATTAGTTTTAAGTTGCAATTAAAAAAACAAAAAAATTGGTATTAGGAGTGTACCTACACAAAAAAGCCTAGTATGTTCATCCTATTAACTTTTTTTGCAATAATTAGGCAGGACTAGTAGTAAAAATGTTTAAAGAGAACAGACGTGAAGCAAGAATGTTAGGCTAAAATAGTCCCCACCCCTTATTTAATTTCATTGCTTATCACAGCATATCTATGGAGGACCAACTCTGCCACATCTAAAAATAAATATCGAAATAAACAAATGTTCATAAATAAATAAGCATTCAATTAATTACCCCCAAAAATACAATAAACAAATAAATGTAGGTAGAAATTAAATCATACAGTGAGACATAAATGTATATATCTCTTTTAATTAGCTTCTAAATAGTGTTTAAGAAATAAAGAGGATAAAAAAATACAAAGAATAAAAATATTAAATCATGCACATAAATAAGTACATAAAAAATAAGTAATAAATAAAGTTTAAGATTAAAGTGGACAATAAATAAATAAGAAAATTATTACAAAGGTGAATAATTAAAGAAGCTAATTAAAAGAGATATATAAATGTAAGTCTCACTGTATAATTTAATTTCTACCTACATTAATTTGTTTATTGTATATTTAGGGGCAATTAAATGCATGCTTATTTATTCATTGAGCATTTATTTACTTTTGTATTTATTTTTAAATATGGCAGAGTTGGTACTCCATAATATTCAACCCAAATTCAAGTTAAATTTTACAGAAATCACACATGTACTATGTTAATAAAAATGTTCAGCAACAAAATACTGGGGCCTTCATAAAACAGTTAGATACAAAATTTAGGTAGGTGCACCAAATAATATTTATGGGATCAGAGTAAAGGGGATAAGTACGACAGCACCTTTTTTGATTTAAATTTAAATTTGATTTAAAAAGTATTTTAAAATTTTCTTCTTTGGTTACTAAACAGCAATATCAAAAAACGCACATGTACATAATATGAAATTCAAGCTGAATTTTACAGTTCAGAAGAAACTGTGATGTCCATCATCCAACATTTGAAGGGTGCAGGCTAAGTTAGTTTAGCGACTCTGGATGAATGAAAAAGATTTCCAGCATTAAAGTTCTTAAAACGCCAAAACGTTCAACCGAGAGAACACCCGCCTGTTTTTATTTTAATAAAAAACAACATAAAAATGTTTGCTTTCACCGACAGCGTACAGTAGAACATTAAGAGGGGGGGACGAACGAAACGTCGTCACACAAGTGTAGCTAAGGGCTGGATATGCAGCAACAGAAGTAGCTATCCAACTTCATTTGCCGGTGAAGCCATACAGGCTTATGAGAGCGTTTTCTTTCATCTGCCTGTGTTGCATTGTGTCCATTCAACAGCTGGACCGACATAAGCTTTAGCAACATGTGCATTCACAGAAAAGACACACATAAAATACAACAGATGAATCAAGCTAATGCGAGCTAACCCTCAGCTAGCAGGACGCTCGGATTCCAATGTAAACTGCTACCTAGCCATTTAAAAAGCTAACTAGCTCCTTCTGCAGACTCTAGCTGATAAGCATGCATCGGCAATAAGGTTAACTCACCCGCTGAGTGTCCGTCCGCGGAAAAAGCTGTTTCTCTCTCCGTCTGACACAAGACTAATGCATTTTTTCGGACTATTCGTGCTACTCTTGCCTCTCAGGTTGTCGCCATCTTGTTTACCTCCCCCCTGAACTCGCCCCACACGTTACTGCGTCAAATCAAAGTTTTCAGGGAGGAAAGCGGCTGCTGACAACGACCTCTGCCACCTTTGGTTCAACTTATCATTTAATTAATTAACAATTTCCACTAATACCGGTAAATTGATCCGGCCGTTTTTGTTGAATACATTTAAATGACCCAATTCCTTATATATATATTTTTTTTATCAAACTAAAGTGTCATTTTCGTTTCTTCTCCCTTTTTTGGTCAAGGGCGGCGCAAGATGGGGGACCAGGGGTGGCCATGGCCACCCTTGGCCAATCATTGATCACCCCTATGGCCACCCCTACCATTTATTTCCCTCTAATACAGATGGTGGCAACAGTAATAATCTCAAGTGGAATTTTCAAAACATTTAAATTTTTCATACATTGACAATTATTTGACAACAAAAACAATGTGGTTTATTATGCACATCAATATACTAACATTAAAGAAGATACGTACAGAATTCAACCAGAAATAGCTTTTGTGTTTCATGGAGTAAAGAGAAAATTATGTCTCTGGAAGTTATCTAGGAGTCTTCAGTGAAATCATAGATAAATAACTATAAAAAAAAAAAAAAAAAAACGTATTAAATAATCAATTTATGTAGATATTAGTAATTGTACATATACATTTTATGCAGAATGATTACTGATAAAAGTAGGTAAACAATGACAATGGAAAAGATGTTCACCCAAAACTCAAACCTGAAAGAATTTTATCCACTATACCTTTTATCTAGAAAGCACAGATGTTTGAATATTTTCACCTATTTGTTAGCAAGGATGTTGGAAAGTATAATTTGTTTTTATTTAGAAAATATGGATGTTTTGTTCGTTAATTTTCCTGGAACAGCGTAGATTGACCGTGAGGTTTTGGTGCCTATCTACTTTCGGCCACCCCTCAATGTACATTGGTTATTGCCTGGCCACCCTCATAAAAATGTTCTGGCTACACCTCTGCTTTCGGTAGCCATTGTTAACATTGGGAGTCTAAGCAGAATTTGATATAGGGGCCCCAAACAATCAACCATTATATTAATACTTTGATCAGGTTTTTGCTTGGTGTGTATTCAATTAATTTAGCTGAGAAAAACTTTTCACAGAAAATGTTAAATTATTCATAGAAAATGTATTTAAAGTTGCAAATGATATAAAATAACATTCACAATAGATTAAATAGCTTGATAAATTATTAATAAAATATGTTAACACTGTCTCCAGTATGATTAAAGGTAATGCTTGATGAATGGATGGATGGCGAGATAAAGTGAAAAATTGATGAATGGCTGCAGCAGCAGATGGACAAATGATAGTGTGGAAAGCTGAACATTTCTCCTCATTTTTTAGGCATCAATTAATGCCTCATCAGTTATAAAACACTGGTTGCACAATTTTTAAGTCTTTGAATAGATTAATAAGCTTTTCCCAGCAGGGACGTCCACAATACATCTTTTTCATTTACGATAGGATTCTGATATTGCACCTTTGAGAAATGACAAATACTAATATGACCCAATACGATATCAGAATGAACCATAACCATTCTTTTAATACTTATTTTTAGTGTGCAATGTTGAAAAAGGTTTGATGAAGTGATGTTATTGAAATAGGGAATGATAGGCAACAGCAGGTATGAGAACAAATGACCCATTTATTATTAACCAACAATTTGAGATATTAGGTAGAGACCAATTTAATCCAATATTCATTTTTTGGCTGATATTGGACCCAAATCGGATAGGGACACCCCTAGTTCAGAGTCTGGGGAACACTGAAGTTGAAAATGTAAAGGTTTTATTTGGTAGATGAAACTGTCACTACACATCTGAACATGAGAAGCTGTCAGCTCAGTTGATCTATCCTAAATAAAATTTGAAACTTTTGTATTCAGAAACTGGCATGCTATATACAACTCAGAAATGTTTTTGTATTGCCTTATCCTATCACTTTTTACACCTAAAAAAAAAAATGAATTCCCATAGTTGACCATAATTCCTAAAATTGTTCAAACTATATCCTATAGAAAATACAAAACATTTTACGAATGAAAATAAATCCACAAGGTAGAAGGGATCCAGTTATTTAAATGGAAATAATATTTATTTAATAAGATAACATGGTGATAAGGGGACCACAGACAAATGCCATATCAGTGATGCAAACAACCAAAGCAATAATGCAAACTAAAGAGAAGAAGAAGAAAGCAAAGTGTGGCAACTAAACAAAGGCTGATTTAAGTCAGTAAACATAGTGTTTTAGGGTTAAAGATTTTAAGATGCACTATAGCTTACAGGCATATAATACAGTAAAGCCCAAATAATTTCATGTCCCTAAACAATTTAAAATGAGTATCTATTTCAGCAATGTTTATCTTCTAATTGTAACCATATTAATATTTTGGATTGTCCAGCTGGAGTCCAGACTTGGATCTGACGGAGGGAGTTGGAGATATGTGGGATGGCAAGGCATTTCAACCTTAAGCAGTTGAAGCTCATTGCAAAATAGGATTAAAACAACAGTGGGAACATGCATATACCTGGTCAGCAACTAGAATTTTAATTGCTGCTATGTCAATATTTACCCGCTAATTTGTAAAGAACATATGACACTTCCCTGTTACAGCATAAAAACAGCAATACCCCAGTACATTGGCGCCTTTCTAAGGTGCCATTTCAAACCAGAAGCAATTTTTATTTTATTTTTTTTATTAAAAAGGCTATAAATTTGTCTTTAGTATTAAGAAATCTGGCCTTTTCTCTTTTACTGTATTTTAAAACATGCTTAGTTATGCTAAATTATGAAACTTTTTGCTATAGGTCTGTAGTTTTACTCATTCCAGGACTTCTCCCGAGTCTAGTTGATGATGTGGCCAACAAGAGGCTCCTGCTTAGCTCAGACCTCTTGAGTTATATTTATCCCATGTAAACCTCTCTAGAGAATGGCAAACTGAAGGTCTGATTTCACTGATCTGTCACCCTCCCTATGGCTTGGCTGTTCCAGTCCAGTAAACACCTCTTACTAATACTGTGATCCGAAACCAAGCGGAAATAAAAGACAATGAAGGCATCAATATTATCTCATAAACACCAGAGCCTAGCACTATTTTTTCTCCAACGTTTCAAATGAATAGCATAGTTTCTTTCAAGATAATCAAGTAAATTAATTGGAAATTAAAAAATAAAACGCTGAATTTCAGGGAAAGTTTGTTTTATTGTAAACAATGGAGATTATGTATTGTAATAATTACACAGGGTCCTCTTATACAAAACCGTCATTTAGCTGAGGGGCGTAGCTCTAAAAGCCAAACAAAACTGGTGAGAAATAATGGTGAAAACACAATGATTTCAATCTATATATTTCACCATGTTACATAGATTCATCACAATGTAATGGACAGATTAGCAAATGTTTATCGAAAGCAGATATTTTAACGTGATACACCAACTTGTCCAAACCAGCTTTTCTTTTTTTCAATTTTGAAATGTTTTCATTCTTTCTTTAACAGACAAAAACTCAAAAAATGTATAATATCAAACATTTTCACTTTAAAACAAACAAAAGAAAAAGAGCAGCAGATGCATAAACTACCCTTTTTGTTAGAATTAACATCAAGCAACAATGGTAATAGTCCTCGGTATCAGTAATACGGCCTCCGTGGATTATTCTGCAAATAGAAAAAGCAAAACAAACGAATGCTTTATTAAATATGGCAACACCAAAAATCCAAATAAATATACAAAACATGCAGCATTTTACTACAGTAGGGAATTTTTTAAAACGTTCGGACACTACAATGAGAAATGAATGTATTTTGGGGCATTTTATAAATTGGACCAAAACCAACTGTTTTAATAAGAGAAAGTGGAAGGGAATTCAGACATAGTACAAAGCTGCAGTATTTTTTTTTTACCAGATTCACACCTTTGAGAAAAAAAAATCTATACAGTTTCAATTTTGTAAACTGATCTGTGTATTGGATTCAGCCCCTCTGACTCGGTACTGTGGAGAACTGGTCTTTTGGGATTTGGCTCATCAACTGTTGCCAGTCCTTCTTTGCAAAATAGCTCAAGCTCTCTTTGATTGGATAAAGGGAACCCAGAAACATCAGTTTTCAAATCTTCCACAGATTTTTAAATCTAATTTAGGTCTAGATTTTCTCGAGTCTTTTGTAGCCTCCAAAAACTTTTCTTCCACTTTTGTATTTAGATCTTTTCCCATCAACTCATCCCATCAACTACCATTGAACAATGTTCCCATTTCTGCTAAGGATAAACATCCCCACAGCACAAAAGAGCTCTGCCATGCTTTATGATGGCAATGGGTGATGTACAGGATTATTTAAATTTCACACAGCATTTTGCACTTATGTGACCACGAAAGCCGTCTTTTGTGCTACTTTCTGTTGGTCTATCACATAAAAAATCTCAATAAAATACAGTGAAGCTTATGTTTATGACAGGAGACAATGTGAAACTGTTCAAGGTGCATGAATATTTACATTCCATAGCATATATTTAAAATAAAACACAAAATATCAGCTGAATTTGTATTATATAACAGAAATACAGAAAAAAAAAAGTTTTTTACCAGGGGATTTGGCCTGAAGCGGTAGGCAAGCATCATCCTCTTTCTGAAAGCATCATACTCATCATCCCCTTTTGACAGCTCAGCTGGGCGTTCAATTCCAAACCCTGCCCCGTTCAGGGCGGTGGTTCCCCTAGAGGGTGACAAAGAGATAAACTCAAATTCCCTGAAGTGTTTTTTTGCCCAGAAAGTGCAGGCATACATGACTTTCAAAGAAATACAAAAATGTGTGGAAATGGTACAAATAATGATAATTCATAGCTATTTTTTGTTTTAAGAAACATTGCTAAATACAAGATAGAATAAAGGAATGCAAGGACATTATTAACATACATGTTTATAAATATGAACAAAGGGGAAATCTAAAACAGGACGAGAGCATACTTGTTAACAGGAGCTTTGATTCCCTGTCCTTCACTGCCCAGGCCTTCTCCTTCCTTCCATCCCATTTTCATGAGCATTTGGAAACCAAGATTCTCCACCGTCAACTTAAACTCTTTATACTCCGAATAGTCTGGGTCGCGGCCTTCCTGCAAGTCAACATTACAAAGTTGTGAAAACATGCAAGATATAAAACCGGTTCAGCAACAAAAGGACGTAATGGATATGAACTTTCCCCGGGTAAAAGTAGGGGAAGGTTTGCTTTAAAAGTTTATCTATCCCCATTAGAATAAAAAAAAAAAAAGAAAAAAAAGACCATCATCTGAGTGTGCTTAGTAAATGTGTACTTTATCTCACACTTCTCAATTTACTCAATAAAACATGTAGAATTCACAAGGGGACCAGTAACAAAAGAAAGTATATAGTTATAGGACAAAATCTAGGTTTTATATTTTTAAAAGTGTTTTAGAAAACATGTAAAAGAGTAAATGTAAAAAAATTATAATAAAATGGGTTAATTATTTTGGTTCCCTGTGCTTGAAATAAAGGGTGTAACTTAAGAAGTGTCCACATAACTAAATCAGTAGCTGTTCAGCTTGAAACTGTTTCCTCACAGGATTTATCATTTAAATATTTAAAGCTGATTATTGGTTTCACTAGTTATGTTAGGAGGCAAAGGGGATAAGATATTCTTTGTTCTGTTCCTCTTCCTTCAGATGTTCTAAGTTGAATTGTGTTTGTTTTGAGAAGAATCAAATAAATGTAGACAAATAAAATACAATAAATAGATTAATCTATAAAAATACAAATTTTTTAATAATTTGGAATTTATCATTTTTATACTTACATATTGCAAGAATGTTATAATTTGATAAAGATAATTAATTTCAGGTCTTGAGATCAATTCCTTAGCAACAGGTAAACTATGGACCTTTTTAATAATTTTATTTTCTAGTTTTAACTTGTCTTTTCTGTTTGTTTTATTGTATGTATTTTTTTTCTTATTGGCAATTACCGTTTTTGTCATCTCTTAATTGTTGACGTATGCAGCCCTTTGGTCGCTTATATGTGTGTAAATCCACTACATAAATTTTAAATGATTGATTTATACTAGGGGTGGAACGGTTCACAAAATCCACGGTTCGGTTCGATTCACGGTTTCGTGGTCATGGTTTTCGGTTCGGTTCGATTCGGTATATGTTGATTGTTACACCGAAATCCCATAAAAATGTATGAAATTAATGAAAAAATCCCCCAAAAAATATAGGATTGTAATTATTTTAAATGATTCGCGGAAACCCTGGATCATTTCCGTATGTTTTGCTGCTTTGAATTTAATCATCTCGCGCATGTTCCCTACCATCTCCAAGGGACTCAGAGGGGAGCGCACGGGAGCCACAGTGTGGGCTGTAGGCTTTGCTTTGAGCAGCCGGTCTGGAGCGCAGCGGGGGTTGCTGACGGAGTAGGAGGGATTTCGGGGTTAGCATGACATGTTGGTCATGTTGCTGTTAGCATAAACAAAACGTGTTGCACAATGCTTGTACACTGTTGCACTTTTATCCACAACTTTCTTTCCGCCGTCATCGTAGGTCACTCTAAATGCAAAGCGCTCCCATACAGCAGACCTATAAAGTGCTGCTGGTGCATCTTCCAACTCCTGTTCTTTCCCACTCGCCATTCCGACACAATTCTCCACAACAACTGATTTTTTTCCCCTGCTACACCCGGCTACGCTGCTTCACTTCTTCTTCTTCTTGTTTACTACTGGTGGTTGGTTTTGGTCACAGTACCGCCACCTTCTGCTCTGGAGTGTAAACGCTTCACCTATGAGAAAAAGGAGCAGCACATGTACTGAACGAAACACGCGAATCGAACCGAGACAGTCGAACCGAACGGTTCGGACGGTTTTCATAAATCGTCCCATCCCTAATTTATACACATTAATAATGTGGGTCATAATGTTCCTGATGCATCTCTGTATCTTTAACTGATGACAGAGATAATTACAGTAATAAAGATGGCTGCCATGAGGGTCTTTTACATATGTTTATTTTACTTATTCATTCACACTTGTCCTGTCTGAATATTTTACTAAAAAACCAAAACAAGTACATTGATTCATATCCTTGTTTAAACATCACAAAATACTCAAAAGAATATCTTTTCTCCCTTTCATTACTAAAACTACCTGAAGTATTTCAGATATAGCTTAAAGAGCGTTGAGAAAGCATCACTGGATATCTGTTTTTATAGCTATAGTTAAATTAGTTGCGTCTCCTGTCTTCATTCAATATTTTAGGACATCTCTTCAATTATAACATATCATTTTGCAATAAAACTGGTCTCTCTTTAGGGAAAATCAAATGTTTCAGATTTACCTGCACAGGTAACGTTTCATAAATGTACAAAGATAAAGGTTTAATATAGCTACCTGTCTGGACACATGTTCAAAAATAAACTGACAGTTTAAGCACTGTTACGAAACTCTAGTTTCAGTCCAAGTAATCTGAACAAATCCGCAATCTGTTAAATCTATAGAAACTATATACTAGAAGTGATGCATTTGATTAAGTCAAAGAAGAGCCAACCTTGAGTGCTTTGAAGGTCTCCATGAATTTCTCCAGCTCTTCAGGGGGAAGGAAGTCTCCAATAAAATGTTTCCCTTTCCCCATTTCTGTCAGAGACTCCGCCCACTCTGGGATTGTTAAAGAGAGCAAAAATTAAAAGGAAAGAATTAACAGTAAAAAAGTCATTATCAGCTGCTGCTGTAAGTTACAATGCACGTAAACATCTGACTGCATTTCTCTTGCATACCGCGAGTCTTCTCCATTTCCATCTGTCTCAGCTGATGCTCCCATGTACCGGCCTCCTGGTCCACCTCTTCGTCACTGTCATATTCATGCTGGTGGTCTCGAATGGCTTTCTCCCACAACTTCTGCATGTCTGCCATCGCACGTTTGTGCTTCATGATCATTTCATACATCTCTTGCATCTGTGCAGAAAAGACACTGGTGAGCTCTAAAAGACATTTCTAATAATCAAACAATAAAACACATGAGGTAAGATTCATGCATAGCCGTATATAGAACTGTGCTGAAAGTTTCATCTTAATCTTCTTTTCAGTACCTAAATAGAAAAAGATAAGCTGTACCGGGTCAGGTTGACCTAGAATTACCTATTGGTGCAGTTACTGAGGAAAACCCAAAGTTTGCCTTATTTAGTGTACAAAAGGTGCTCTAATCGAGTTGGAGGATGTTTAGAGTAAGTACATCACTTCCACATGTCTTCAAACATTGTTAACAAATAACCGTAACAATGAATGCATTATAAGAAAGTGACTGTGCTTTAGTGTTTGAACATTAATTTTATGTCCACTATAGGAAATCATTGCATTGCTTCTTATTATATTATGGTATTAAAGGGGAACTGGTCAGTACCTTTGACCAGTTATTGGGTATATTAACAGGTTAAAATTGAACAAAATAGGGCATTTTTGGATTGCTGCAAATGTAGCTTAATGCGTCTCAGTAATAGTTGTAACCGTCTACCTCCTGCTGTTCCTTGATTTGCCTCTTCTGGTCCTCGGACAGTTCCGTCACTCCAACCAAACCGAGAGGCTTTCCCTTCTTATAACCAAGACCACTCAACTCCTGAGCTAAAAGAGGTCATACGGAAAAGGTTTACAATTTTGACTTTTTAGTGATGTAGCTTAAAGATATACTGAAGTAAGAAAAGCATGTTGTCAAGTCTTCTATATTCATCACCTATAAAAAATACTCATGTATGCAACTACAAGAATAAATTAGCATACCAGTTAAAGAGGGTGTATTTGGATCTGGAACACTGATATCTTGGGGAACAACAATCGGAGGAATTGGCAACTGCACTTTGTCATCTTCAGATCCCCATCTGCTCTTCCTCTTTCGTTTAAGAGAAGGCGCTTCTGATTCTTGATTCCGAGGCTGTGGAGAGGATCCAGATAGAGAAGACCCAGATGGACGTCGAACGTCTGTCTTGGAATCCGCAGGTGGCGGTGAGGAGCTCTCAGACGTAGAACGGTACTCCTGTAGTTTCTTCCTGTAGAGAAGGTAGGCCGGACTTTGCTGGTCGAATAAAAAGCTGGAGAATAGAGAGAGCCGGAGAAATTTTCATTCAGATCAAAAAAGAAAGCAATAACATAAAAAATAGAATATTTTGCACAACAGTGCTAAAAACGCATAAGGACCTGAATGCAGGATTGTCTCTGTTGCGTTCAATAGCGATGGCTTCAACCTCTGGGCCACCTTCCGCCACAAACTGGGCCAGATTTTCAACGATTTGCTGGGTTTCCACGTCCACTGGGGGGGAGACTTTAAGCAGCCTATTAGTACTGGGACTCAATTCACACTCTACTACTGTACCGTACTCAACTGGCCCTCACACAGCAACAGTCTAGAGCCAATAGGGAATAAGAAGAGGAAAGGGGAGGAGGAGCAGGGGGGACAGGGCTGGTGAATGGGGGTATCTTTGAATGTGAGGCTTTAACACAATAAATCAAAAATATTAAGCTACATAACAAGTTTAATCTTATATTTGTAAATATAACATCTTTCACTAATACAGATATTCTATTATTTTTGTCTATATTTTAATAATTGATATTCACTAGTCTTTAGAAGGACAAAAAAATCAGTTCATATCAAAAACATAAAAGCTTTTCTGTATAACCTGCTTTAAGGACAATAAAAATAATGGTTCATTTAAAATAACACCACCTTCTGTGATTGGTTAATTACAAAGTCACGCTGTGATGACGTCACCATAGGCAGATTTTTATCTTTATGGAAAGTAATAAATGCTTGATTATAAAGCCTATGCAGATCTGTAAATTTTAAAATTTAATTGAATTAACTCTTCGAAAGGAAACCTTGAAAACAATCCAGCCATATTTGTTGGAAGTGTAAAACGACGTAAAATAAACCTCAGCTTGTACTGCAGTAACACTGATTTATTTTTGGATAATCAAACAACCTAATTTAAGTAGTACATTTATTTAGTGGGTGTAAAATGTATTGTATATAAAAGTTGGTTTTAAATGCTTTAATATATGCATAAAAATTTTTTCAGGTACTTTATTTTTTTACAATGATCAAAATTTGAATAAATTTTTAATTAGTTATGAATTAATAGATTTTTCTTGGGTAACATGGCAAAATAAGCATTTTCTTAGCCACTGAGGATTCACATTCAACTTTTCATCACACAGAGTTAGCAGGATGGTCATACAGATAAAAAAAAATGCTGCAGATAAAATCTTAAGAAAATCATTATGCTTTGTTCACACCTAACACACATTGGGCAGCATAAGTAGCCCTTTACATGCAAAGTCAATGGTTGACGCGCATCAAGGCATCAAAAGGTCCTGCGGCGCATCTAGAGCAGCAGAAGCAGCGTCTCATGAGCTACTGACATGCGTGATGCGAATCACAAGTAGCAGATGTTGGGTTCGAAAAATGTATGAATTTTTGCTGCTCGACGCACCATATCAACCAATCGGAGAAGCAGATCTGAGGCTGTCAGGGAGACAGACACAGCACTGCTGATGCAGAGCTCTATGATCGCTCTCCTTAAACAGCTTATTAATGCCTAAATTGACTTAAAATGTTGAAACCTTATTCTGGTGCTTGCAGTTTATAACACATACCTGACAAATACTAACATCTACATCATGTCGCCATGGACAGTAGGTGAAAACCCCAAGAGGCGACTGGGACTGAGGCAGCTGCTGATTAAGATTCCCATTTGTCGCTTTAAAAAAAAAAAAAAATCTAACTACGTTTAACCCACTTATAACAGCAAATACAGCAAAACCACTCCCTGCCATTGAACACAGGAGCAGCAGGAGCATCGGACGCGTCTGTACACACTTTACTGGACCTACTTCAGGAGCTTCAAAGATGCTCTAGAGGTGCGTCGGACCTTTATGTGTACAAACATAAAAAATGAAGCAGCAGGAGCTTTTTTGCTGCTTCAATCGCGTGCGGTCTGAACGTAGCATTAGATGTTGCAAACATACTAACTGCATGCAATAGAAATTTGGCAGATAAACTATTCTTCTTCATTACCTTTAAAATGTATCAAATTATGGAGTTTTAAAAAGCAAACTAGGACTTTAACAAAATTTGCGAAGCATCGAATAGATGAGACTAAAACTGAACTCAGCAACAAAAAATGAAATTTGGTTTGGTGTGAAACAAATCCTGCTCAGCAGGATAATGATCATCTTAAAAAGAAACATTATAAAATGCTAAATTAATGATATATTTCGAAATATACCAACAAATGTGGCTGGAACTGCAGAGGTTTAATGCAACTCTTTTAATCTGCTGCCGGCTTTATTTTTCAAACTGCTTATGACTGCAGACTGACTTTTGCTTCTTACAGCCCACATCACCTTCAAGTATTAGCAGCTCATCTATACTGCTGGAGAATTATCTTTATATAGTCATCATTACCCTACTTAATGGCTGAAGGTACATAAACGCCTGAATGTTTACAAAGATATAAATGAATAGGGATTTAAATTCCCTATCAGCAGTAAAGACTAAATATAACATACCGTATTTTCACGACTATAAGGCGCACTTAAACGTCTTTTTTCCCCCTCAAAATGTGCGGTGCGCCCTATGGTGCGGTGCGCCCTATGTGTGTTGTAACTGCGACTTTTGAGACCACCTCATTGAGGAGATGATGAAAGAGTGGCTGAATGTAAGGAGACCAGCTGTTTTTTTTCCACTCATCACCATTAATCTGTAACTCCATGCGTGCCCATCTCACAGCTGATGTGAAAAACATGGGGAAACAAATTAACCCTGTGCTCGCTGTTCAACCGCTCGACATCGGTGTGAACCGGACCCAGCAGGTGCAGCAGAAGCAGCGAGGAATAACGTGTCTGCTGGCTCTGTTCTTCAAGCTTTTGCAAAAGCAGGCATTATTTCTGAGGAGCCGCGCTGCACGGAAAGTGACTCTGACAGCGCAGAAGGGGAAACTGGCATGTCTGATTTAGCGCAGCTGTTTAATTCAGAAACAGAGGATGAAGACTTTGAGGGGTTTGATTAATACTTTGTAATAAATACTTGAATAAAGCACAATCATACTCAGTTTTGCTCCCGCTCTATTTTTCTACCTGAAAACTTAATTCAACAGCAGGCTCTGGTCCGCGGCGCATCCGGACTCACCTCCGCAGGTGTTTTTTCATCTAAATAATCTAAATCTTTTTAAGTGAGAAAGTCCACCTGAAAATTTTATCATTGCAGTCAGCTCATCCAGATTATTATCCTGCCTATGTTTTAAGTTAATTTATGCGTCAATAAACGAAGAAGAAGGGGAAACTGGCATGTCGGATTTAGCGCAGCTGTTTAATTCAGAAACAGAGGATGAAGACTTTGAGGGGTTTGATTAATACTTTGTAATAAATACATGAATAAAGCACAATCATACTCAGTTTTGCTCCCGCTCTATTTTTCTACCTGAAAACTTAATTCAACAGCAGGCTCTGGTCCGCGGCGCATCTGGACTCACCTCCGCAGGTGTTTTTTCATCTAAATAATCTAAATCTTTTTAAGTGAGAAAGTCCACCTGAAAATTTAATCATTGCAGTCAGCTCATCCAGATTATTATCCTGCCTATGTTTTAAGTTAATTTATGCGTCAATAAACGAAGAAGAAGGGGAAACTGGCATGTCGGATTTAGCGCAGCTGTTTAATTCAGAAACAGAGGATGAGGACTTTGAGGGGTTTGATTAACACTTTGTAATAAATACTTGAATAAAGCACAATCATACTCAGTTTTGCTCCCGCTCTATTTTTCTACCTGAAAACTTAATTCAACAGCAGGCTCTGGTCCGCGGCGCATCTGGACTCACCTCCGCAGGTGTTTTTTCATCTAAATAATCTAAATCTTTTTAAGTGAGAAAGTCCACCTGAAAATTTAATCATTGCAGTCAGCTCATCCAGATTATTATCCTGCCTATGTTTTAAGTTAATTTATGCGTCAATAAACGAAGAAGAAGGGGAAACTGGCATGTCGGATTTAGCGCAGCTGTTTAATTCAGAAACAGAGGATGAAGACTTTGAGGGGTTTGATTAATACTTTGTAATAAATACATGAATAAAGCACAATCATACTCAGTTTTGCTCCCGCTCTATTTTTCTACCTGAAAACTTAATTCAACAGCAGGCTCTGGTCCGCGGCGCATCTGGACTCACCTCCGCAGGTGTTTTTTCATCTAAATAATCTAAATCTTTTTAAGTGAGAAAGTCCACCTGAAAATTTAATCATTGCAGTCAGCTCATCCAGATTATTATCCTGCCTATGTTTTAAGTTAATTTATGCGTCAATAAACGAAGAAGAAGGGGAAACTGGCATGTCGGATTTAGCGCAGCTGTTTAATTCAGAAACAGAGGATGAGGACTTTGAGGGGTTTGATTAACACTTTGTAATAAATACTTGAATAAAGCACAATCATACTCAGTTTTGCTCCCGCTCTATTTTTCTACCTGAAAACTTAATTCAACAGCAGGCTCTGGTCCGCGGCGCATCTGGACTCACCTCCGCAGGTGTTTTTTCATCTAAATAATCTAAATCTTTTTAAGTGAGAAAGTCCACCTGAAAATTTAATCATTGCAGTCAGCTCATCCAGATTATTATCCTGCCTATGTTTTAAGTTAATTTATGCGTCAATAAACGAAGAAGAAGGGGAAACTGGCATGTCGGATTTAGCGCAGCTGTTTAATTCAGAAACAGAGGATGAGGACTTTGAGGGGTTTGATTAACACTTTGTAATAAATACTTGAATAAAGCACAATCATACTCAGTTTTGCTCCCGCTCTATTTCTCTACCTGAAAACTTAATTCAATAGCAGGCTCTGGGCCGCGCATCCGGACTCACCTCCGCAGGTGTTTTTTCATCTAAATAATCTAAATCTTTTTAAGTGAGAAAGTCCACCTGAAAATTTAATCATTGCAGTCAGTTCATCCAGATTATTATCCTGCCTATGTTTTAAGTTAATTTATGCGTCAATAAATTGTATCAGAGGAGTAATCACAGCCCTGTGTCATCAGCGATGTGTCTCTCATGGCCAGCTCCCAGGTTTGAATAATACTTTGTAATAAATACACCTTGCAGCTTCATTTGCTGTGATCAGTGGGAATAAAGTAGTTTTAATATGTTTTTAAGTGGGAAAATCCACCTGAGAGGACATGTACCTGTATATAAAAAACGCGCCCTATAGTCCGGTGCGCCTTATGTGTGTGTTAAATACAGAAATGGGACACATAACTGAGAGTGCGCCTTTTAGTCCGGTGCGCCTTATGGTCGTGAAAATACGGTATTAACATTTTTTTCAAAACTCTGACTATACTCCAATGTGTTTTTGTCTGTGTGAATTAAAGGTTTTGACAGTTAACTAAAATATTCATAAGGTAAAAAGCAAAAGAAAATGTAAAGCATTTTTTCTTTACCATTTTCTGATTTTATCTCAGGTTTCTGCAAATCCTTCTTCAACACTGCAACTCGGTGTTTGAAGTACAGATACTCCAAGCTGCTTTTATTAAATAAGAATCTGTGAGGCATAAAAAAAAACATTAATTTGATCATTATTCACACAGTTTATAACAAAAGAAACTTCCAGATGGCTTAAAACCTACGTGAACATAGGGTTATCTTTATAGTCCTCCATTGCCCTCTTCTCCAGATCAGGTCCTCCTTCTGCCACGAAAGAGGCCATCTTGTCGACAATGAGTCTGGTATCTGAATCCTCTGGGGGTGAGACTTTAAGGAGGCAATGAGTAAATTTCCTCAAATGGCACATTTGACAAAAATGCCTAACAGAAGACAAATGTTCCTCTGATATATGTTAAGGAACCAAAGAATTGTCCTATGGTCACATGTAGACTCAAAACATGCAGGCCTTGAATTACCTTTCATCTCTAAGAACTTGGAGTAATCAGTCTCCTCTTCCTCCTCTTCATCATCAGGTGAGGAAAACACACTGGGCCTTTGGCTGAGAACAGGGTTCTTCTTGGGCTGGGAGTAGCTCTTGAACTGACTAAGCATTTTGCTAACTTTAATCCCAGGCCGCTGACCAACCAAAACACTCTTTTTCTGCAAACTGTTTCCTGATGCAGATGAAGTTGAACTTAAAGAAGGTTTAGCATCACTGGTGGAATCTAGAAAGCGTAAAAAAAAAAAGGGTGGTATTTATCACATACTATACTTATTCTATATCAAAATAAGTAAACAAAACAGTTTAGGACCTACTATTCTGATAAAACAATTACATCATATTCCAATGCCTTCCAATAAGTCCCAGTGACTCTAAACGAAAGTGAAACTGTTCATCAAAACATTAACAAATACTGACCTGACACATTATTAGCTTTCTCCTTCTGCATCTTCATGAACTGCTGTAAAAAGCTTCCATCATTTGCAAATTTATTTGAGGAAGGTCCCTGTGGAATGGGCAAACTGGTGGGACAAGTAAAAAAAACAACCTTAAAAATGTATCAATAAAACACAATTAATATTTGTAACACAAAGAGAAGCGGAATATGAATATATATCCCAGTTCAGGAGAGGTCTGATTACCTTGGAGGAAGGGACTTGCTTGCTATCTGAGCATTCAGCTTTGCTTGCTCTGCCATTCTTTCTTCAATCTCCTTTTTCTTCTGAGCTATGAGTTTCTCTTGGCGAAGAATATTAAGGTTCATCTTGTTCTTTTGCTGCTGAGCTGGTCTTGAATTCCAGCCTCCTCGTCCTATGAAATTACATAAATACACACATATACTGGAGCTGATGACACTTCCGGATCAAGAGTAAGTCCGTAAATTGCTATAATTTACTTGCTGATGAAGGTTCTCAGTCATCCAGGTCATAGTCATTCCGTAAAAATTCAAAAAATATCCACTGGACTTGGTTTTCAAGATTTGAAGACGTTTCGCCACCTCTCCAGGAAGCTTTCTCAATTCAAATGTCTGGATCCGCAGTGAGTTTGAGTCTTATATAGACAACGCCTTGTATTGCTTGGAAACATGCAATGGTAACCGATGAATGGGTCGTTAGTTCCATCGTTAGCCTGTAATATCTGAACCTGCCTATGATGGAACTAACGACCCATTCATCGGTTACCATTGCATGTTTCCAAGCGATACAAGGCGTTGTCTATATAAGACTCAAACTCACTGCGGATCCAGACATTTGAATTGAGAAAGCTTCCTGGAGAGGTGGCGAAACGTCTTCAAATCTTGAAAACCAAGTCCAGTGGATATTTTTTGAATTTTTACGAAAATATAATTTACTTATTCATTTATTAATGATAATAGGATTGAGGAGACTAACATGGAGCAAAATAAGGATAAGGCACAACCGATATGACACATTCTAACCCAACATTTTTAAAAATATAATAATGCACAATTATCAATTTATTTGATCTAATTCTGTGTCTAATTAGGTGCAATTTTTATTGCTCAAGACTTTTTCATAGGCAAACCCTTACTGCACATTATCCTGGTGAAAAAACAAACGGTTTTTCTTCCAAAATATTGGGCGTGATTAAAATGTTGTTCTTCAGATATGCTTTAATTTGATCTGACTTATAAAGAGATGAATTTTTCAACAAAAGTCAGAAAAATGTAAGCCTCCAGAAAATCATTACTGATTACTGATACACTAAAAAAGACTTAATAGTCGTAACATGAACAAATGTTGCTCTGTAAAGCACTGACTAGATGATGGAAACTAAATGCTAATCGCACTTTTCGAGTGTTTATAAATTAAAAACCCGGATCTACCAATACTTCTTCTAATGCATACATTTAAAAAACGTTAATCTTCCTTTGAATTATATCATAGTAACCAGCAATCTACCTGCTTATATCAATGTAATTAACTAGGACTATATAAAATTAACCTGTTCTCTACGGATATATATTTAGAGCTAGTAAATATATAAAGCATAATATCTACTGATAAGTTGCGTAGGAACCAACGGTAAACTGTAGCAAGGATTATTTCCTTACCCATATACATTACGATGGAACTATAGTTCCTTTGTTTAAAACGGTTGATACACTTAAGTACTGTAATTCATTAGCTTGTTAATTTAAGCTAACCAGTTAGCTAATGATTTGAGCAAACCAAATGTTTAGTTACGAGATAACCTACGTCATGGCGAAACTAACCTATTTGTTTGGGCAGCAAGAGCTAGTATAAATATATTTTTACTGAAATAAATATTACCTCCATCGCCAGACTCCATGGTCCAGTCAAGAAGATAAATATACAAAGAAAATAAGCGACACACAGAAAAGGAGGCCTCCAGCTAGAGCTGCAGTAGCTCGGTGAGTAACGCAACGTCAATAACAACCAAACTTCCGGTTTAAGCTTTTCAGATTAAAAGCAAAGCCCAGAACGAATATACTACTTATATGAGACTAGATGATTTTGGTTATTATCATAACTAATGTATAATGTATAAATAATAAGGCTAAACTAATGGTAGGTCCAAAAACATACCATTAGTTGTGTCCATATTGGATATAAAATTATTCTTTACAGTAGGGAGGATTTTGTTTTTGAAAAAAAAAAAAAAAGTATATATGAAAGGAGAATTGAAAAGTATAAAATGTGTGTGTGTGTTTTACTAGACTAGATGATTTTGGTTATTATCGTATAAAAAACAAGGCTAAGCGAATGGTAGGTTCATATATATATATAACTCATGTAGCCGACAACCGATATCGATACTGATGTTAAAGCTGGACAAAAATAAGTAGTCATTGAAAATAGCAGTTTTGTTATCCATTTCTGACACTTTGAAAAATAATTTACTCAAATATATTTTCATATGCTGATATCAAATTGATTTTTAAAAAGGCGGTATCGATCTATTTTACTTTCAAAATCTCGTGAAATTTCATCGTTCTGTTACAAACTCTCGTGATATTTTGCAAATTCTTGTGAGATTTTGGTAGTAAAATAGATCGATACCGCGTCAATATATCAACATATAAAAATATGGCAAAATTTCGTGAATTTTCGGGGGATTTCGTAGCATAACGATGACATATACTGTAGCAATATTTCATTAGTAAAAGAGATTGATATGGTAAATGGCAATATATCAGCATATGAAGATATTGTGATATTTTAATGTATCAATATTAGAAGTAGTATTTTTTATTTTTTTTAGACTTTAGAAACTCAGAAGCTGGTCAAATATTGGGTTAAATATCGGTGGGGTGGCCGATGTCCGATATTCAGTTTTAAGGCCGATACAGGCCGATACCGATAGGAGGCCGATTATATCGTGCATCCCTAATATATATATATATATATATATATATATATATATATATATATATATATATATATATATATATATATATATATATATATATATATATATATATATATATATATATATATCTTTCTTTCTTTCTTTCTTTCTTTCTTTCTTTCTTTCTTTCTTTCTTTCTTTCTTTCTTTCTTTCTTTCTTTCTTTCTTTCTTTCTTTCTGACCCGGAAGTTCTTTTGTTTATTTCTGGTTAGCTTTACACACTTTACTCTTTGGCGCTGATTCCTTTTCCTGCCACTAAAGCAAAAGTCAAGTTCTAATGTCCCTCGCTGCTACCCGTCCGTACAATAACGTTCAGTACTAGAAATGGCCGAAGCCCCTCCACGGTCCAGCCGGTTTTTTTGTCACCGGTGTTCAGCAGAGATCTCTCCCCGTTTACCGGTAAGAAATACTGACACATTTATAGCCTGTGCTGAGGGCTGGGAACCATAATTGAGCTGCTGTGACCATAGATATGGGTCTCATAGAGCCTCGTTGAGTCGCTGCTGCGGTTAAAACCCCCTATCGGCTCAGCTAACCCTTCAGGGCAGCAGCAGAGTGCCAGTCAGTGTCAGTAACAAACTTTAGGGATGGACTCCAGCTACAACTGAGTACACTTTGTGTGTATTTTTTTTAAATCAGTAAAGTCGAACAAAGAAGAAGCTAAATAAAGAAGGTTACTACCTGACAGGTTTAATAATAGTGTAACACCGGCTAGCTAACTGACATATATGATCCATTTGTTTTGATTTGCATGTCCCTGTTTATACTTCTATATTCATCTATCTATATTATATCTATAGATATAATATAGATAGATAGAATATATATGCGTATAGACATAGATAGATATGTAATGTATGTTTGCATGTTCTAGTAGTCTGTAAAAGCTGTTTGTTGTGAAGCTTTTCATGAGAAGCTTCTTGAATGTTACAGTGGCCTTTACCTTCTACTCAGTCTACTGTTCTGTTCTTTGTCAGGCTGAACATTAAATGGCTCAGTTATGCTTAGAACATACAGTGCTTTACTAAATGATATATATCCCTTGCAATGTGTTGTTTTCGCCTGCTTTCTTGTTTTAAATTTCTACATTACAATAGAAATCTTGAATGTATTTTAATGAAATTTCGTGTGATGGAGAATGACACATATACTCTTTTTTTTCTTATAAGGTTAGTTTTTTTGTTGTTTTTGCTCTTACTTTTGCAAAGTAAAAGTATTAACAGTTTATGGGTCTTCACCACTCATTAGCTGAAATGGGATTAGCTAAAGGAATCCTAAAGTCACCAGAAATAATTCATCTTTGTGTAATGTGTTCCTTCTATTAGTATAGCTGCTCTGTGAAAGCCTTCAAAGATTCTTTTAGAGAATGTTGATGACAAAGCAGTGTAATGAAGGCCAAGTGGTTTAGTTTAAACTAGTGTTAAGTCATAATAACAACTAGAAACACAAACTATAAACATCAGCTGTAGCACTGTTCAGTCTCTTAATCTAAAAAAGGAATTAATAGCATGACACAACTACAGAAATTTTAAGAGTCTTCTTTGTAAAAATGACTGACTGGGTGGGGGGGCAGTGTTGGTAAGAGAACAAGTGCTCTCAACAGATCTTAATTTTATGGAAGAGCAGTGGTGTCAAAAGTACACACATTTGTTACTTAAGTAGAAGTATAGACACTGCAGTTTAAAAACACTCTGGTAAAAGTTGAATAATCAACTTGACTTCTTTACTCAAGTCAAAGTGAAAAAAGTATTTCAGACATTTCAACATCTTTTTCTGAATCCGATATTGTAGCATGGCATAGACTATTTGCGTTTGCAGTTTGAAGAACACCTGCTTGCTTCTGATGATTTACTTTAGCTAACCAATGAGTGTTTGCGTTATATGACTTATCCAATGACACTAGTTTTCACTAGATGTGAATGGCACCAATGATCTGCATTGGATGGAGCACATGATGTGAAATAAATATTTATAAACATTAAAACAAAGCCAAGAGTAACGAGTAACATTTGTTTTAAAAATGTAAGGAATAGAAAGTACAGATACTTGTGTGAAAATGTCCAATCCAAAACACTACATTTGCGGTTTTCAACATCTGTAAGCTTAAATCATCAAAATTACAAGAAGTAAAGGCTGGGAATGTATCACGCTATGATTCAATATAATATAATAAAATAAAAATTTTGCACTTTTAAGCAGAGTTTTTTTAGATGTACCTCTCAGTTTTAAACGGGAACGTTTGCATATAGTGACATACATTTTCACATGAATGTTTTCTGTTGTTAAAAGAATCTTATTTTAGTGCAGATTTTTCTGGAGCAAGCCCATGTCAGTGGTGTATAGAAAATCACTGCTTAGAAAGCTTAACTGCATGCAGAATCCCTGACTCAGTCATCAGACCTGCATCGATATCTGTAATAAACAGCCTGGTCAAAGTGGAGCGGATTAAAGTATTGATTAAAGCACTGCTTTGAATTTACCTTGTTCACAGCAAGAGGTGACTGTTTTGTTTTTAAACTACGGATTAAACTCTCTGTTGAACTTAATGTTAGTGATGCCAGGATAAAACTTATTTTTTATTGTAAGAGTTATAAGTGGAAGTGGATACAGAGATCACACAAGTCAGATATTTATTAAGTTGGATAAATTAAAACTTAAAAAAATTCTACCAAAAAAATTTCAAAACAGATCTAAAAGAGAAAATAAGTATAACTTAAACGGAATAGATAGTTTCAAAAAATCGAGGTACAGATCAGTGATGATGAAAGATGTATTACTATTAGAGGTGTCGATATGTGGAACAGGCTTATTAGTGGAGTTAAAGCAAGCTGAAACTTCATCTATGTTTAATAAAGACTGGAAGGTAATTTTGATAAGTCGATATCACAGTGTGTTTTTATTTTGTTGTTGTTGCTGTTTCCTGTGTATTGGTGCGTTTTCTTGTTGCTGTTTTTTTTTTTATTATTATTATTTTTGTATGATTATGTTAGTTGAATAAGTACTACTTTATTGAAAATAGGGTCAGATATTATAAATTCTTTACTTCTTTCTGCTCCTTTTCTTTAATTCATGACTTCAGGTGTCACCTGAACTGGTTTTATAATGTTGTTTTCCTTTAATAATTGAATTAATAAAATAAAATAATAAAAAAAAATCTTTATAAACCTACTTTACTATGTTGCCTTGTTTTCAATAATTTTTCTGCCAAAGTAGGCAGGGTAAAGAGGTATGACAACTTATTTTTATAGAAACTGTATTTGGATTAGGTTTTACATGTTGTTTGATTATATTTTAATGTTCTTTCATATAAAAAAAAAAAAGGCGTTACTTCCAAGACATTGTTGTCCCTTAAACTTACATCCACTCTACTGGTGGTTAGTTATACCTGTTAATTACCGGTGTGACTAACTCTTCTCCTGTCTTTTGATTAGGGCCTGTTAGACTGATCTAATGCACAATGTTTCTTTTCATTTTTGTTATTGTGAGATAGGTGTAAGAGCTGGAAAATTGGTGATAAAAAAACATTCCTAGCTTGTGCAAACATGCTTGGCAATAATTCTGATCTCTGATTCTGATTTTAAGGACTACACATGCCCACGCTGTGAGTCTGGGTTTATTGAAGAACTTACGGAGGAAACAAGGCAAGTGTTTTTATTTATTTGATAGATTTTTATTTATTTATTTATTCTCTAAATTCCTGAGTCTTAGTATTTTTGTGTGTGTGTTGTTTTTTTCTAGCAGCTCAGAAAATGGGTCTGCATCCACATCCTCTGCCAATGATCAGAACCGCTCCAGCTTTGAGGTCAGTGCATCACAGTAAAGCCATTACAAGGAGAACAAGTCGTTGCACACTGGTTTGACCCTTTTTGTTAATTATAGAACATGGATCATCATCATTTGTTCACATTTCCCTCGGGATACGGCCCATTCGCCCTGGGGATTTTCGACGAAAACTTTGACCTTCGATCGAGATTATCCACAGAGGACAACCGTGAGGTAGAGAACAGACGAGAAAGGGAAATGGCTTCGCGCCAGCGATACAGTGCCAGGCAGCCACGGGGTCGACATGTTCCTCGCAGACAGGGGTCGCGGCACGAAGGAGTGCCCACATTGGAGGGGTGAGACTTCTCCTTGAGCAGCATCTATTGTAGAGTGTGTGGGGGGAGGGGAGCATATTTATATTTTGAGCATAACATGTAGTGTTTTATGATGTTTTACCTCTATACAGAACCCTGAAAATATAGCCACCCTATAGTTGACTTTCTTTTCAATTTCATACGAAACAGGACCGATTATATCCAGCCATTTGTAGTCAAAAGCCGAACTTGGTGATCTTAAACCTAATTTATCAAACTTGGCTAAATGTTGAAAAGGTTTAACATAGAAAGAGGGAGCCAACTGCTGCGGATAGATGGGAAAATAAAGATTTCACCACTCTTACCTCAAGTATTTAAAAATTGTATGAAAAAACCCTTTTTTATGCGTTGGCTCAACAGCAAAATTGACACCTTGGTTTGTTTCACTGAGAGATATGTGATTTATTTTTGTGTGGGTTAAAAAACGGGGGCAGTTTAACTAAAGAAATCTCTATCATACTTTGAACATCATAATTTTTGTTCATGTGGCGAAATGTTTGGACAGCATCTCTGTAGTCATTTCACAATTTTCCTCTTATAGAAAGAAATCCAACCATTTTATGTGTAAAAATAACAGCTTAGATCGAACCTCAACTATAAAAATGCTTAATTCTTGACCAGAGTCGTTTTCTATCACTTACATTATCTTGAAATAGTATTCAAATATTTTGAGTGTTTCCATATTTTTGCAACAAAAAGCTTCATTGTATTTTGGGAATTTATGTGATAGAACCACACAATGTAAAGAAAATAAAGCCTGGTTTATATTGTTTTATGAACATGAAGGCAAATAGTTGCATTGGATTTTAATTAGGGGTAAAGTTATGGAGAGATGTTTCATTCATTATGAAATAAATACATGAATGGATAAATAAATAATTTCTGCTATTTATAAGTTATTAATAAATATTATATGAAATAAATCTCACCATAAAGTAAAGCTAAATATTTTCATAAATATTTATCTTATTTATATTATATTTATGAATCATTCTCTTATAAAGTAACATGCCTTTTGGAACACTCTTCCAAACTAAATTATTTCATGCACAAACTATAGTATATATACACACCTGACCAAACAGTGGTTATTATCAAACCAAACATGTAGGCATGGAATGACTGTAATATGAGTGCTGTAACTGTAAGTGAGTAAAAGTGGAAAGTGCTTTTATGATGTGAATGACGTGATGCTTACATGTATTATACTATATATTATTTATGAATTTTTCTAAGTATAACATCAAACTGTCCAAGGACTGTTGGTGGAAATTAGCATTTTGCTATAATCTGGCACATGACATCTCTTCTTTCTAAGACTAATGGTTTTTTTTTGTGTATGGTCCCTGATCAAATAAAGAAATTAATTAAAATTAAAAATATATTATTTCAAAAATTATTTATTTACTTCCAGATTTATGTATTTATTTATCTTTATTTATTTATGTATTTATTTAGGCATTTTATAATGGGGTTTTATTTGGACACGTTTATTTTGTAAAGCAACTTTTCATATTACAGTGACTTTATTTTCTAACCATTTTTCATTTTCAGCTTTTTTATTTTATTTTATCTTCTTATTAAAAAAATAGGAGCAGGAAATATAATGGATGGATGGAAAGCTAGATAGATCTGGAAGTAAATGAATACATATTGAAATAAATTCAATTAAAAGAAGATATTTGTAAAAAATATATCAATGGCAGCATTTATTTTTGTATTTGTTTATTCATTAAATTTTTGATAAAACTGCTCTGCATATAAGTGTAAATGCACACCTATATTTTAAAAATTTTGAATTGTAAAATGTTTGAAACATCATTCATTGCCTTCCCTTCACTTCACAATTATGCGTTTAATTTTCTGCTGGTCAATCTCTTAAAATCCCCCTAAACAAATAAGAATTTTGTGTTTGTAACAACCATTTTTTATTCTTATTAATAAGAAGAAAATTAGTGTGTAGATTAAACAGACTTTCATTATAGCTTCACTTAGATGAAGTGTAGCTATAAGGAACATCCAGACTGCACTACATAATTATACATCAGATGTTTTTTAGTTGTCAGCAGGATGTTATAAATAAAGCCCCCCTGAATCAACATGCTAATTTGATAAAGATTTAGATAATAAATGAACTTTTTGCCATTTTTCTTTTGAGCAGAATCATCCAGCAGCTAGTTAATGGAATCATAGCACCTACAGCCATGCCAAATCTCGGGATGGGACCTTGGTAAGTTCACCAACTTGATAAACATGCTTGTGAAATTGACAGAATAAATCATTGTAATGTTTAAGCTCTTGTTCCTTTTCTTGCTTGACTGTAATGTTTTGCAGGGGTATGCTACATTCAAATCCAATGGACTATGCCTGGGGAGCTAATGGACTGGATGCTATCATTACACAGGTTTAAAAATCCTTTGACTGCAGCTGTATTATTTTCAGTTTAGAGGTTTAAATATTCAGTAAACAATTCAACAGGTTATTATGCTACAGATTGAATAGCTGACTCCTGAAAACAGTTAAAGTGAAGTGCGTTATTTGTTTTTAGGGTTGGTTTCCAGGTATTAAAAGAAACAAAACTTTCATACAAATTTTCCATTCATTCATTAACTGTAATGCGTCCTTTTTTTCTGCTTTAAAGTTATTGAACCAGTTTGAAAACACTGGTCCGCCGCCAGCTGACAGAGAAAGAATAAAGAGTTTACCAACCATTTCCATTACACAAGAACACGTCAGTAAGTTGTTTTCACATATTATCTGTATTGTTTTAAGCAATAAAAACAGGTTTTGTAATTCCTTTTTTATTTTTCCTAAACAAAGCTTAAAGCAGATAATTAGTGGGACAGCTGCTTCTCTTTGCTGCGTCTTTCCAAACATACACAGACATATGCTTTGTCCCATTGTATCTGTCCAGGTGCTGGTTTAGAGTGTCCTGTCTGCAAAGAAGACTACAGTGTTGATGAGAATGTTAGGCAACTACCATGCAATCATTTGTTTCACAATGATTGTATAGTACCATGGCTGGAGCAGGTATGGATATTTCAGGGGCTGTCCTTAACCTAATGTCCACTCTAACTGTTGCAGGTTTTAGTTACCCCAAGCAGAGTGGCTGCAGCGATGAGTCTTAGTGTAATGTTGTACCAAATTCATCTTTAATTTGTATGTACCTAGAAAATATTAATGATATGTCTGGCTTTGATCCTCACTGTGCATCTGTTCTTGAATTGCGCTCGTAAGTGAGGCACTTTGCTAATGGAAAAAGACATTTTACATTAATTTTTAGAGACTTAGACTTAGACAAACATGCAGGCTTTTCAGCAGTGAAATGAACGTTACCATTTATAAAGTGCAGCAATTATCAAAAATGTAGCCAGTGTAGTAGAAAAGGAAAACCAGTTTAAAGTCATGGTGCAAAAGGCATTGATTTTAAAAGGTTCAGTTCAGTGGAAAAATAAATAAATATAGGGCAAAAGGCATTAGAAGGGATAATGAAAAAAATCAGTAATACAAATCAGTAGTAGCTAATAAAAATCAGTAGTAAGGATTGTGAAAAAACAAAGCCGTGTTGGTAGTGCAAATATGTTTACAAGTGTGACACGGAGTCTGAAAAGCAATTCCAAAAATGATTTGTCTGGAGCTTCAAATGAGATCATGTGCCTCCTGTGCTTACATAAAAAAATGACTCCATAGCAGCTCATATGATGCAGAAATTACTTACTGGTAGTTTAGGGAGGCAATGTAATTATTATAAAATGAGGTATAGGTGGAAAAAACCAGCTTTGTAATGGTTCAAAGTAGGGCTGCAACTAACAATTATTTTGCAAATCAATTAATCTGTAGATGATTTTTTCGAATAATCAATTAATAATCAGATAGCCAAAGGTTGTTTAAAGATTTTTTACAGAATTAAATTAGGTAAATCTAGAACTTTTCCATTTGAGGAGTTTTGGATAGAGCATATTGACAGGAGAAAATGTTTTTTTTTTTTTATCATAAATGCAAAATGTTTACATATTTCTTTTACAATTTTGGTATAATTGCTGCTCAATGTGGGTTGCTCTGTCAGCTAAAACCAGGTATTAAAGTCTTTACACTCCAGTTAAAGATTAATCGATTAATCAATTCATCATGATTAATCTGATTAATTGTTTCAACCAACAACAACTGAGCCATTTAAAATTAACCAATGAGTTACAGAAACTTTTAACAGAAGCAGAATGTTTCTTTCAGCATGAAAATATCAGAGATTTTAGATGCCGGTCGATAAAATCCGATATTATTCTTCTGGTTAATCTCATAGCGAGTTATTAATATTAGATTGGGACATCCCTATGTAAGAGTAGTAGATCTGGGTTTCAAAACAGGTCTGTTTGATTTCATTATTTGTTTTGGTGATGTAGGAATTTCCTCACCCCAGTACCAATCTTTACTATTTTGAGGCATTTCCTGATAACCAGTCATACTTTTTACTAAAGCTAATGCTTTGCATGTGATATACAGCTGATTGGCTTTATAGTGTGGTGAAATAAAACCCAGTTTTTCATGTGTATTGTGATTCCAAAGCAGTGAGATCACCAACCAGGGTCATTCAGGACACTGCAGCCTCCAAATATTTTTCTTGAACAGAGATCATTAAACCCAACCAGAGTTCCTGCCGATCAGCGTCATAGTGCTTAAGAAACTCAAGGTCAGCTTAGTGAAGAAGGCTATTGTTCTTCCAATGTCTCAAATCTAATACATTTTAACTTGATACACACAGCTTTACTGTTGAATATATTTTCTTCCTCTGACCATGTCCTAATGCTAGACATAGCTCTTCTTGCTGACGTATATGGCTCAGACAGGCATGTTTACCCTCTGCTTTAATTTAACTGATTTATGATTTGGCCTGTAGCTTGTAGCCTCTTTGAAATCATAATTACTTTGTCCTTTTCACATTGATCAACAGAGATAAGCGGCCCTGTGGGCTTTTACAGCACGGGCGTGACACAGCTTGCAGCTGTAACCTAAAAAAATATTTAAAAACTGATCTTTTTGTGGTAATCCCCATTTTGCCTTTTAGAGACACTCAGTTTTTTTAACATGTTAACACGTTTTTAACAAGTTCTTGATTAAAAACTTCAATACATTTATCTATCATTAGCTATTCAATCGAATCCTCCACTATCTAAAATGACCCACCCCTTTTTTATTTTTAATATAAAAAACTAGTTGAGATTCCCCCTTTATTTTTAGATTGATTGTAAAAGCTCGCTGCAATGATTACTAGTATATCTGTAGAAATAAGAAATCCCTATGGTATAACCTCTGTGATAACCTGAAGTCGACTTAAAACAAGACATGCGCTGTTTTTCTAAGATTCTCAAGATGAGAAAAAAATGGAAGATTATCCTGAACAAAACATCACACCTCCAGGGTGGTGAACCTTCTTGTGGAGGATTCAGCTACAAAATGATTTTAAGAACATAATGAAAGCTGATTTTTGAGGTCTCAATATGGAAGCACTGCAGGAGTAAGATCAATATTCATGATTTAACCATAAGAAAGAGAGTGGACAAAAGGTGGTCTCTATGGGAAATGACCAAATCAACCATTATTTACAGAACCTTTTAGAAAAAGGACATTATCCTGACATGGTGGGAGTGTGATGGTTTGGTGTTGGTTCTTATAAGTTATAGAATAAGTCCTTTCTCTTGCTATTAGAAAATCATGCTTCTGAAAGTCGGGTCAAGGACTTTTCACCTTAGACTGCAGCAAACATTTGTTATGGAGCAAAACAATAATCCAAAGGACACTAGCGAGGACACCTCTTTTATAATTGGGAGGCTATTAAATAATTGTTTAAAACCTCTTAACCTCTTTAAAACTCTTGAAGAAATACTTAATTCTTATGACCCGTTAGATAGTCTGATTGTGGAGAAGCTCATTGACAAAAGTCTGACATTAAGGAGCTTCTTCTTAGTGAGAAGGTATCACGGAAAAGGTGTCTGAGATTAAACAAGGTCCTCTTCTCCACTATTGACCTTATAGAATCCAGGCTCAGTCCAGCCACAGATCAGGCTGTCAGCTTTTTTTCCTGGCACTAATCACCTGAAAAACCCAGCATAGAACAAAAAATACCTTTTGTTCCTAAAACCCTCCAATGTGGCTGAATTGAAACAATTCCGCAACGAAAAAGTCGACCAAAATGGGGAGATTGTTTGCAGAATAAGAGTACAGTACTTGATCCCGGTTGATGTTGTATTATAAGCACAACCAGATTTTAGGCTCAAGGGGTAATTCGTTTTTCTACATTGAGCCAGACTGTTTTAGATAAATTAAAGTTAAGGTTGTTGCCCCATTTGGTGTCACTGATCAATGAGTATTGGGTCCTGAATGCCCTTCTAAAATGATCATGGTGAATCTTCTGTGTGTATAAGACATAAAAACATAACCCAGAAGTAGACAAAACTAAATACAACAGTTATTGATGCTGTTTATGCTACTATTATACCAGAGGTCAAAATATGTTTTAGAAATATTTATATTTCTACTAGTAGTTTGGGTCAGTCTTGCAACAAGAAGGTTTTGGGTTTGATTCCTGGCCTGTGGTCTGCATGGAGATTGCATGTTCTCCCTGAGCATGCGTGGGTTCTCTCCTGGTACTCCGCCTTCCTCCAACAGTCCAAAAGCATGACTGATGGTTAATTGGCTTCTCTAAATTGTCCTTAGGTGTGAGTGTGTGCATGGTTGTATGTCTTTGTCTGTCTCTGTGTTGCCCTGCCACAGACTGGTGACCTGTCCAGGGTGTACCCCGCCTCTCGCCTATAGGCACCGGCCCCTACACAACCCTGACAAGGAATAAGCGAGGGAGGATAGTTAGTTAGTTAGTTAGTTAGTTTGGGTCATAACTCCAGTCTACCACTATAATGTGGGTCAGAAGTCAAACAAGTTTGGGAACCTCTGGTTTAGATGGCTCTTTTCCCTTAATGAATTCAATCCTGATTTGGAACCTTTTATATTTACTCTTGTAACCTTTGTCTCACATGAACATTTGTTCAAGAATCTAAAACGTTTAACTGTAACCAAAGAACTGAAAGAAAAATCTGTTAAAATGAGGAAATAACCTTTTCACAGTGTTGTAAGTAGTTGTCAATCTAAATTTGTTGATGGCGATTCCTTAAATAACACCACTTATCCTCCTTTCTGGCAGCACGACACGTGTCCCGTGTGCAGGAAGAGCCTTAGTGGACAGAACACAGCCACAGACCCACCGGTGTTATCAGGAATCAACTTCTCTCCACCTTCATCCTCCTCCTCTTCCTCACCAAGCTCACCTAGCAACGAAAATGCAACCAACAACTCCTAGGTCCCCCCCCCCATACTTCTTCACATCTGAGCACCGCAGCCCGCTGAGAACCATCAGCTCCTTTCTGCAGCTGAGACCATTACAGGTTTATGTCTCAATTCTTGGGGACAAAAACTCTCATTTCTTTGTCTTCATTCCTCCCCTCTGCCGAAAGGATGCTGGGTCCAACCGCTGCTGCTATTGTTACCTAGTGTACGAGGAGTGAACAACAAATGTGAAAAAATATATTCAAGGACGAGAGAAGAAGCAGTATAGAACCGGAGTGGACTGCATTTTGCTGGAAAAACATCCTCGTTATAAGGTGTGGACACATTTTAGATTAAAAAAGAAGAAGAACCCAAAATGCTTTATAAAAAAATGCCTGTGGTGGTTGACTATATGTTTATATTGGAAATTCTTTAAAAGAAATGTCAGCTACTTTCACCTGATTGATCATGCATAAAACCTCTTGGGGAGGGTGGCTGGTTGTGTGACAGATTTTAATTTATTTGCCTTTTTTTTTGCACAAGGTTTGATCTGAGGGTGAGAAAGTGAATTTGGATAAACTACTGTACAAAATCAAGCCTTTTTTTTCTGTTATATTTCAGGATGTTTTCCCCATTTTTCTTTTATCCATTTAATAAGAGCTCACTTGTGTATTTGCTGTATTTTGATCTTGGTAGGGATGGTTTCAGCTTAAAGGTGAACACAGTTTTTATTTTTTTAGTGAAAAAAAAACATACAGCCGTGTGTGTTCACTGAAAACCAACTTAAACAATGTAAGTTATTGAAGAAAAAGGGAAATGAAATGGCATGGGATCATTTTACCTCTATGGAACTGGCCAAATGAGTTTCACAAAATGAGTGTTATTTTATTTGCTGAATTTTTGTACAGTCACAATAAAGTCCTTAAAACAACAGATTCCAGATTTTCTATTAGTGATGTCTGCAGAGTGACCAGAGAGATTACTAAATGTCACATCATCACTTAGAGAGGATTATTAAACTAGTTTCAATTTTCTTTTATGTAGCAGGAACAATCTGATCTTGGTTATTTTATTTGTGGAGTTGGTTAAGTAGTCATGAGCACAGATTAAACTGAGTTTTCTGAGTCACTGCAACAAATTTTTTGTTTAAAAATAATCTTGCTGGCTTCTATCTGGTTATACACAAAGTCAGATGAATAAAGTACCTCCAAAGGCAGAGAAGATGATTCCCAAGGTCAATGCGATTTTCCTGGATGTGGAACTATCAATTCAGGGTTTGTGACTCCCAAACACTTCATTTGATCATCATTGCATTTTCCAGCTTTGCTTCTTTCTCTGGTAAAAATCCAGGTATATTTCTACTCAGAACTTTTACAAGCAATTATTAAGACATTACCTTGGGTATTTGATGATTTATTGGAATCATTCTTTCTACCCTGAGGTAATAGTCTGCAAAATGAGTACCTATTAAAACATAATAGCAAGTATTGAGTCAAATTTGGTATGAATTGTCTTTAATCCAATTAGGAGTAGCAGCTCAATCAAATATTTAGCTGATGTTGGTAGATGTTGTACAGCTCTTATGAGCATTTAACTTGTTTTTATATAAATTGGTTGTTCTGCAGGCATAGAGTTGGCTTTTAATTTGCAGTATATCACTTCAATGCAGTTGATGTTAGGACTTTTCTAGAAGATTAATATTAGCCTCTTTGTAAATAAAATCAGTAGACCAGCCTTGTTTTCTTAAATGTATTTTTCTTAAGGTTTGTTACTTAATAAATATCATGAACAAAACAAAAGGGTGATCTTATATATATTTTTTTGGCATGATTGTTAATTCAAAATCAACCAAGGAAATCAAACGTAAAGCTGCTGCAATTTAACATCAGCAGCAGGAAATGCTGACCAAGAAAGAAGTGTGCTCTTAAGTTGGAAATGTTGAGCTTAATTAAAATATTTCAGCCATCACCAAACCAGATGCCTTGTCGAACAAAGTTTTCTGGTCAAAGTAAAGGAAGTGTTGAGTTATGTCACAAAAATAGGAGGTGTAACTGGATGAGATTGCCATACATGAGAACACTCATTCATCATGGACAGTAGTGGTAGTATCATGCAAAGAGTTAGTTTAACTGACTGTGGTATAATTCATTTCACAGATTTTGGAGAGTAATAAAAATGGAGGAGTAACATTCAACTTTACCTGAGCTGGATGTCTAAAACTTTGGTGTCCAAACATTACAGTGGTCCAAAAAGACCTTGGAGAAATGTTTTGTTTGGGAAAAGTTGTCAACCATTAAGTTTAAGAATGACCCTGACCTCAACCCTAGTTTAAAATCTAAAGCATATATATTTTAAATAAAAACCTAGGACACAAAGTGTTAAAACTTCCACTCGGAAATGACCCATGTTTTATTAGTGATAAAAAATAAGATTTGGTTTCTTACTTAAGTACATTTAACCTAATATTAGTAGGGCTGCATGTACATATTGGCATTCTGTGGTCTATGCAAATTCCCCCCAAAAAGTCACACTTGTGAAACCAAGTAGTTATGATTTAGTTTAAGACTCTTTAAAAAATAAATTGCTTTATTCTAATATATAAATAAGTATGTAAAAGCCTAACATGGTTTCCTGTACCTGTAGAACTGCACCTTTTCTCCCTCTTTTAAATTATATTAGCAGTATAATCCTTTTCTATAATAATAATCCTATTCTTACTGTTATTTGTTTATTTTCATAACCACATATTTAAGTGTTTTATGTTGAAATTCTGTGTAATATAACAACATGAAGTGTGGATGGAAAATTAAAGCTGATTCAATTTTTTACAAAAACCCTCATTAGAGAACTTTAGTGAACAAAGAGCATAATGAGGACTAGAGATGGAGAATCTGTTAAAAAATCACTTATTAGTCATTCACTTAACAAATCTGGGTTTGAGTTGTAAGACAAAAGCTAGAGAAGGTTTTTGGGCAGAGTGCACACACAACTAATATAGGAAACAGCAATCATGTGGAAGATTGTCTGATAAAAAGCGATCAAAAAGTATTGAGGAATAACTAATGCTGCATTTTAAACTCAACACATCATGCCCAAAATAAAACATGAGGAGTATTATTGTATTGGATACCTTTATTTACAGTGAAAGTCTTTTTGGAATGTATTCATTGCCAAACCTTGTTCAAAGTTTGACATTGAAGGAGGACCAATGCTTACATAATTTCAACCCAGTTCTACTGAGATCTAGGTGTTTTGCAGAGAAAGGAGGCAAACATAATTACTGTTTAGTAGTAGCGTACACAGACTTATTGAAGGTTGTCAGGGTTCGGTGACACCCTGACAACGGATCCGGTCTGGAGCACCGGATCAGAGGGATCGTGGACTTCCGTCGACAAGGTAAGGGCCATCAGTATCTCATTGATTGGAAGCGCTGTGGCCCCAAGGACTGGTCATGGGTTCCTGGGTCCTCTATCCCTGATCCGAACCTCTTGGACTCCTTTTGGGCCTCTTGCCCATCTACCATGACAGGCTGGCATGGCCCCGCACCTGCGGCCCATTGAGGCGTGTTAAACCTTTGTGGTACGCTTAGGCCTCTGTCCTGTTGACAGATATCTCTAACCTGATGTCTTGGAGTCCTGATTCTATCCCGTCTCCCTCAGTTCGTTGAGCTCTGGATTGTTTTGTTACCCACCTTTCTCCGTGCTCTGAAGACTGCTTTTGGCTTCTAAAAGGGCACTTTAGTTCCCAGTTTAGCTCCAGAGATGGGCACTTTGGTGCATGTTTTGGCTTCTGATAGGGCACTTTAGCAAATTTTTTGGCTCCCGAGAGAGCATTTTAGTACGTGGTTTGGCTCTCGAGGAGGCACTATAGCACATTTTGGTTCCCGAGAAGACTCTTTAGTGAGCGTCTTGGCTTCGTGGTTCTTTAGCGTGTGTTGTGTCTCCAGTGAAGGCACTTTAGCACACAATATTCAGCAATTGGGCAACAGCCTCCTCTGCCCCAACACCCACATGCACGTCACTGCTGTGAAGATGGGCAAAGCTGAGAGAGAGATAGTTTAAAAAAACCCAGCTGTAAAATAAGCTAAAGGTAGTTCTAAAATATACAAACGCATGCTGAACATTTCAGGTTTACATTTGAAATAAACATCCAAACTTAACAGCAGAAGAACTTACTTTTTCAAAATTTCTGAGTTCCATAATAAAAAATCTTATTTAATGTTGGCAGAATATATTAAGGAATGTTTTAGAAGGAAGCTCACTGCCACTGCTCTATCTGGATGAAAGTACATGATTCATTATGATCATATTAGATATTCAAGACTAAAGCTGAGAATTTAGCAGTGATTAACATGCAGTAAAAAATGACTCACTGGACCAAACTGTGAGGATTTTGATAATTAAATTACTAGTAATACCAAATGAAATTGTATAGCTGAGGGTTTTAAGTAAATCTGGTGTTGGTACACTCATTGATTGAAAAAGCTTTTGAAAATTGTTTTTATTACACAGCTCTAAAAGAGTAGTGGCACTAATAGAGACATAAAGTAGGGGTATTACTTCGTGAAGTTCAATTTTAAAACTGGGGGAAAGTCCTTGATAATACATAAATCTCTTTGCTTCTCCTTTGTTTCAAAGACATATATGGTACACCAATAAGGTCATCCCTTCATTCTCTTTATCTAGGCGAACATTCTTCACTATGATCAATGAACGATCCTTATAAGGATGCATCTCCAGCTGTGTACGGAAAAAAAAAAAAAAGAAAACTGTTTCTGGGCCAAAAACTCCACCTGTTTGCTTTATGGCATCATCAGTCTTTGGCCATTTCGTTTGGCCAGTTGCTGATAACTAAGAGTTGGTGTAGCTTTATGTAACTAGACAATGCAACAAATCAAACTGCAGCTGCATGGTTTTGACTAATTAAGCAAAGAGAAAGCAGGAGAAACAGGTGGTCAAGAAAGGAACAGCGATAAAGCTGTATCTTCCCAGCAGCAATGATTTTTTTTAAAAAGCAAGAGACTATTTAAAACATTAAGCTGAATATAGCGAAGAGCAAATGTCCTTACTGGCTTTGGCAATACTTTTTTCTTTTCTTTACGAGTGTCATATCTTGTCGTCAGATACCACAACAGTTTTTCTAACGTCTTGACAACCAAATATGGGTCCAAAATTAGGGTAGACCAAAATAAGATCAGAGAAAACAGGCTAAACCCTTTATGTCCTCTGTGATGAGAGACCACTCGATTATTCTGTCCCAGATGTGTAGAAACGATTACTGTGGTTCCTGCAGCTTGGGCTTTTGGTACAAACATCCTCAAAATAAGGGGGAGGAAATTCGGATCCTCATATTTGTTATACTGTTTAAAGCCAGCTTGGTAACTTTGTATAGTGTTTTAAGAAAAAATGCAACTACTAAAATACAAAAACTAAAATATAACCTCCCTGTAACTTGGTGAATCTGTTTTCAGATTTTCGGTAAAAATTTTTTTACTCCTATATGGTATAACTTGCATCTGGCATCTTGATTTGGTTTTATTCTGCTTTTATTGTTATTCGGTTTTATTGTTTAATTCATGTAAAACACTTTGAATCGTCATTGTACTGAATTGTGCTTTACAAATTAACTGGCCTTGCCTTACTAAAAACAAATGTTAGCTTCATGTTTTAGGGAACTACTCTGCCCTCTGATAGGTTTACATAAAACAGAAATACAGTTATAGTTGTAATGATATAGCTTTACTGTTTTTACTGTTTTCTCACATTATGCCTACCAGCTATAATTAATTTGCATTTTATTTGTTTTTATTTTTCTTTTTTCCTGTGAGTATACTTGTCATGTTTGCAGAGGTTAAAACGAACAGTTTCAGCTCATTGTTTCGGGATGGTAAGAGGCTGCAGGCAGGATAGAGGCAGAACATCTATCACAGAGCTGCTGCTGGAAGAATTGAGACAATTTCAGCAAATTAATGGGCCAGTTTGTACTGACTTTGACAAAAAGACCTGTAAATAAACAAATATTACATATCCAAATGCAGACTATTTTGGCAACTCGCATAACATCCCAACATCATTGTGAAAATATGTGAAGATTTTTATGATGCCTTACTCTATGTATACTTTCAGTATTTAAAGCTGTTGTCAGCAGCTTTACAAAAAGCAAAAACACTGGAGACATTTGTGGAAATAAAACATAAATATGCATCCATCGATGCTGAAAGACATTCTGTTGCATAGCAGATGATTCTCTTGTACTTTTTCAGCCCACTTTTATAACCCCATTGTTCAGTGGCAGCCTGTAATATAACAGACGGAAAAGATGGCCACAGGAAGCTGAAAAAGCTCTGCAGAGTTCTTTGAGAGTACAGAATGGAATGCACTCTGCCAAACACACTGAGATGATGTACATTTCATGACTTGGGGGATGACAGACTCTAAATTTCTGTGAGGATAACGCCACTGGAACAGTGAGATTCTTCCCCAATTGCAAAGGCTGGTCACCAGTGACCCGAAGGTAAGGTAAAAACAAAAGAGTGTTTAGGAAGTGTGACATAAAATAAATTATGAGGATGGTAAAACACTTTGGATGATGTATAGCAAGGAAGAAAACTGTAGTGTAATACCCAGAAGAACAATTGTTTAAATATGTGGTCAGGGAGAAAGAAGATTGCATACTTAAAGCAGAAGAAGGAAAAGCTTAATTAAAATCTGGGAGAGCTGGAGACATTCTGCAATAGGTCTAGTTGTCGCGATTTCTTTGGAGGTTTTTATGAGGACCCAAATGCAAACCAGCAAAGAGGGACTGCAGAGGGAGCGTATTTATGACTGACTGAACAAAGGTAGGATTAATGAGCTGATAGGGAGCAGGTGTGACTAGAGCTGACGAGGAAGCCAAGGGAAAAGAACACAAGGGGGCAACAGAGGACAGACAGAAAAACCTAAGCAACTTAAATGAATCCAGACACCAATAAAGCTAGAAAACAAAGAAAAACCTGGCTAAACTTGAAAATGAAAACTTAAAGAAAAACAACAGAACCAAGATAGTTACAATAGTACTGCGAAAAAGCTAGCATCATTCTGTCTTGCTTCCAGTGATTAAAATGCACCAAAGGCTGCAGGTCTGGATGATGCCAGCCCCAAAATCCTGGAGTTCTGTGTAAACCATCAGTGGTGTTTTCTGTAGCACCTTCTCAATAATAGGCTTATCAAAGAGAAGGTTCCAGTGATGTGGAAAACAGATTTTTTATTTTACGGGACCAAAAACCACCTCAGTTCTCAATGACAATAGGTCAGTTGCTAAATCTTGGATGTCTTGGAGACAATCCTGTTTGCCCATCCTAGAAAGCAAACAGGCACCTTTCAGGTCACCTTTAGATATAAAATAGCTTTTAGTTATACTTTCATGGTTTTGGTTATGTTGTGCTTTACTTTGCTCCTTGTTTTCTAGTTTTATTGGTTTAATTAATATTTTGTTGTAATTTCTAGATTTATGTTAGTTCTCATGTTTTTCTGTTGTCCTCTTGTGTGTGTGTGTGTGTGTTCCTTTCCCCTTGGCTCCCTCGTTGTCTCCTCACAGCTGCTCCTTGTCAGCTCGTTAGCCCTCCTTTTGTCTCTGTCAGCTATTTATGCTCTCCCTCTGCTCTCACTCTTTGTTGGTTTCTCTGATGTTGTTGGTCCTGTCATCGCTGCAATCGTCTCCCCTCGTCTCTCCCTGGCTCCTTCCACATGTTTTCCCTTGATGTCTCCATGGTTCTGGTCTGTTACATTTTAGTTGGATTTTTGGACTGCCTTTGTTAACCATTTTTGCATTAAAACTACAAGTATTCACCTCAGCCTCTCTGCCTCTGTATTTGGGTCCTCCAAACCTCAACCAAGACGTGACATATACTGGATTTTATGCGGGAGATGTCAGAGTAAAAAGAATGAAACATAGAATCCACAGATCCTTTAATTTACACTTTGCAGTTATATTTGATTTGGTCTATTTCATTAGATCCAAATAAACCTAAATCAAATTTGTGGCCATAACAGGACTAGATAAGGGCAATTAATCCTAATCACACAAAGAGAACATATAGAATCACCATCTGTTAATAAATATCCAGATTAACGAATGATGCACATTCCAACACAATGACGATCTTGCCAAACCCTAAATATTTTTCAACTGCCTCTCACCCGTGCTTCAGCATACCTGAGGAGTTTTGTCAAGTTAGATGCTGCAATACCACTAGAATGCGCTAAAATATACTTGGGGTACCAGACCAAAGTTGTCATGCTGTGTGAGATTGCACAATAAAATGCCACTTTGAACTTGCCTTTCAGAGTGCGCTCTAAACACGTGGTGGTTCTGTGTATGTGGACTGGTTGCAGGGTAAATAATATTTTCCGTTTACAATTAATTTATTAATATTCAACCTTGAGGCTCCAGTTAGAAACCTTAAAGTATATATATATATATATATATATATATATATATATATATATATATATATATATATATATTTTTTTTTTTTTTGTTTTTTTTTTTTTTGGACAGGTGCTGAAAGAAGTCCCCTGCACCCCTCCCTCTCTTCGTGCCTCCTTTCTCTCACTGTCCCTTTTCTTCGGCCCTCCTCTCTCTCTTATCCTCCCTCTCTCTCTGGTTGGCCTCCTTCATAGATAATTGGAGGCAAATTTCGATATGCTCAATGTCATGGACAGGAATAAGGTTTCACCGGTGTCTGCTGCCACCATGAAAAAGAAGGGGGTGGGCGGCAGCGGGTGCAGCCACATCAGTGCACCCAATGCTGCCGCATCTAAATGTTCCAAAAGCACCGGTGGACAGAACTGCTTGAACCCCGGTTCCCCGGTCGCATCTAGCGGTAACCAGCCCGGTTTGACCTGCAGCGTCGTGATGGATGAGACTGAGGATGGAGAAGAAGAGTCCAGGTTTCAGCATCCGCGGCTGCGCCGAGCCGGGGGGAGCGGCAGCAGCGGAGGTGGAGGAGGAGGAGGCGGCGGCAGTATCAGGATGAAGAACTTTACGCCAGGAGGGGGAGCCTCGTCCTCGGCTTCCAGGAGGAACTCCAACAAGGAGCTCTGCCTTACGCACACAGAGGACGTTCCCTCCGCCTCACGGCCCACTGCTGCCTCTGGAGCGACCGAGACACCCTGTCCGGGCGATGCTGCCCAACGCGGCGAGACCAGCGGAGCGTCTGGGGCGGAGGCGTCGGAATCTGCGCTCGGGGTAAAGGTTTCCAACGCCACAGCGGGTGATGGTCGCATCGGCGTCGCTCCAGCTTCCAGCATGAAATGCAACAAAAACGGAGAATGCAGGAGGGATTCGGGTACCGGGAGCCTGCGCTCAATAATCCCCAAGCAGGAGAAGCAGACAGTGGGGTCGGGCAAAGCCGAGGAAGGGGGCGCTGCCAGGCGGGGAACCTGTAACTCGACCACCGCCAGTATGGACGGCTCGATCACGCCAGGGGGGTCTCTAACCGGGGGGCAAGGCGGGGAGAGCGCCAACCCGGGCGCCACCCCCGTATCCAGCGGTGTACCTGAGAAGAAGGATTCCAAGGTGTCCTTCTCCAACGCGCCGAGCCGGAAAGCCTCCTCCTCGCTGCACGGCCCGACCCAGACTCAGACTCAACAGCCGAGGAACTCTGTAACTTTCCAGAAACAGGAGGATGGACCATCGATTGTGCCCGCCGAGGATGCAGAACCTCGGGGAAGCCAAGCCAGCTTCATGCAGCGGCAGTTCAGTAGCATGCTGCAGCCTGGAGTTAACAAATTCTCCCTGCGCATGTATGGTAGTCAAAAAGCTGTTGAGAAGGAGCAGGAGAGGGTGAAATCAGCTGGAAACTGGATTATCCATCCTTATAGTGATTTCAGGTAAGAGACTGGGCTGACATTAGTTGATGTGATTAGAGGCCCGTAAAGGTCCCCATACACAACTTACTTTATGCTGAGTATAGTGGAAGCACAGGAAACACACGCTGTGTTACTATCCAACCTTACATGCAGCTGATTTGTCATTTAAACCTATTGTCTAAGAATTTACCAAGGAGAGGCAGCTAAAAGCCAATTCCCCCCCACCATCACCACCTCCACAAACAACCTGTTGTCAGGCACTTTAAGGAAGAGTGTCCTCTCAAGGTTGTAAACAAATCCTGTTGCTGTCGGAACAATAGCATATCTGGGGTGCTCATGCAAGCCAGGCCTGCTATTAAATCTCCACTTTTCACAGCGCGATGCTCACATTCATCAAAGAAGGCAGCGCTCCCTCTGTATTTAATACTCATCAGATTTTTTTTTCTTTGTAATAAAAATAAGGCATAAAATAATCGCAATAGACGTCTGCCTTGCGACAGGCACCGTGCTGACAGGATGTAGGCTATATGGGAGTGTATGCATGTGTGTATGCGATGCACTCAGCAACGGAATGTCACCTTGAGCCAAGTGTGCTCAGTGGAGACAGATCCGCCCGAAGGATCCTGCCATTTATCGATGGATGCACCCTGTTTGATGAGCGGATAACCCGGGCTGGAGAATCAGCAGCTATTTTCTCATTCAAATATTTTGGGATAGAGGTTTCTGCCTGATTAACGTGTGTCCCTGAAAGCCTTTTATTTGATGAAAGGTATTTGGGTTAGAAAATCAGCGGGTTTAGATGTGGGCTGGGCCGTCTGGGGATCAGCACCACTGGGAGTGGACAGCTCCCCTCTCAGCTCCCTCCTCCAGCACCATTCATGTTTGGCCCACATGTATCACATAACGCGGAGTCAGAATGGCACTAAAAGTCCATTTGGAAGACAACTGCCCGGATATAATCTGATGACAAGTCACTTAATAGATCCCTAAAACCTACATGAGAAGATGCTCCATCTTCCCCTCTTCAGTTTCTCATTCATATTAATGCATGGCAGCAAAGTTGCATCAAAAATGATATTCGTGGTTTGTATCAGGAAACAGAGCTTGTTGCATAAGTCGCAGTGTAATGACTCAGCGCTGCACCTGTCCTGCAGAGCTTCCTCTGACAGGCTGATACCTCACCCCTTTTCGTCTCCACCCCGATCTATAGACCCTACACACAATATTTTAAGCCCCTTTCCAGAGTTTCTGTAACATAAACTGATATTATTTTGAACATGACTTGTCATTCTTAGAAGGACAAGTCATTGATGCTTAATCAAAGTGGACTTATTCAAAACCACATGCCTCTGGTGACATTACAAGAGGCCTTGGGTAGTGAATAAGGGTTATTTTGATCACAACTATCTGGATGTCTGTTTGTTTTTCCTCTATATTTGTAATTTTACCAATCTAACTTATCATTCAACGTGTTTACTTCTGTTCTGCATGGTTGCTTTAAGGTAATTTGATCTGCGTACATGTTAAATAAGGAAAAAATGGCAAGGCTAGAATACATGGAAGCTGGTAGTACAGAGAATCAGAGCAGAGATACAGACATACTGATAGTCAAACCATTGGTTATCAAATCAGTCAATTCGAGGCTTAAAAACTTAAGGTGCAACCTGCTTACAATTGGAAGGTTTCAAAATCAGCATGAGAAACTTTCAAAATGGCTTGTTTTCAATGATAATTAATAATGCCAGCTAATCAAATTGATTCCTGTGCCTCTTATGATGTAATTGTTATTATTTACATCTGTTTGTCTTCACAAGTACATATTTTCAACGCTTGTTAAAATCCTGCAATCTTTACTCCAGTAACGTGAACATTTGTTGCGAAAAATGTCCTAGATCATATCTTTAGCTATAATGTATATACAATGTACTGTAAAATCCTGAGAACTAATTAAACAGTCTAAATAAACCCAGCCCAAACATCATACCAAAGAGAGTAACATACTCACAATTGTAATCTTAATATATACCTTTTTTTTCTAATTTGCTGGCACAAAACAAAAATGCTATTTATTTCCTTTTTTGAGTATTGTCATTTTTTCCTTGATTGTCTCTGATCTCTCTTTGATCCAAGAGTGACAATCAATAATTTAAATCCCCCAAATTTTTTCACTCAATTTAAGATTGTTCTTTTGTGGACTTTTTCTAAATGACTTGCAATAACTTAAAGGCAACAGATGTGCTTTTGTTACTTTGGATAAAATAACAACTGGGCAACATCATGGTTGGCTGGTCAGGCCCCTGACAGACAAGGAAATAGAAATTCATGTGGATGAAGAAAATAACAATATAATGTTTTTTTATTGAGTTGCAATTGTTAAATAAAATAAAGATTGTGAAAACCTCTTTCAAAGTTAAATGAAGTAGAACATTCCTTATTCCTTTATTGTGGATGTTGCATCCAGATTTGAAATCATCCTGAAGAGCAGCTTTTGATTATCTTGAAGACTGGTAGATTACTATGTTTTCAAATTCCTTTTCAAGGTTATTTGAACAGTTTACTAATGTGTATAACCAAATAAGCCAGCCAGACATAAAACATGACTAACATGGTCATTTTGACTGGTTTGCAGATCTTTAAAGTATGAATAAACCTGTCCCTGGTTCACCAGTCTTATTTTACTTTGACCATTTTTTAAAGGAAGCTGACCAGGGACCACCCTACATTACCTATATATTCAGGGACTTTCTTACTGATTCTGCTGTCTTGGTATCAATATTTGGTCCTCATTAAAACCTCCTCAAGTTTTCGAACTTACCCATTTTCCATATTAATCCTTTTAAATAAAATGTGCAATTACATAGAGAAAATGAATTTCATTTGATTCACTTGCCAGTGGTCACAATATCCTGCCTGGGGTTAGTAGATAGTGAGCTAAAATTGTTAAAGGGGAATTTTGATCTTAAACTACAGGTGCTGGTCATAAAATTAGAATATCATGAAAAAGTAGATTGATTTCAGTAGTTCCATTTAAAAAGTGAAACTTGTATATTATATTCATACATTACATACAAACTCATATATTTCAGATGTTTATTTTGTTTAATTTTGATGATTACAAATGACAACAAATGAAAATCTCAAATTCATCATATCAGAAAATTAGAATATTGTGAAAAGGTTCAAAATTGATGGCCCCTGGTGCCACACTCTAATCAGCTAATTAACTCAAACCACCTGCAAAAGCCTTTAAATGGTCTTTCAGTCTAGTTCTATAGGCTACACAATCATGGGGAAGACTGCTGACTTGACAGTTGTCCAAAAGACGACCATCGACACCTTGCACAAGGAGGGCAAGACACAAAAGGTCATCGCTAAAGAGGCTGGCTGTTCACAGAGCTCAGTGTCCAAGCACATTAATAGAGAGGCGAAGGGAAGGAAAAGATGTGGTCGAAAAAAGTGTACAAGCAAGAGAGATAACCGCACCCTGGAGAGGATTGTGAAACAAAACCCATTCAAAAATGTGGGGGAGATTCACAAAGAGTGGACTGCAGCTGGAGTGAGTGCTTCAAGAACCACCACACACAGACGTATGAAAGACATGGGTTTCTGCTGTCGCATTCCTTGTGTCAAGCCACTCTTGAACCACAGACAGCGTCAGAAGCGTCTTGCCTGGGCTAAAGAGAAACAGGACTGGACTGCTGGTGAGTGGTCCAAAGTCATGTTCTCTGATGAAAGTAAATTTTGCATTTCCTTTGGAAATCAAGGTCCCAGAGTCTGGAGGAAAAGAAGAGAGGCACTTCATCCACGTTGCTTGAAGTCCAGTGTAAAGTTTCCACAGTCAGTGATGGTTTGGGGTGCCATGTCATCTGCTAGTGTTGGTCCATTGTGTTTTCTGAGGTCCAGGGTCAACGCAGCCACATACCAGGAAGTTTTAGAGCACTTCATGCTTCCTGCAGCTGACCAACTTTTTGGAGATGCAGATTTCATTTTCCAACAGGACTTGGCACCTGCACACAGTGCCAAAGCTACCAGTACCTGGTTGAAGGACCATGGTATCCCTGTTCTTAATTGGCCAGCAAACTCTCCTGACCTTAACCCCATAGAAAATCTATGGGGTATTGTGAAGAAGAAGATGCAATACACCAGACCCAACAATTCAGAAGAGCTAAAAGCCACTATTAGAGCAACCTGGGCTATCATAACACCTGAGCAGTGCCACAGACTGATCGACTCCATGCCACGCCGCATTGCTGCAGTAATACAGGCCAAAGGAGGCCCAACTAAATACTGAGTGCTGTACATGCTCATACTTTTCATGTTCATACTTTTCAGTTGGCCAACATTTCTATAAATCCTTTGTTTTTATTGGTCTTCAGTAATATTCTAATTTTCTGATATGATGAATTTGAGATTTTCATTTCTTGTCATTTGTAATCATCAAAATTAAACAAAATAAACATCTGAAATATATGAGTTTGTATGTAATGTATGAATATAATATACAAGTTTCACTTTTTAAATGGAATTACTGAAATCAATCTACTTTTTCATGATATTCTAATTTTATGACCAGCACCTGTAAATGTCGCCATGTCTGTACAGGAGCTAATAACTCCATGACTTAAACCACAGTTTCCACCCTGAATTGAAACATTTGATGTAGCTAAACTATTTTTCCTGTTTTGCCCTCTCTGATTTTATTTCTCTTCTTCTTTTCCCCTACCCATGGCACACCCCACATAACTCACTACTGCAATGGTACAGGTTCTACTGGGATTTTACAATGTTGCTGTTTATGGTGGGTAACCTGATCATCATCCCTGTGGGCATCACCTTTTTCAAGGAAGAAACCACAACACCCTGGATCATCTTCAATGTGGTCTCTGACACGTTCTTCCTCATGGACCTGGTGCTTAACTTTCGCACTGGAATCATCATTGAGGACAACTCAGACATAATTTTGGACCCTGAGACTATAAAGAAAAAGTACTTAAAAACGTGGTTTATTGTAGACTTTATCTCCTCCATCCCGGTGGATTACATATTCCTTATAGTGGAGAAAGGGATAGACTCTGAGGTGTACAAGACTGCTCGGGCCTTGAGGATTGTCCGCTTTACCAAGATCCTAAGTCTTCTGAGGCTGCTCCGGCTCTCCAGATTGATACGCTACATTCACCAATGGGAAGAGGTAAGACAAGTTAATAGAGTTGTAGATATTGATTATAACACTGACAGACACATAGGACATTAGTCCTCTCTGATTTGTCTCCAATAAGCTGGTATTGGCTCATTACCAAGTGGACAATCTGCCTCTGCATATGCTCCAAGTAGCCTGGGCTCCTTCACCTAAAGGTAGCTTTATTAATAGTGGCATTTGCCAATCTGGAAAAAACAAGCAGATACAAAATTAAAAGGAAATTAGAGCATTTAAAAAGAAAAAGAAAAAGGTTTGCACCCTCTTGTACATCTGCATTGGTGACCTTGCAGTCCTGCCAGTGGCATCAGGCAGGCTAATAAGCAGCCTATTATCAGGGCAAACATAGTTAATCAATTAAGGCACCACAGGTGGAGCAGCACAGGTGCAGGATAATGATAATAATCAGCACTGCGGGGTCCATTGACTGTGATTAGACATGTCAGTAATGAATTAGAAACCGCGGCGTAGCTTGGTTGACCGTGCATTTTATAGACTCAAATATGATGAAGATATACAATATTGGAGAATTTAGAAAATGTTATAAGGCAACCACCACAATCTATATGGGTCTTTAGACAACAGTTATTTTGCAGATCAATTTTCCTTTGGTATAAACCAAACAAGCTTAGAAAAGTTTCACATTTATGCCATGATCCCTTAAAGTAAAACCCTGACTTTTTGATAATATTAACTACTTTATGAAAGGATATAAAAACAAACACATACACAAATAACTACCTAAAACTACAACTACTACAAACTAATGTAGGTTTTCTGAAGGTTTTTCTGAAGTTTTCCTTCCTTCACAAAGAAAACTGACAGGGAGGTTTTGGCAGTCTTAATTCTGAACGTATTCTTATTTGCATTTTTTAATTAGAAAAAGAATATACAAATTATTTGTTTTCTTTGACTTCAGGGACAAATCTGGGTTATCAAAACAAAAGTTTAATCATTTCCTCTCCTGATTTCAATTGAGCTTGATTTGTCTTTATCAGGTGGATTTCTATAGCCAGGCCTTTCACCAGAAGATATAGCAAAGTTATTAAATGTTAGGTTGCACTATGAGTTATAAGTAAGTGGAAGTGTCTCCTTAGAGTACACACTTCTCTAAAGGAGAGCCTTAGCCTGGGACAGAAGATGTCCGGTGGAGTCATGAGATCACTCCACTTTTCGTCAGTGCCAGTGTCGGCAGCGTTGGCATTTTGCAGCAGTGAACGGCACAGTGAGCCTTGGCTGCTCACTTGACCTTTGGATAATTGGATTTCTGGAGATATGATGTGATAGCCCACACACACACACATATACACAAAGTGTTGCATGATGGGAAGTGATACATGGCATGCATAGAAAATGAGGGAAGATTAGATAGCAGGTCAGTTACTGAGATAGTGCAGGGGTTTGCCACTTCATATGTCTAATTTTTGAATTCATCTTTTCAAAGTTCAATAGGGAATTTTAGGTGATTGCGCCTGAGGCCATTTTTAGTTTCTCCAGCATTTGAGAGCTGTCCATGGTGCTGAACATCTTCAGCTGTATGCGGCAGTGTCACCTCCTGCATCCTGATAAAATACGACCACTTTCTCCTTTTTTTCAGTTCCTGACTGATAGAAACTGACGGTGAAAACCTCATAAAGGTTAAAGCTGCATTTAGAAAGATCAGCGCATGTGATTCATGTCTACTGTCCTTCGCCATCAGTTCCATCTCCAAGTATCACTTCTCTTTGCTGCACTGAGTAAGAAGTGACCCACTTCCTTTAGAGTCGACTCCATCAGACAGTCACACGTGTTTTCTTGTGAATAGGGGCTGTCAGCATAATACATTTACACCTCTTGCTAAATTATTTTTGCATTCAGGCTAACTTTAAACTGTTAAGCAGCATCATTGTGAGGTTTATTCAGGTTATTCAGGCATTAGATGATTGGTCTGACTGACTTCTCAGAGAATGGGTGTGATTGACGTGTCAGACGACCCAGACTATCAGTTGTTCAGGATCACCATGGTCCCTGTCCATCAATCTCTGGATGCATCTATGTCTATGTGCTGACATGTCTTTCTGTAGCCTTAGTTGGATCTTTTTGCTGGCAGGCTTGCGTGAGTGTAACATGGCTGTGACTGGACCTTGTCTGTGACAGAGACTCTGACTAATGTCACGTATCTCTGTGTGAAAAGTGTCTTGCCTGTTCCTGCTGTGTTTGAGGTGGGATTAATGGTTCATCACTTCCTTTGCTCATTAATCAAACACGGCATGATCCAAAATAGTTGACTGTGATGCAAGTTTCTAAGGCAGTGATTAAAGCTATTAAGTTAATGTATAAAATTTACACCAATCTTCTTCTTAGTATATCTTACATTTGTTTTCACTCTTTTTCCCATCTAATGGTCACACTTCAGATCTTCCATATGACCTACGACCTGGCTAGCGCAGTGATGCGGATTATCAACCTGATCGGTATGATGCTACTGCTATGTCACTGGGACGGCTGCCTACAGTTCCTGGTTCCTATGCTGCAGGACTTCCCCTCAGACTGCTGGGTGTCTCTCAATAAGATGGAGGTATGTATGAGCAATTGCATTCTTCCATACAGGATTAAGGTTCACAGACTAACTATGAAAGAAATAACTGATTTAAAATGTAAGAAGTGAAGATTTTCATCACAGAACAAAGAAACATTCCAAAGGCCATGGCAATCATTTCAAAAGTATGCATATAGATGAAAAAAGAAACAACAAATTTATGAATTGCCTTGCAAATTTTCCACACTGCATAAACTTTATAAAATATAGTATTTAGATATAATTTGATAGACTAGCATAAAGTATTCAATCATTGTACAGTGCAAGGAAAATGACTCATGGCTCTTTTAACCTCTTGTTCACAAAAATATGAAAGTATGGCATCTACATCCATTAAGTTCTATTTATTGTGATGCACCTAAATGAATGGAACACGAGTGGGATACAATCATGAAGTAGAACAAAATTTATTGGATAGTTTATACTTTTTAAATTAATACAAAACTGTTAAGTTGGGTGTGAACGTTTAATCAGCCCCTTTACTTTCAGTGCAGCAAACTCTCCACAAGTTCAGTGAGGATCTCTCATCAATGATCAATGTTGACCTAAATGACTAATGATGATAAATAGAATCCACCTGTATTTAATCAAGTCTCCGTATAAATGCACCTGCTCTGTGATCGTCTCAGAGGTCTGTTTAAAGTGCATCATTAAGAAAAAGAAAACACAAGGCAGGTCCAAGATACAGTTGTGGAGAAGTGTAATGCTAGATTTGGAGACAAATATATTTTTCAAGCTTTAAATATCCCAAGGAGTTCTGTGCAAGCGATAATATTCAAATAGAACAAGTATTAGACTTCTGTGAATCTACAAAGACCCAGCTGTCCCTCTAAACTTTCAGTTCAAACAAGGAGAAGACTGATCAGGGATACAGCCAAGAGAACCATAATCATTCTGGATGAAGCGCAGAGATCTACAGCTGAGACTCTAGGAAAATAAGGAAACAATAAGTCGTATACTAAACAAATCTGGACTTTATGTAAGAAAGCCATTTATTTAAGAAATCCATAAAAAGTCTTTTTTTAAATTTGCCATGAAACACATGGGAGACGCAGCAAACATGTGGAAGAAGGTGCTCTGGTCTGATGAAACAAAAATGGAAATATCTGGCACCAATGCAAAATGTTATGTTTGGAGTAAAAGCACCATTCCCACTGTCAAACATGGTGGTGGCAGTGTCATGGTTTGGGGATGCTTTTCTTTAGTGGGGTCATGGAAGATAGTTTAAACTTATGTGTCCTGCTTGTTATTGATAATGTTTTTTTATAGCTTTACATTTATACAATTTTATAGCTTTATGTTTGAAGCCTCAAACCTGGCAAACTGTTGAAAAGTTCAAGGGGGCTACAGGGAGTCACTGTGCCATTTGGTGACATGGTTTTTACCACACTCAACATAGACCAGAGGAAGCAAAGGAAAGAGTTGTCACAGGAGATGAAAAAGAAAATTATAGACAAGCATGTTAAAGGCTATGAGACCATCTCCAAGCAGCTTGATGTTCCTGTGACTAGTTGGATATATTATTCAGAATTGTAAGATATCTTTGACATGGCCAAAGGAGGACATTTGCTGAAAAAAATCAAAGAGACTGATAGTATGAATTGTGACAAAATAATTCAGAACAAATTATAAAGAGATTAAAGATGAACTTCAACCTCAAGGAACATCAGTGTCAGATGACCCTATCCATCATTGTTTGAGCCAACCGCTTGACGCCCATTGTTTAAAATAAGCAAAATACTCTTTTTATTACTTACACAGTTAAGAGAGCATGTGCATTTCCTCAGTGCCAGTTTTTACGCCTTCATTGTGGACTTAGGAACCTTTGACAAGCTGTTGTCTCTGTCACATCTGGTTCCTAACAGACTGTGTTATCATTGACCGTTATAAATGTTGTCACACATTTTTAAAAGGCTCTGTTATTTTCTGGGGCTGCTTTGCTTCATCTGATACAGGATGTTTGGAATCTCTGTAGGGTTCAATATAGTCCTAAGACTATCAAGGGATTCTAGAGAGAAATATCCTGCCTAGTGTCAGAAAGCATTATCAACATGCTAATGACCAAATACACAGCTAAAAACAGCCAAGAATGGCTAAGAGGAAAACATTGGACTATTCTGAAGCAGTCTTCTGTAAATCCTACTGAGTATCTTTGTAAGGAGCTGAAACATGCCAGCCAGAAAAGGCATCCTCCAAACCTGAGACACACCCGGAGCAGTTTGCTGATAAGGAGTGGACCAGAATACCTGTTGAGAGGAGCTAATGTCTCATTGACAATTACAAGAATTGTTTGATTGCACTGATTGTCTCCAAAAACTGTGCAGCAAAACAGTAAGTTAAGGGTACCATCATTTAGTTCAGGCCTAAAATAATGTTTTTTACATCTATGGTTGAAAAGCAATGTCTACTTCCATTTGTTTATTTTCATAAATATTTATTTATTATTACTTTTGTGAGATTGGCAAGACTTTATTTCAACCATAGATGTTTTTTCTGCCACTAAGCGGGGAGTACTAAGAATTTTGTCCAAGTGTGTACAATTTCAGCTACATACATATATTTTTATAGCATAAACACAAAATGACTGAAATGTCCTTCATGCTGGCAGAAGGAGAATGGTTTCCAAATCAGTAGAGGGGAGAGAACACAAGGAAGCATAAGTTATCTTAATGAACAACATACATGATCCATACCCTTGGCTGCTTCCTTTTTTTGAATGTGGGGCAGTATGATTTATCTTAACCATTACACTTTTATTATATCTTTACCGATCTAGATCGAGTTTATCAGCTTGAGCTGTTAAGCACTTATTGTGAAGTTTTATGCATTGCCTCCCACACACTGATGCATGTTAAACACTATATTTTATGAGAACTGTTGAACTCGACGGAGGAGTCTATTTACTGATGTGTCTTATAATGATTCAAGTAGTTTTAGTCTATCCAGCCAGCTCCTGGCTGTCATAATTCATCCAATAGAAACAATAAACCTCAATTATAGATAATTACATATTTTCCTGATGCAACATTAGTGCCAACCCATCTTGCTAAGCATTCTTATGCATGCCCAGAAAGATAATGGAAGATACATCCTTTGTTTTATCTTGTCCATTCATTGTGTATTTATATTTCATTATTTAGACAGGTGCAGATAAACTACCTAGTTTCTGTTGCTAACAACAAGGTCTGACGTAATTTTGACCGGACATCATACGACTCTTGTTGGGTGAATATGTAGAACTCATTTAAACTTGTTTGGTTTTTCCTGTCACTCGGCTATAGTGTCGATCCATATTTTTAATAGGCTTGATGTTGGAATAATTTCAGAAGTTACTTCATTACCAGTTCTGTTGTGTATTTGGAGGAATTTCCGTGTTGTGCTACCCAACATTGCAAAATTTCAATTACCTAGATGATGATTAAAAATAATTTCTGGGATTGTTCTTTCCCCAGTAGTGGATTCAGTTTGTGTAATTTAACAGTGCATCTGGCAAGTTTTCAGCATGATACTAACACTATCATACTCAACAGCTATTGCAGTGTTCTTAGGTTTGAAATCTTCTGTCATCACAGCCAAAAAGCAAAGTCTGTATCTTATCTGAAAGTTAAACCTTTTACCGGAAGACACTTGGTTTTTACCTGGAAATTTCAATCAAGCTTGATTGGTCCAATATTAGAGCAACCACTTCTTCTGTGCTGGTCGCCATTCTTCAGCCCTTGAGGGTATTAAACTGTGTTTAGTGTTGACAATAATACTGGTCTTACAGAAACTTCCAGTCAACCTCTATTGCTTCTAGTTTATTCTTGATCATCCTACACAATTTAATTTTGACCGAAGATGATAATCCAGCTGGATATGATTCAATACATAAAACAAAGCTGGTTCAAATCGGTCTTCTGGGATGGCCCCAGTTTTAATCATAGAAAATTTTATTTGTTTCTGAAAACCAACCAATTTGAATGAACTCCACCAGTTCTTCCATGAATAACAACATGAAAATATTCAGCCAGAATCATCCGAGAGTATTATTGTACAGAGGCAAACTGCTGCCGTTTTTACAATCCATACCAATTACACACCAGAAGTCGGTCTACAAATCGAGAATTTAATGAAGTAATATCGAATCGGCTGACCTTATGTTTAGGCTTATTAAACACTAATGTTAGGACTGAAAGCTCTCAGTGGAGGGGATGAACTGAATGTATTAAATTAGGCTCTGGTAATAAATAAATTGACCTTCTGCTTCAGTTTCCTCTCCAGTGTTGGAAATATAGACAATCAAGTAAACAAAGAATATCGTTTAAATAACTCTACAAACAGCAACCGGGGGTCATTTATGGTAAAAAGCTTATGACTAGAGCATAAATTGCCCTTTGTTTTGATTAAAAAAGTTAAGCAGGGGATTTAGAAATTTGACCTAAATAACAAACATTCTGGTGCTTTCGATTGTAAAAATGGCCATGCCCTGCCACTGCAATAAGATGCCTCACAAATCATTACATAAGAAGAGATGGCAAATTTTTTTTTATATAAAATAAATACGGCCTTATGAATATTTAGTTTCATAAATATTTAGATCCAATACAACATATATGATGTTTTTACCACGTAAAGAATACATAAAATACATTTAAAATTCTGTCAAAATTATTGAAGTATTTATCATAACATCCTTCTTGCTTATCATAAAATATTAAAATATTGAAGCTTTAAACTCACATAATTGATAATCACATAATTGAAGAATTTAAACATTTTAAATTGTAGGCTTTTTTCAGTCCCTTTATCTTTTTGCTTTTGGAATTCAGTTTTATTGGTGCTTAATAAGCCCTCATGTATCTGAAAAAAGTTAAAAAGTTAAAAAACAAAAGGCTAGTGGTTTATTTTTGAACTGTTTTGGAATGATTATGACCTGGATGACTGAGAATCTTCTGAAAATCTCTTATGTACAATGAGGCCCAAGTTTGTTCATATCGGTC